GATGAGTTAGAAATAACTTAGGACCTTTTCTTTGTGTACAAGGAAAGCTTCCTAAGAATGATGAGGAAGAGGAGGAATAATTAACCTTTGCATGACACAGGGTTCTGCTCCTATTCTGAATATGTCATTTCATCAATGAGATTGAAAGCCTTTTTTTTTCTTTCCAGTATTTGGAAATTACTTTCTTACTGATGCTGTCATTTAAGAACTTCATGTACATTATAGTTTTTAAAAAAAAAATCTTTGTACTGGATCTTATTGAAGTACAGTTGCTATATTAAAATTAGGGCACAGAGCACAGAAAAATCAAGACCATGAGAACACTTTTTATCATTTAGCTACTTTTTATAACTAAATACCCTTTAAATATTCTTACTGCAATACTGTGGATGGAAATGAGAAGCATTCTAAATTTGAGTTAATATATTTTTATGAAGATTTTTGAGGAAAGAACAAAATAGCTGGTACTCAGGTTCATTGGCTCTTGCTCGATGATCCACTTCAAGAAGCAACCTAATTTGGCCTTTTAAAAAAGGTATTAATGTTTGTTATAACTGCTTTCAAGGAAAGTTTGAATATGACTCTATAATCTCTGAAGTTCTTCACATTTTCTGACATTCCTTGTGACTGGGTAAGAATTGCTTCAGGGTAGAAGAACCAGGCCCAAGACTTTACCATTCTGTTCCATCGACAAAGGATACTCAGTGAGGAACTTTTTCCCCTCTTGGAACAGGTAAAATGCTTTTTCTTATTAATGTAATTATAAAGCAGTATTTTACCTAACTGCTATTCCTGTATTCTAGGAGTGGCTTAAGAAATGCGTGTTTCAGTGACTAGGTTATAAATATTCTCTGTTGTGAATAGTTGAATAAAATAGCTGTTTTTTCTGCTTCCCATTCTTGTGATAATTTTTTTTTTTTTAAAAAGCACAGCAGTCCAACTACAGAGATTTCTTACTGTTTCAAAGTCATAGAAGCCAGTTATTTTACTCTGGAGCTTAGAGCTCTTTTTTTCTCGGGAAGTAAATGAAAGTAGAAAATTCCTTTATCATTCCAGCAGAGTGAGAGGAGAGGATATGAGCTTAATAACAGTGTGTGTCAGTCTTTTAGCGTATTATATATGATTTTAAAAAGTGGTTCTAAGGTCACATTATTTTAAGGCTTGATTATATAATGAGAAAGGTATGATTCAGCATATGAATATTTGCTTTTAGTCCACCTTTTAGATGTAAAACAAAGTCCAGGAATGTGAGAAATATTTGTGTGGATAACCAAAGGGTCTATCCCCATCAGAGCACAAGTGACCAATACATGTCACAAATCATTTATTTTCCAAACATATACAAAAACATTTATACTTTGGCAGAAGAAACTATAGTTCTGGTGAAAACTCAGCAGCTATTTCATGGCAGCATTATGCTTTTAACTTTCTTGTTATACATATAGAGAATCATTGTGGGACCATAAAATTACACATCTATAGTTGAGTATTTTATATGCATTTGAGGAAATATATTTGTGCATTAACTTATATAACCTTATATGGATGAATTTTATTTTTAGAATTAAATGTTGTAGTTATTAGTAATCACACACAAACACACACACCCTGAGACTGTATTAAGCTACAGCCTTAATTTTTTAACTAGACAATGAGCACCTATTGTGGTTAGCACTATGCTGGCACTTAAGAGTGGGTTGGGAAATAATGGGCATAAGAAATAGCCTCAGTCTTCCATGCTGAGTCAAATCATCCACATAATACTTGTGAAAAATGCGACATTACCCAGTTCAGTGTTCAAAGTACTTGTGTCAAAAGTTTAGAGACCTGTGTCATCTGCAATAGGGAAGGTTTCAGAGACTGTTTGGTGGCACGCTTGTGCATAGTATGTTTCGAAACTAAGAGATGTATTAGAATAGCTTGGTAATCATAGAGACTCAGTATGTGTTTCAAAGAAACTCATTTCAGGTAATTCGTATGTCAGAATCCTTAGCCATCAGCCAAAGATTGGTTTTAGGAAGCTGATACATAGGGATGGCAGAGAACACAAATTGTTAACAGTGGATCATGGGGAATGTTGACCCAAGTCTAGACTTTATGTGAGAGGCAATCTCCCTTTTTTAACTTTTTTGGGGTCCCAGGCACACCTTTTCTGGCCTCACTGCTGATATATAAGCAACTGGAAAGGGGTCAGAGACTGTCACCGTGAGAGCACTTTCCCTGTAGGCTGTCAACAGATGATCAAAGACACACCAGCCAGGAAAATCCTACTCTTCTTTATTGGCATGGGAGCATAGTTATGGAGCTTTGTGTTTTAGAGTTAATTCAATTTTACTGGGCCAGTAAGCAAGTCCTGGTTACTTTTCAGAATTAAGCAAGGCCTGTGGGTCTCTGTGCAGAGGACAGAAGTCTATAAAGATAGTGGAAGAGGAGAGAAGAGAGGAAGGGGAAGATGCAGTTAGCAAAAGGTGAATTGGTACATATTACAGGGGGCCCAGTTTCATTAATGAGCTCCCAGTGTCTCTAGAGCCCTTGAAATGAGAGGCCTTTATGAAAGCAAGTTTGATTAAAAACAAGTCACTTGTAACTCAACTTTTGTTGAGTCTAGACTTCATATTTACTCCCAACTGGAGAATCTGTAAATAACTTTTACTTGCTAAGGATGACATGAAAAGAAGCTTTACCTCTCAAAGGGCAGTTTCTTTCCAGATAGTATCATTACTTCCTACAGATTTGGCATCACTGAACAGAGTGGCAGAATTCATGCTCCTTTCTCTTCACTTTTAGTGATGCTTTTAAAAGTATTGTAATAAACCCAACTTGCATATGTAGATTCTTTTCCACATCAACTTTAACAAGAGTTTGCTACCCAGATTTCTTAGCCTAAAAAGTGTGAAATGCTAATGGGTATGGTCATAGTGGATAATTTAGGATAATTTCTTTCACTTGGCCTACTAATACAGCTGTGTAATTCAGATAAAGCTTTAAATAAAAATTTAATATTTTCGGCCAACATCAGGTTGTACTGGCCATTTGCTTATAATAGTGGACTAGACTCTTTACTTTTTTTTTTTTTTTGAGATGGAGTATCGTTCTGTCACCCAGGCTAGAGTGCAGTAGCGTGATCTCTACTCACTGCAACCTCTGCCTCTTGGATTCAGGCAGTTCTGCCTCAGCTTCCTAAGTAGCTAGGATTAGAGGTGCCCACCACCACACCTGGCTAATTTTTGTATTTTTAGTAGAGACGGCCTTCACCATGTTGGCCGGGCTGGTCTCGAACTCCTGACTTCGGGTGAACCACCCACCTCAGCCTTCAAAAGTGCTGGGATTACAGGCATGAGCCACCGCGCCTGGCTGACTCTCTACATTTTAAAACATATGTTCTTCCTAAAATCCCAAATACAATGAAGTATGTACTTTCACCTCAAAATGTGATGAACTACTAAGTTGGGATGAAACCTAGGCAGGATTTTCTCACTTGCTAAACAACTTAGTCTCACCTTCAGTCTCAGATTTATGTTGTAAAATAGATGCCTATGTTCAAGGTCATAAAGGAGGAGTGGGACAGCACTTAGAAAGCATCAGAACCAAATTATAAAACTAAAGAGACCAGTTTTTTCATCTTGTTACTCTGCACAGCTCTCATTGGCCTCCAGCCACTTAGACCAGTAACACAGTTTTCAACACATGGTAGGCCAAACCGTTTGGCATGTTCGTTTATAGAGACTTGATAAAGTGTTTCTAGAATATTTTTAAAATGGAGCAGCTTTGTGTATTTGTTACAGACTGACTGACTGAAAGGAAACCTGTAGTACTGTACAGATTATATCAAACTGGAATAGCTTGAATTCTGTTGACAAGAAAATGGTAGTTCTAGCCTTAAGTCTTTGACCCAGTAAGAACTTTCAGTGACATGAAAGCTGGGTGGAATGTGTTTCTTGCATATTCTAAAAACAAGTATTAAAAGGATGGTTTTATTTTTATAATTGGTTAAAAAATTTCTCAATGTCAAGTTTAGGAGTTTTAGTGTTTTGTAATTTGAAGAAAAATATCTTAAAATTCAAAGGTACCAGTGGAAAGGTAAAAGTTTGGGTTTTACTTTAGAGGAATACGTATTTCATTTTTAAAAATAATTTGCTTCATCCAAGAATGTGAAGAATCCTTTATACGTAGTTGGTTTTATACAGCAAAGTCTAAAAATAATTTACATTAAATGGCAAGACTGACTTGGATCAATAGCTCCTCAGTTAATCAGAAATGAAGCAATTTTACTTGAAAGTCTAGCCCATTTCAGATGTTCAGAGCGTATATTTTCTTTTTAGAGGTTTGTCTTCAAGTAGCGAGATGTACAAGTGCTTCTAATTCATGGCAATATCAAGAAAGCTATGTATAATATATAAGTACTGTGTCAGTACAGACCTTGCAAAATAAATAAATTTATCTTAAACACCAACTCAGTCTACTTTTGCTTTAAAAAATTGTTAGGTTTCTTAAGACATTGCAATTCAGTAGATACTAAAATTATACATCATTCTGAATTCATTTTGAGAACCAAAAATGAGTAATCTGTGATTATATAAGCAATAGCCTTTTTTAAAAGCAGCCTGATTAACTGAATAAGCAATAACCTTAACAAAACCCAATATTATTTCTATATGTAAAAAAGTTTAAAGTAGGATGCGTTATGGTACACAATACGGGAACTAAATTCAATTTTAATGAATTTTATAGACATATTTACACTTGCAATGCCCAAAAGCTTCCAATTCTTGGCCATAAAATGTATGGCTAAACTTCTTTTTTTGTTTTCAGACCTTCATGCCCCTTGTTCCCAGTTCTCTTAGTTGGGTTGGCAAATTATGGTCCTTGGAATAAATCTGGCCTGCCACCTATTTTTGTATGGCCCCTGAACTAAAAGAATAGTTTTTATGTTTTTAAATCGTTGAAAAAAAGTCAAAACAAGAATATTTGTGACATGTGAAAAATAAATGAAATTCCAATTTCAGTGTCCATAAAGTTTTATTGGAATACAGCCACGTTCATTCATGTATGTATGGTTTGTGGCTGCATTTGTACTATAGCGGCAGAGTAGTTGCAACATATTTTATGGCCCCTGGCCTTAAAATATTTACTATTTGGCCCTTTACAGACAAGCTTGCTGACCCTTGCTCTAAGTCAATTAGTGATGATTTTTCCAACTGCTGACATTTATAAAAGGGCAGTCTCCTGGGCTTCATTGTGACATTCATCAGTAAATTGGTTGGTGGCAACTAGTCCTATGCCATTTGCTTCTCCTCAGCATGGATCTCACATGTGTGAAGGCTTCAGTTCAGAAATCATCAATTTCCAGTTTAAGTCTAATGAAAGTAAGTAAATGATATTTTTTCCACAATGTTCACTCTTTAACTTCTTGCTGAAAGATCTTCACCTGTAGTGTTGTATACAGAGACATATTAGTATATTGAAAATGAAGAAACAGAAACACAGTATAGCAAGGATTCAGAGTTTTCCAGTCACAGCGCTGGTGGCTAGGTTTGGGGAAGAGACTATTTCCTCTGCACTCACAATGTTAGAACATGATGTTTCTAGGCTATTTCTGCCTTGGAAATGTTTCACATTCTTTAGAAAGTTTTTTTTTTTTTTTTTTAATCACATTCAAATAAACTTCAACTTCAAGAAAAGGTGGAATTCCTTTCAACTATGCATTACTACTTCAGGTAAGAGTAAGATGAATATGTTCTTATTTTAAAATTTGTGGATTATTGAAACTGTAAGAGGGATCATTTTAGAACAAATATGAAATATTGTGTTACTAAACTTTTCTTTCTTTTTCTTTTTAAAGATGTAGTCTTGCTCTGTTGCCTAGGATGGAGTGTAGTGGTGTGATCTTAGTTCACTGCAACCTCCACATCCCAGGTTCGAGTGATTCTCCTGCCTCAGCCTCCCGAGTAACTGGGACTGCAGGCGGATGCCACCATGCCTGGCTAATTTTTGTATTTTTTTGGTAGAGACAGGGTTTTGCCATGTTGGCCAGGCTGGCCTCGAACTCCTGACCTCAAGTGAGCCACTGAGCCTGGCCCTAAACTTGTATACAGAAAGGCCCTTCATTTTTTTCACAAGTTCTCTTTCTTGAAAAAGTCATTGTAAAGGAGGTCATAACATGGGATGTCAATTTACATAGATGCACCAATGACTATAAGAGAAGCCTCCCAGCTTTAAGCAAAGCTGTGAAGTCCACTGAATGAGTCTAAATACCTGCTTGCTTAGAAAAAGAAAAAAAAAAAAAGTCATGTGAATCAATTGATCAGGAAAAATATCTACTTGTTGTAGGACAATAGAATCTAAAGGTCACCATCTAAATCACTGTCACCCTCTCCAGTCTCCTAAAGTAGAAGCAATTAGCAATGTTCATTATAGTAGGCATAACATTTTTAAGTCAGATTTCTTTTTTTTTTAATCAATGAGAGCTTGTTATATTGCTCAGGTTGGCCTTGAACTCATAGCCTCACCTCCTCAAGCGCCAGGACAACTGGCCAGAGCCACCATGGCCCCCTTTAAGTCAGATTTCTAATGGAGTTGTATTCTGTACCTAAGAAGTAGTCTTGTCGCACAGAGGGCTTTTTATATGTATAGTAGTATGTGACCAATTTACCAGCTTTAGTGTAATTTCAGCTCATTACAGAAGTTATAGAGGTGTGTATAACATCACACCTATGATTTATTTGATACTAACTTCTGGGTATGGAAAACAATATTTAAAATTTTGACCACTGCAGAGTGTAATATGGGACACTAGTTATGTCAGGAGTTGCTTTTTAAATGTGGAAACATGGTCTCAATGCATTGGGCCATCTTTTGGGCTGTTATAAATCAAATTTGGCTCTGTCAAGAGGTATCAGTGAGTTCTTTGGGTTTCTGCAGGTTGTGATAAAGACAGGTGGTGAAGCTCCGCTGCATAAGCAGCAGTGCCTTCACTGTGCTATTCATCTTGTGAATTTTAAATCTGAGAACTGCCATGGGACAGGTGACAAGTGGGCTTTCATGAACCCTTAGGCTCTTTGGGAAACTAAGTGAAAAGGAGAAACTTTTATAATTGGTTTCCTCACGTGCTTTTATTCAGGTCTCAAATAATTTGCTTTAAGATTGATTGATAGAATGAAATTTATGTGAATATCAAACAGTAAATTTACTTCATTTTCAAGATTGAGGCTGTTATTTTGCTTTGTTTTTAACCACCACATCCCAGATGTCAGATTTTTATTTTTTTAATTGAGGCAGAAGGAGATGAGGTTGTTGAGGCTATATCAGACCTAAATTAGAACAAAAATAAAACTAGAATCCAAAAGAATAAAAGCTGAATGATTCACAGAGCCCTTGAAGAATGTTCCTGTCAGTTATTAATCATGAAGACAGTTGTGTGATAAACTATGGCTGTCATAGTACTTTGGGCAAGTTGATTGACTTCTTGGGGCCTTTGCTTAGTTATCTACAAAATAAGGAGATCTAAAATTATAAAAGCTCAAGTTATTCTTTTTTTTCTTTACTGGCAGTGTTCAGTGGCCTATCATGTTACATGTATCTTCAGAGCCCTTTTCCTGTTTTAAGGTCCCATTTCTACCTGCCTTCAAGGGACATCCTCCTATTGGAAAAGATAAAAAACATTGTACTAATTATGCCTTACAAAGTAGTTTAAGTTAAGCCCTGTGCCAGGATGGTGCAATGACTTAGTATACCTGGGTTAAACATGCTGCCCTTAGTCACTGTCGATAATCCATTGTGTCACTGGAGGACAGGCCACCCATAGGTTTCTCCTCCTTGTTTTGGATACTTTCTGAGGCCAAGAGCTGAGGTGATGTAAGTCCTCGGGGCTGTTTAGTTGACTTGGTGAGCTTCTTGAGTTCACTTGCAAAAGAAATGCCTTTCTTTTTATCTTCTCGAGATGCCTGTGGGAACAAAGAACCTTCCATTGGTGTTAGGTTTATCACATTCCTCAGTCACATGACACTATTTAAGATAAGCATTTTCTTCTCTCTCTGGTAAATAGAGCTTTGGAAAGAAGGACTGAGGAACCTCCCCTCTAGGACTGCTTAACTGCAAGTTAGGCCACATGTTTTTTCATACAGTGAAAACAAAGCCAAACAAATTTTTCTCATCTCCATTCCTTGACTCAGCAACTTTTTCCTAAATTTCACTAGCTTCCAGATCTGGCTACAGTGTGATTATTAGTATCAAATAATTTATGAACAGAGCAAAATAACTTTAATCTTTACCTGCACCTGCTCCTTTAGCTTAAGAATGAATTTTCCTGCACCTTTCCACTTGCTTTGGGCTTGAAACACACATTCCTGATCCAGAAGGACCCGCTGAGAGGACTTTGGTGTGGTAGACTTCTTGTTGGTAGCGTCTTTCATCACCTCTTCCAAAAGCACATAGTCACTTGGATTGGGGTTGTTCAGAATGCTATAGGAATATTTGGCTTTGCATAAGGTCTGAAAGATAAGTCATGATTAACTGAATAGAGACACAGAATCTCCAACATTTGCCTTCATTCTATATGAAACTTTAAGGTGGAAAAATGGCCCAGACTAGAGAAGGTGATCTTCCAGATCATCTCACCTAGCTCGTCATTTTGCAGTTGTGTTATTGTAGCTTATAAGGTGGTCTCCCACATTCCCTCATTTAGCCTTCCCACAGCCTATGATTTAGGTATTATCCTGAATTTCAGACGAAGAACCTTAAACTTAACACAAGTTAAGCAGATTCTAGGATATGCACAGCTAGTAACAATAAAGGTCTAAACCAGATTTTCTGCATACAGCAAAGCTCATAGACATGAAAGTCAGCCAGTGAGGACAGAATCTTGCTCTTCAGGAGCCTTTCTGTCCTACTGGGCTATCCCTATCACAGATTCTTAGCTGTTGAAAGAATTTCGGAAGTCAACTGATCGCTCTTTTCACTTAATACAAGAATGTCTTTCATTGATGTATTTATTAATTCATTAAATGTTTAGTGAGGGCCTGCTATGCGTTAGATTCTGTGTTATACATTTAGGGAGACAAAGATTAAGTTAAAGAAACATAAGTCTGGGCACTTTGGAATTCAAAGTCAATTGAATAAGGAGGCTAATATTAACCAAGTTATCATACAGTAAGAATAGCAAGTAACCCTTAAGTAATGTTTACCAAATGTTAGGCATTGTATTAAACATCTTAACATATACTTAATCTTCACAACATCCATGTGAGGAAAGTAGTATTATACTGTCTCCATATTGTCTATGTGGTGACTTCCTATGTAATGTTTTGCTGGAGCCAATGGGAATAGGCTGGTGAAACCAGATATGGTAGGGGCATTTACACAACAGAAATAAATCAGGGATTTTCTTTTTCTTTTACAAAGAGCTGGTTTACCAGCACACTACTATACTAAGGCCCAGATCCGAGATCTTTCTTACTCTAGATCTCAATAAGAAGTAGAGCTGGGATTTGAACCTAACGCAGCTTGACCTAGAGTCTGTGCTCTTAATCGTTGTGCTTTATGACTTCCCAAATAGGTATTTAATGAATGCATACCCTAACCAGGCTATGAAGGAAGCAAAACATAGTTCTCTGAAACCATGTAAACTCTCAGAGAAGTATGACTTAGAGGAGGGGAGAGGATCAGAGTAGGCCTCCTACTTGTCCTCTGTAGGATCCTTGAGAGATGGTCAGTAGCTGCTGCCTCAGATATTTCTGGGACCATGACATTGTCACTGCAGAGCCACTGCCAAAATCTATTATGAGGGCTTTATAGAGATCCAGACTCCCTGTAGATACTAGTTAAGTGCTTGCTGAAGGAATGAACTAGTATTTCCAGAGTTTTAAATTTTTGAAATTTATTTTTATTTTGAGAGAGTCTGGCTCTGTCACCCAGACTGGAGTAAAGTGGCGTGATTTTGGCTCATTGCAACCTCTGCCTGATGGGCTCCTGCGATCCTCACACTTCAGTTTCTCAAGTAGTTGGGACTACAGGCACATGCTACCATGCCCAGCTAGTTTTTTCTTCTTTTTGTAAAGACAGGGTTTCACCACATGGGCCGGGCTGGTCTCAAACTCCTGAGCTCAAGTGATCTGCCTACCTCAGCCTCCCAAAGTGCTGGGATTACAGGTGTGAGCCACTGGGTTGGTCGGTCTTTTTGTTTGTTTTTATTTTTATTTATTATTTATATATTTATTTTGTTCTTACACAGCGGCTTTTTTTTTTTTAATTTTTTTATTGCATTTTAGGTTTTGGGGTACATGTGCAGAGCATGCAAGACAGTTGCATAGGTACACACATGGCAGTGTGTTTGGCTTCCTTTGTCCCCTTCACCCACATTTGGCATTTCTCCCCAGGCTATCCCTCCCCAGCTCCCTCCCCCCGCTGGCCCTCCCCTTTTCCCCCAATAGACCCCAGTGTTTAGTACTCCCCTCCCTGTGTCCATGTGTTCTCATTTTTCATCACCCGCCTATGAGTGAGAATATGCGGTGTTTCGTTTTCTGTTCTTGTGTCAGTTTGCTGAGAATGATGTTCTCCAGATTCATCCATGTCCCTACAAACGACACGAACTCATCCTTTCTGATTGCTGCATAATATTCCATGGTGTATATGTGCCACATTTTCCCAATCCAGTCTATCATCAGTGGGCATTTGGGTTGATTCCAGGTCTTTGCTATTGTAAACAGTGCTGCAGTGAACATTCGTGTGCATGTGTCCTTATCGTAGAACGATTTATAGTCCTTTGGATATATACCCAGTAATGGGATTGCTGGGTCAAATGGATTCTATTTCTAAGGCCTTGAGGAATCGCCACACTGTCTTCCACAATGGTTGAACTAATTTACACTCCCACCAACAGTGTAAAAGTGTTCCTTTTTCTCCACATCCTCTCCAGCATCTGTTGTCTCCAGATTTTTTAATGATCGCCATTCTGACTGGCGTGAGATGGTATCTCAATGTGGTTTTGATTTGCATCTCTCTGATGACCAGTGGTGATGAGCATTTTTTCATATGATTGTTGGCCTCATATGTGTCGTCTTTTATAAAGTGTCTGTTCATATCCTTTGCCCATTTTTGAATGGGCTGGTTTGTTTTTTTCCTGTAAATCTGTTTGCGTTCTTTGTAAATTCTGGATATCAGCCCTTTGTCAGATGGGTAAACTGCAAAAATTTTTTCCCATTCTGTTGGTTGCTGATCCACTCTAGTGACTGTTTCTTTTGCCATGCAGAAGCTGTGGAGTTTCATTAGGTCCCATTTGTCTATTTTGGCTGTTGTTGCCAATGCTTTTGGTGTTTTGTTCATGAAGTCCTTGCCTACTCCTATGTCCTGGATGGTTTTGCCTAGATTTCCTTCTAGGTTTTTTATGGTGTCAGGTCTTATGTTTAAGTCTTTAATCCATCTGGAGTTAATTTTAGTGTAAGGTGTCAGGAAGGGGTCCAGTTTCTGCTTTCTGCACATGGCTAGCCAGTTTTCCCAATGCCATTTATTAAACAGGGAATCCTTTCCCCATTGCTTGTTTTTGTCAGGTTTATCAAAGATTGTATGGTTGTAGATATGTTGTGTTGCCTCCGGTGCCTCTGTTTTGTTCCATTGGTCTATATCTCTGTTTTGGTACCAGTACCATGCTATTTTGATTACTGTAGTCCTGTAGTATAGTTTGAAATCCGGTAGTGTGATGCCTCCCTCTGTGTTCTTTTTGCTTAGAATTGACTTGGCTATGCGGGCTCTCTTTTGGTTCCATATGAATTTCATGGTGTTTTTTTCCAGTTCTGTGAAGAAAGTCAATGGTACCTTGATGGGGATAGCTTTGATTCTGTAAATTACTTTGGGCAGTATAGCCATTTTCACGGTATTAATTCTTCCTAACCATGAACATGGAATGTTTCTCCATCTGTGTCCTCTCTGATTTCGTTGAGCAGTGGTTTGTAGTTTTCCTTGAAGAGGTCCCTTACGTTCCTTGTGAGTTGTATTCCTAGGTATTTTATTCTTTTTGTAGCAATTGTGAATGGCAGTTCGTTCTTGATTTGGCTTTCTTTAAGTCTGTTATTGGTGTAGAGGAATGCTTGTGTTTTTGCACATTGATTTTATATCCTGAGACTTTGCTGAAGTTGCTTATCAGTTTCAGGAGTTTTTAGGCTGAGGTGATGGGGTCTTCTAGGTATACTATCATGCCATCTGCAAATAGAGACAATTTGGCTTCCACCTTTCCTATTTGAATACCCTTTATTTCTTTTTCTTGCCTGATTGCTCTGGCTAGAACTTCCAGTACTATATTGAATAAGAGTGGTGAAAGAGGGCATCCTTGTCTAGTGCCAGATTTCAAAGGGAATGCTTCCAGTTTCTGCCCATTCAGTATGATATTGGCTGTTGGTTTGTCGTAAATAGCTTTTATTACTTTGAGATACGTTCCATCGATACCGAGTTTATTGATGGTTTTCAGCATAAAGGGCTGTTGAATTTTGTCCAATGCCTTCTCTGCGTCAATTGAGATAGTCATGTGGTTTTTGTCTTTGGTTCTGTTTATGTGGTGAATTACGTTGATAGACTTGCGTATGTTGAACCAGCCTTGCATCCCCAGGATGAATCCTAATTGATCATGATGGATGTTTTTTGATGTGCTGTTGCAATCGGCTTGCCAATGTTTTATTGAAGATTTTTGCATCTATGTTCATCATGGATATTGGCCTGAAGTTTTCTTGTTGGGTCTCTGCCGGGTTTTGGTATCAGGATGATGCTGGTCTCATAAAATGATTTGGGATGGATTCCCTCTTTTTGGATTATTTGGAATAGTTTCAGAAGGAATGGTACCAGCTCCTCTTTGTGTGTCTGGTAGAATTCGGCTGTGAACCCATCTGGACCTGGGCTTTTTTTGTGTGGTAGGCTCTTAATTGCTGCCTCGACTTCAGCCCTTGTTATTAGTCTATTCATAGTTTCAGCTTCCTCCTGGTTTAGGCTTGGGAGGACACAGGAGTCCAGGAATTTATCCATTTCTTCCAGGTTTACTAGTTTATGTGCATAGAGTTTGTATTATTCTCTGATGATGGTTTGAATTTCTGTGGAATCTGTGGTGATTTCCCCTATATCGTTTTTTATTGCATCTATTTGGTTGCTCTCTCTTTTATTTTTAATCAATCTGGCTAGTGGTCTATTTTGTTGATCTTTTCAAAAAGCCAGCTCTTTGATTTATTGATTTTTTGAAGGGTTTTTCGTGTCTCTATCTCCTTCAGCTCAGCTCTGATCTTAGTTATTTCTTGTCTTCTGCTAGGTTTTGAGTTTTTTTGATCTTGCTCCTCTAGCTCTTTCAATTTTGACGATAGGGTGTCAATTTTGGATCTCTCCATTCGCCTCATATGGGCACTTATTGCTATAGATTTTCCTCTAGAGACTGCTTTAGATGTGTCCCAGAGATTCTGGCATGTTGTGTCTTCGTTCTCATTGGTTTTGAAGAACTTCTTTATTTCTGCCTTCATTTCATTGTTTATCCAGTCAACATTCAAGAGCCAGTTGTTCAGTTTCCATGAAGCTGTGCGGTTCTGGGTCGGTTTCTGAATTCTAAGTTCTAACTTGATTGCACTATGGTCTGAGAGACTGTTTGTTATGATTTCAGTTGTTTTGCATTTGCTGAGGAGTGCTTTACTTCCAATTATGTGGTCAATTTTAGAGTAGGTGTGAGGTGGTACTGAGAAGAATGTATATTCTGTGGATTTGGGGTGGAGAGTTCTGTAAATGTCTATCAGGTTTTCTTGCTCCAGGTCTGAGTTCAAGCCCTGGATATCCTTGTTGATTTTCTGTCTGGTTGATCTGTCTAATATTGACAGTGGAGTGTTAAAGTCTCCCACTATTACTGTGTGGGAGTCTAAGTCTCTTTGTAAGTCATTAAGAACTTGCCTTATGTATCTGGGTGCTCCTGTATTGGGTCCATATATGTTTAGGATCGTTAGCTCTTCTTGTTGTATCGATCCTTTTACCATTATGTAATGGCCTTCTTTGTCTCTTTTGATCTTTGTTGCTTTAAAGTCTATTTTATCAGAGATGAAAATTGCAATTCCTGCTTTTTTTTGCTCTCCATTTGCTTGGTAAATCTTGCTCCATCCTTTTATTTTGAGCCTTTGTGTATCCTTGCATGTGAGAGGGGTTTCCTGGATATAGCACACTGATGGGTTTTGGATTTTTATCCAATTTGCCAGTCTGTGTCTTTTGATTGGTGCATTTAGTCCATTTACATTTAGAGTTAATATTGTTATGTGTGAATTTGATACTGCCTTTTTGATGGTAGCTGGCTGTTTTGCCTGTTAGTTGTTGTAGATTCTTCATTATGTTGATGCTCTTTAGCATTTAGTGTGATTTTGGAATGGCTGGTACTGTTTGTTCCTTTCTATGTGTAGTGCCTCTTTCAGGAGCTCTTGTAAAGCAAGCCTGGTGGTGACAAACCCCCCGAATACTTGCTTGTTCGCAAATGATTTTATTTTTCCTTCACTTCTGAAGCTCAGTTTGGCTGGATATGAAATTCTGGGTTGAAAGTTCTTTTCTTTAAGGATGTTGAATATTGGCCCCCACTCTCTTCTGGCTTGTAGTGTTTCTGCCGAGAGATCTGCTGTGAGTCTGATGGGCTTCCCTTTGTGGGTGTCCCGACCTTTCTCTCTGGCTGCCCTTAGTATTTTCTCCTTTATTTCAACCTTGTTGAATCTGACGATTATGTGCCTTGGGGTTGCTCTTCTTGCAGAATATCTTTGTGGTGTTCTCTGTATTTCCTGCATTTGAGTGTTGGCCTGTCTTGCTAGGTGGGGGAAATTTTCCTGGATAATGTCCTGAAGAGTATTTTCCAGCTTGGATTCATTCTCTTCGTCACATTCTGTTACGCCTATCAAACGTAGGTTAGGACTCTTCACATAGTCCCACATTTCTTGTAGACTTTGTTCATTCCTTTTTGCGCTTTTTTCTCTGATCTTGGTTTCTCATTTTATTTCATTGAGTTGATCTTCAACTTCTGATATTCTTTCTTCTGCTTGGTCAATTCGGCTGTTGAAACTTGTGCATGCTTCGCGAAGTTTTCGTATTGTGTTTTTCAGCTCCTTCAATTCATTCATATTCCTCTCTAAGTTATCCATTCTTGTTATCATTTCCTCGAGTCTTTTTTCAAGGTTCTTAGTTTCTTTGCATTGATTTAACACATGTTCTTTTAGCTCACAAAAGTTTCTCATTATCCACCTTCTGAAGTCTAATTCCATCATTTCGTCAGTCATTCTCCAACCAGCTTTGTTCCCTTGCTGGTGAGTTGTTTTGGTTCTTTCTAGGAGGTGAGGTGTTCTGGGTTCGGGTGTTTTCCTCCTTTTTGTGCTGGTTTCTTCCCATCTTTGTGGATTTATCCACCTGTCGTCTGCGTAGTTGCTGACGTTTCGATTGGGTCTCTGAGTGGATGCCCAGATTGTTGATGATGAAGTATTTCTGTACTTGGTTTTTCTTTTACCAGTCTAGCCCCGCCACTGTACAACTGCTGAGGTCCACTCCAGGCCCTGCTTGTCTGGGGTGCGCCTATAGCTGCTGCGGAACAGTGAGGGATGCTACCAGTTTCTTTTTTTGCTATCTTTGTCCCAGGATGATGCCTGCCAAATGTCAGTCTTTTGGATACAGAGGGGTCAGGGAGCTGCTTGAGGAGATAGTCTGTACTTTATAGGAGCTCTAGTGCTGAGCTGTGAGCTCTGTTGTTCATTCAGGGCTGTTAGGCTGCTACATTTAATTCTGCTGTAGCAGAACTCATAAAAAAACCCCTTTTTTTCTCAGGTGCTCTGTCTTGGGGAGTTGGGGCTTTCTTTTTGAGTGTCCGTTGCGCTGTCCTGCCTAGCTAGGAGGCAGTCTAGTCAGTATTTGCCTGCTGAGGCTTCGCCCTCCTGGTGTGAGGTTCACCCTGTTGCTGCGGTCTCCGCCCTGCTGCCACAGGCTACGCCCTGCGGTGGAGTCTCTCTTTTGTGGCAGGTTGCCTTGGCAATGGCAGGCTGCGTCAGCAATGGGCGTGTTCCTCAGTAGGGGCGGATTGCCTTGGTAATGGCGGATGCCTCTCCCCCACCGAGCTGACCTGTCCTGGGTTCAGCTGTGCCCGCAGTGAAACTCTCCACCTGGTGCGTTTGGAATTGCCGTTTTGTTTGTCCCACTGTGGTACCCCAAACACCGTTTTCCTGGAATCTCCTGGCCTGGCTCACTGTCCAAGTCCCGTTCAGTCAGATAGATATGCCAGTCTGCCCTCTCAAGTCTCAGATTGCCGGTTCAACAGGGCACCCGGACCAGTGCGCTTTGTGTGGAGTGCTGTGGAGCGCCGCTGCGCTACAGCGCCGGCCGCTGGCTGCACCAGCCAAAACCTCTGCCTGGCGTCCCGCGTCTCTTTTATACCTGGGAATTTCCCCATTCTGTGGGCAAGAAAGATCCGTCTGGAAATGCGGCCCTGACTCACCCTCCGCGCATTCACTGAGAGCTTCAATCCTGGGTTCTCACCGCACCATCTTGAGTCCCTCCCTTCTTGATTGTTTTTAATTAGAGACAGGGAGTAACTCTCTTAACCAGGCTGCAGTCCAGTGCCCAATCAGCCTCCAACTTCTGTGCTCAAGTGACCCTCCTGCCTCAGCCTCCCAAAACTGGCTTTTGCCTGGCATGAATCAACACGTGAGGCAATTTCCTAGCCTTAAGAGGCACACACTCCCTTTTCAGATCCCTGTTGTTCAGTAACTGCATTCAGAAAATGAGCTGTCAGTGCATAGACATCTGTTCCAATCATTTATGCTGAGGAAAGGATGAGGTGAGGAAGAGAGAGGCTTTTACCTGCTGAATGACATCCTGTGCAGTGCTGAGGCGGGGTGCTTTGATGACTGTTCGAGGTTGCTCTGGAGAAACATCATGCACTTGGACAAAGAAACTCTCGTCCTCTGAGCTCAAAATCACTACTTTGTCATCTTGAACAATGTTTTTCTCTTCTAGGTTCTATGTTTAAAAAGAAAAAAAAAATGAGTAAATAAGTCTATGCAGAGTAAAGAAAGACAAATCTAGCAAAAACCTGAGCTTATATCTTGGTGATGTAGAAACTTCTTAGCTTAATAACTCATATACTATGTTATTATTTCATAAACCATTTTACAAGCAAAAACCTGTACTTCTGATGTTGACAGAGACCCATAACAAGCCAATTTATCTGCTATTAGCTGTGGATTTTGAGAGTCCAAATTGACTGTAAATTTGTAGAAAGACAATATACCACTTTGCCAATTAGCAAAAGCCAAACAAGAACATGGTAAATTTCATATAAAAGAAAGCCCACCCATTTCCACACACCTTAGCATTTCTTAAATGCTAAGCATCTGAAATGTAAACCATGAAATTGACAGCTTGGGTGAACAGAACTGCAGTGACAAGGCTGAACGAATGGCTGGAGGTAAGCCACACTGAAGCAAATTTCAACAAAATTCTCAGCAATTATGAGAAATTGGCTTATGGTGAATTATGTATCTACAGATATATGTATCTTATTAAAAATATTTAAACAGTACAGAAGTGTATCAATAAGAAAAACCAAACTTTTCCCATTCTAATTTTTCCTTCTCCCACCTCATTCTCCACAAAATACCCCATTGTCATTAGGTAATACACCCTTTTAAATATTTGCTGTGGATGTTCAAATGTGTTTTTGTGAATGTGACTATATAAACCAATACCCTTGAATTATGTGAATTTAGATGTAATGTGATTGTCAAGGAGTTCTTTGTCCCTCATTACAAATGAGAATAGCTTAGTTAACTTTTGCAAGAGGGAGACTAATAAAGGGGAAGGAGAGGCAAAGTAAGTATAAACAGTAGTTGACCTCATCTCAGCACGTGAGGACTTGGCAGGAAAACCCCTTTATCTCCAGAATTCTAGCCTCATCTCTCCAGACCAGGATACTGAAATGGTGCTAACTAGAAGAATCCATGAATTACTGTCACTATCCTGGAAGTTCCAACTAGAATTGTCCCCGTTGATATTAAAATCAGAAGAGATAACTGCCACCAGGTGGCGCCAAAAATGAAACTAGGGCCAGAAAGGACAGGCTCCTGAAGCTTGCCCCAATCATTTCATTGACGTTGCAGTCATGGCTCTATAATTACATGATTGTTAAATGAATAAAAATATATAATCTGTCTACTTTGACTTTTTTCAGTGAGTGAAAAAAATTCTATTGAATTCTTTTCCAGTGAATGGATACTGCATTATATAATGGAAGAGGGGGAAGAGACGAGCTATTGTCTCTTTTTATTACCTAAAATGAGACTGTATCCTATGTATACTATTTCACAACTTGCTTAATAATATGTCATTGCATTGATCATAATATATTTAACCACTCAGAGAGTAAGATTGAGAGGTAGTTCACATAGCATAATTTATAATCTCAGTGTCCCCCAACCCAGGAGGCAAGAAATCAGAGAAAACCAAAAAAGGTTCTAAATTGCCACATAAAATGTCCCAACAATGAAGCATTAGCATTGCTTTTAGGAGAGTACTTTTGAGCCTCCCTCAGAGCTTATTTACTTTTAAGGTGTTTCTAGCCACATTAGTTTGAAGCCACAGGTTATGAACAGAAGATAATCACTTTTGCTTATCTCCCTTTTTACTAAGCGTTTCTGTACACATTGTCTCTGTTTGACATGAGTCTCATAATTGAGTCAAGTAGTTTCTATATAGATTTTACAAATTAGGGCAGTGAGGTTTACAGAAGTTAGGTGACCCATTCATTGTGCCAGAGCCCTGGTTTACCCAGTAACAGAAGAACGCACACTGAATACAAGATGTGGTTCCTGACAGATTGAAAGCCCAAGAGACAAGAAAATTATTAAAGGCAGGCAGGAGAGATCAGAGGTCACAGACAGCAATTGAGGAATTTTCATATATAGGCAAACTACTTATATGTTGTCTTAGTTCCACTGGATAAAATAAATGGAAATACTTATAGCCCAAATCTGTATCCTATAATAGTGCCTCTTGCATTCAGTAATTACTGAATTCATTTATTCAATTGGCAAATAATTTGGGTATCACTATGCACCAGGTAAACCTAGATACACTAAATGTGATTTGTTATCTTTTGAGATACAATATTTCAGTCATTTCAAAAATGTCCTAAGGCATGTAAAGGAGAACTTGCCATATTTTATTCATCAGAAAAAGCTTGTTAGCCTTCCCTTCTGACTTATGCCCCCCTTTTTCTTCAAAATGCTTTCTTCTACCAGCCTTTTGAAAGCATAATCCTGAGGTCTCTACTGCCTATTGTCATATTTATTTATTTTTAGGCAAAGTCTCGTTCTGTCACCTAGGTGTAGTGGTATGATCTTGGCTCACTGCAACCTCTGCCTTCTGAGTTCAGGTGATTGTCCTGCCTCAGCCTCTGTAGTAGCTGGGACTACACATATCCACCACGCCCTGCTAATTTTTGTATTTTTAGTAGAGACAGGGTTGTGCCATGTTGGCCGGGCTGGTCTTGAACTCCTGACCTCAAGTGATCCACCCACCTTGGCCTCCCAAAGTGCTGGAATTATAGGCGTGAGCCACTGTGCCCAGCCTAAGGGATGTTTTTTAGATTGAACTTAGAGATAATATTCTCAATATGTGCAGAAGAATAAAACTCTTCATCCACATTTACTTAAGAATAATGTAAAGCAAGTTGCAATTACAAGAAATTCTGAATTTCAGGGAGGTGGTGAGTGGTAAATGGCTAATCACGTAATGAGTTATTACTGTGTAGGCTGCATCTGGACATACTTACTTCCTGCTGAGTTTTTAAGACAATCCTGCCCACATATCCCTCTTCTGGAAACCAGCTGCTTAAAATTTGCATGATCTCTTCTTCTGGACCAATGGCTCTCTGAAATGGTTGTTTCCTGCATTCATTCTTTTCTTTAGATATAAAATATTTTTCTTCCATCAAAAAATAGTCTGTGGCAACAGGTTTGATGTCTTGTTCAGTTGTCAGAATCTAAAGAAAAAGTGAAGGCAAACTCTGAGGAGTGGGGCAAAAACTTAAATTGACATTCATGGTTGTTTAATATGCAATTTATAAGTGAAACTTACTTTAGTGTATTGCATAATTCTTTTTGGGAGATCTAAGAATTCTCTTATGTTCAGAATGGATTGTTTATGTCCACTCCGGGCAACGGCACAACTTATTATATAATCCCCAGAGAGCATAACTATTTTTCCACTGCTGGAATGAGAGCTCCTACTGAATTAAAAATTTTACATTTCTCATTCCATGAACTTGGCCCTTTGTAATCTTGCAATACAGGATTGAGGACAAATAACCTAGTTTAGTATTTACTAAAATGATGTTTTTTCTCACATTGGAAATAGTCGTCTTCTCATGGAAGGTTTGTAGGGCTAGATTTTCATGTGATCTAAGTTCCTGGGAATTATTTTTAATAAACTCTGACCATGTGCTTAAAGGGATTGTTTTCTTTTTTGGTTATTGATCCTATGCAGTCAAACAGGGCAGTTGAGACAAAGCTCTGGAACCAGACAGACCTGAGTCTGAGATCTGCCTTTAATACTTGTTGGCTACTTACTGGGTAAGACAATCCCTCGGAGACTGTTTTCCCATTTACAAAATAGGAATAGTAATAGTAGCAATCTTAATTTTGTTCTGTTTTAAGGTTGAAGCATAAAGTGCAACATGGGTATGTTAATGAGAACTCAATAAAGATGAGCCATCATTATACTTTATTTTTTTTGAGAGTTTCCTTCTGTCACCTAGGCTGGAGTGCAGTGGCATGATTCTGGCTCACCACAACCTCCGCCTCCCAGGCTCAAGCGATTCTCATACCTCAGCCTCCTGAGTAGCTGGGATTACAGGTGCATACCACTATGCCTGGCTAATTTTTGTATTTTTAGTGGAGACAAGGTTTCACCGTGTTAGCCAGGCTGGTCTCCAATTCCTGACCTCAAGTGATCCATCCACCTTGGCCTCCCAAAGTGCTGCAATTATAGTTATTTTTACCAATGTATTCTTACTCCGGTTGTACAGGTTATTACAAAAGGCTGAACTTGAAGGGAGTAAAAGTCGCAGCAAAGAAACTCCCTTTATTGCCTTCCTGTGAGAAGTAGCTTGTCAATGAGCCAAAGCCCAGAATGAACATGTCTCGCAGGGAGGAAAAACAGAATGTGATGGACTGAGGATGGTGGGAGTGGAAGGTTCAAGAAGGTTCAGGAAGACTCAAATTCCTCCACCCAGCCCTTGGTCTATAATCGATGCTGTGCTGTTGACTCAACAGGGGGCCAAGGGAAATACTACAGGGATAATTCGGGATGTGAAGCTTCTGGGCCACTGCCATAAGAGGGCCGGTGTCACCCCCTGCTGAGTCCTGCTTTACCTGCTTTAGTGTGCTGTTTTTGCATGGGTGACAGTAAAGCAATGGGCTGCTGTGGCTCATGGAAAGTTTTCCTTTATAAAACTTCAGCAGTGCTTTGTGATAGTGGACACTCAAGTACACATGAACGGATAAAACAAAACCAACCCAAATAAACTTTAGGCAGTAGCTTCTGTTTGATAATCTATGAAATGTGACACCTGAGCCGTTTTCTCTATTTAAGTCAGTTATAAAATGTTGAACGGAATGTTGGCCTGTCTATAGAGATGTGCCCTCAAAGGACAGAGCCATTTATTAACACTTGCTATTCATGGTTGTTCAGTTGGTTTTTAATTCCTCCAAAAGTTATGACTCCAGCTACATTTCATCATATACCCTAACTTCAGAGGGAGTTCAAGGGCCATTCCCTTGGTCATTGCTTCCTTTGGTGCACCCCTATATAGGAGAAGGAATTCTTTTTTATTTTTTTTTTTGAGACAGAGTCTTACTCTCTCACCCAGTCTGGAGTGCTGTGGCGTGATGTCGGCTCACTGCAACCTCTGCCTCCCAGGTTCAAATGATTCTCCTGCCTCAGCCTCCCGAGTAGCTAGGATTATAGGTTTGTACCACCACGCCTGGCTAATTTTTGTATTTTTAGTAGAGATGGGGTTTCACCATGTTGGCCAGGCTGGTCTCAAACTCCTGAACTCAGGTGATCTGCCCGCCTTGGCCTCCCAGAGTACTGGGATTACAGGTGTGAGCCACCGCGCCTGGCCGCAAGGAGAAGGAATTCTGAAATGGGTTAAGGATAAAATCGTCTGCAAGGATATTAGGCCACTGTGCCAGGCAAGGGTAGCGCTTCTATCTGGTGAGAAAAAGGAGTCATGCATGGGCCCTGCCTCGCCCTGCCTCTTTGGAGGAGATATCTTCCCTCTTTGGATGCTGCTGTGTGTCCCTGGCTCTCTCACTCTTAGAAGTTCCCCCATGGATGGAGACCCTGCATGCAGAAGGCCACAGAGATCCTTTGGAGGAGGATCTAGGGCAGAAGTGGTGCAGCATGAGGAGGCTTAGGCCAGTTCTGCTACAGGGCTTGGGGTAACAGGTTTCAGGGTCTCCATCCCTCTACCACCAAAAGGAGAGGACCTCAAATTTCAAGGTCAGGTGCCAGGGGAGGGGAGCAAGGGGGCTGCTCAACATGCAAAGGAAGGCCGTGGGCTGGAGGGGCAGGAAATGTCTTGGTCCATATGGTCCATCCTGATAACTCTATTTGATTCAACTCCTTGAATGACAACAGATTCCATTCACCTAACATGCTAATTCTGATTAATAATCTCTGTGTTAAGAAGGAAGATTAGGCCCATGTCTAGGCTTAGGGGGAAAGTGAGTATATGGTTGGAAGGCCACTCCTTCTGGTCTTTATCATTCTAGAGTCTAGTATTTTATCTATCTTAAAAATTGTTGAAAAATCTTCTCCACAGGTTAAGGTAGTTTGACTAGTGGTACCAAGATCTATCAGATGATTCTTGGAGTGGATCCTAATGTTGAATAACACATCCAAATAATCAAAAGGCATATCATCAACATAGACTTTTGTGCATCCGTATATGTTTACACATGCAGGCATTCATACACACACATACATCCATACATCTTAGATTTTGGAGTCTCCCAACCACAGCTCAGTGGACTCACCTGCTGCAGAAGCTGCTTTGCCTTGGTGCCTCCATTAATAGTGAAAACCGTAAAGGGCTCTGGCCCTGGGACCCCATGCACCGTGACTCTGTGAGTCTGCAAATACTTTCTTTCTTCTGTATTAAACATCTGTCAAGAAGATCACATGGATGCTCATTCATCCTTAATCACATGATTATTTATTTCTAGGCTCTATTTAATACAGAAGTGCTAGTACTTAGAAGTATGGATAGGAACATGTAAATGCAAAATGTGCATCTTACTGTGCTAGAAGAGGCAATGGTACCTCTTCAATCATTTAGTGAGGATATTTCCTCATTCGTTAGGATATTTCTTCAATCATTTAGTGAGAATATTTCATAAGCACATCACCAAAATATTAATATATTTAAACTACAGTGTTTCCATCATAATTAGGGGCTGATATTATCCAAAATGTATGTTAGTTCTTATTAACTGCTGTTCCACTATATCTAGAGTTCCATCTCTCTTCAGGGTACTGGGATAGAAATTTGGATGGTAATAATAAAATGTTCTGCCCTTTGAGAGTGTACCATTCAGGCACACAAATCATTATAATGCAAAAATACATCTGTTAGAAGGAGCTCAGTAAGTATGTAAGTCAATTCTTTGAGCATTTTGTGTATTAAGATTAATTCATTCAAAATAAATCATTTATGGAAAGCTTATAGTGAATCAGACATTATGCCTGTCCCTAGAAAATCAGGGACCAATAAGACACTAACCCTGTCCTCAAGGGCTTCCAGTTGAATGGAACAGCTAGAGGGAAGAGTAGGCAGTTGTAAGAAGCATGGTGAGTTCCTTGGGAACCCAAAGGAGGTGGCCTAGAAGAGGTTCAGGAGAAACGAGGGAGGACTTTCTGAACATGGTATCTGAACCAAATCTTGAAGGACTCACTGTGATTTAACAGATGAAGAGTGAGACAAGAACCCCAAATTGATGTAACCTGTACGAAATTTAGAAGTAGCCAATAGCAGGGCATTCTGGGAACCCCAACAAGTTCTTAACTAACTTGTTGGAGGGAGAAAAGATGCAGGCAAAAGCACAGCCATTCAGGGCTTTGCCTAACTGGCTAAAATTTAGACTGAAACTGGCAAAATGAGGACCTGAGGGCAGAAGTATATTGTTTAGCATGTACTTCATTTTTATTTTGGGTAGGGAGGAGAGGCTGGCTTTGTTATACTTGTACAATATGATTTGATTTAATCAGTTTTACTGAAGTATAATTGTCATACTGTAAAATGCACACATTCTAATTGTATGGTTTAGTTTGTACAATATTAAAAATATTAAATAGTTGCCACCATTTACAAAACCCCAGATGTCCTGATACTCTTGAAAAACCAAAAGATCTGACCACATCACAAGGCAACAGACAGCTGGAGCTGAGAGCTAAGTGACAGCTGCCCCTCTAAATGATTCATAAGCTCTCTGCTTTCTAAGAGTCTCTGCTCAGCCCAGGTCCATGCATGCACATCATCTTCTTGGCACCCTCCTGGCATGTGAATTTGTTACTTCTGGTATAAACTATACCCTGAAAGCAATGGAGAACTGATGGAGGGTTTTTAACAGAGGAGTGACACGATCATATTTAGATAGATCTGTTTGGGAGGCCCTAGAAGAGGACAGAGAGAAGGGGCAAACCCAGAGGAAATGAGACCAGTTAGGAAGCCTCTACCACAAGCCAGGTGAGAATGAACCAGGGCCAAGGCAATAAGGACAGACCAATATGAATGGATTTGAAAGATACTAAGGAAATAGAATGATCAAGTCTTAAATGGGGAAAAAGGCCAAGATGATCTGCAGTTATTGGCTTCAGCGATGGAGAATGATGCTCTCCATGGTGAAATGCATAGTTACCAAACACGTAGCCATATACGGCTGCCCAGAAACCCCAAGGATGGCAAGGTGTGATATAACAAAAACATATTTGGTCTTTGTCCCCAGTTCCTGGCACACAGCTCTTAAAACTCTTAATCTCTGGAGTCTTTGTTGCTAATGAGATGGCTGGTGGCTGAGAAAGACCAAGGCGTGACTAGAGGGGTGGAACCTTCAGTCCTATTGCCAGACCTCAAGGAGGAGGGGGCTGAAGAATGAACTAATCACTGGCTAGTGATTTAACCAGTCATGCCTAGGTCATGAAACCTCCACAAAATTCCTAAATGATAGAGTTCCAAGAGCTTCCAGACTGGTGAACATATCAAGGTTCTGGGAGGGTGGCCTGGTGAGGACATGGAAGCTCTGCCCTCCTCCCATACCTTGTTCCTTGCTGGAACTACAGGTGCTTGCTGCTCTGCCCAGACAATTAAAAAAATTGTTTTTTAGAGATGGGGTCTTGCCCAAGCTGACCTTCAACTCCTGGACTTCAAGCTATCCTTCTGCTTTGGCCTCCCAAAGTGTTGGGATTCCAGGCATGAGCCACTGCACTCAGCCCAGTTTCTTAGCAAAGAAACCATCCTGCATTAGTGAGGGGGCCGTGGTCCAAGTGTCCTCAAATTTTAGTGGGCACCACGCTTCCACGGGGAACTTGTTAAAATGAAGATTCTGGCCAGGCACAGTAGCTCATGCCTGTAATCCCACCAGCTTGGGAGGCTGAGGTGGGAGAATCACTTGAGTCCAGGAGTTTGAGACCAACCTGGGCAATATTGTGAGACCCCCATCTCTACAGAAAAAGAAATTAGCTGGGCATAGTGGCACATGCCTGTAGTCCCATCTACTCAGGAGGCTGAGGTGGGAGAATTGTTTGAGCCAGGAAAGTCGAGGCTGCAGTGAGCCAGGTTGGCTTCATTGTACTCCAACCTGGATGACAGAGTGACAGCCTGTCTCTGGAAAAAAAAAAAGACAGATTCTGCAGCTGTGGCACTTTCTACAGTGTCCTTCTTCCATGCTCAAGGGTGCACATTCTGCATCTCCCAGGCACCAAGGTACAAGTTCTGCATTGCCGACAGAGCCTATTGCTCACCCCAGCCTTGCTCTGCCTGTGACATTTGCCCTGGACTGCTGAAGAAGCAAAAGATTTTCCTGGTTTAACCTAAAGTTTCTAGAAGTACTGGCAATGTTTCCTACTAGGCTTTGCTTGATAAGCCTCTCCCTCACTTTTAATATTTGGTTCACTTCCCTGATAGACACTGTAATATATGGGCTTTGTTACTAGAAGTTGGGTTTAAATGCTGGACTGCTGTTTGCTAGCGTGTGACCGCAGATGTACTTAGCTCTACCTTCCTCACTGTAAAATGGAGATGATCCTAATAGCTACTGCTGGACATGAGAGGACTGAGTTAGTATATATGTAAAGTGCTTAGTAAGTGCCAAGTCTCAGCTGTTATTGTTATTTCCATAGCTACCTGATTAATAACTCACACTGACCAATTTGCCGGGCCACAAAAAGGCCCACCTTCAGTGTAGTGATCCCCATAAATATGCTGAGCGAAACAGAACTACATTACCGAAGAGGCTGACATGGTACTGCCAGACGAATTTTCTTCCATCCTTCTGCTGTTAATGAACAAACTAGAGATTTCCAAGACTTCATTGTGAAGGTTTCGCAGCTGAAGATGTCGATATCCTGCAGTAATGCAGAATTGGGAAAGGCTTGTTAACCATACACTACTGAGAAGATGATCCACGGAGGTCAGTAAATGACAGGTAGAAAGAAAATCTTAAAATGGGCAGGGATGGCAATAGGCATGCAACCAACAGGCGCCTTTTCACCAGGAGACTGCTGCCCCCTTAGCTACCCAATGGCAATGAACTCATCTGAGTACTGTTTCCAACTTAGACGCAAACAGAAAATCTTACACTTAGACAAAACCTGATCTAGTAGAAAAACCGGATTACTAACAGTCCCTGTTTTACAAATGTTCCATCTCAGAGCAGCTTCAGTGATAATAGAATATTCCCTTGATGGGAGATTGGTTATAGATTATGGTATGACTTAAGTATGAAGTGGAATACACAGCTGATAAAAGTGGTAATGTACATGTATAGTTACTAGCATGAAAGTTTGCTCACTATTACCCTATGTACATTAGTAAGTGAAAACCATAAGTTACAAAACACTAAGATTAGTAGAATGCCCATTTGTTAAAAATATATATGTCTGTTCATATGTTACATACATGGGAAGAGTAAGCCTGCAAGACTTACACACAAAAGTGACTGTGTTGGAGAGATGGAAAATGGATAATTTTTTAAAAAATTGTTTTTGTTTCTATGTGCTTTCTCACATTCTGTAATAACAGTATGGGCTGATGTGTCTCCCCCTGACCCCATACTCTCCCCACTCCTGTGTAGAAGTCCTAACCCTCAGTACCTCAGTATGTGGCTATATTTCAAGAGAGGATCTTTAAAGAGGTAATTAAATTAAGATGGGATCATTAGGATGGACCTTAATCAAGTGGGACTGGTGTCCTTATGAGACGAGGGGTTAGGACACAGACAACATAGAGGGATGACTGCGTGAGGACACGGTGAGCCATCTGCAAGCCAAAGAGAGAGGCCTGAGAAGAAACCAAATCTGCCAACCCCCTGATCTGAGACTTCCAGCCTTCAGAACTGTAGGGAAATCCATTTTTGTTGTTCAAGTCATCTCATCTGTGGTATTCCACGATGGCAGCCGCCTAAGCAAACTAATTAAATGACCATGGACTATTTTCACAGAGAAGAGAAAAAAGGAAAGGAACACAAACTAGGAAACTGTAATGTGTTTGTGGAGCTCCGAGGATGGCGGCTTGTGTGGCTGGGAGAGGAAGTGTGTACTTAGAATATTGGTGCTCAAAGGAGACCATCAGAGCCAGCGCACCTGGGAGTGTGTTAGAAAAGGAACCTGTCAGTCTCCACCTGAGGCCACTGAATCACAATCTGCATGTTATTACCCAGGGTCCCAGGAGATTCCTATGTACATCAAAGTTTAAAACAGTGCACAGGCTGAAATTTGTTAGAGTGCCACCACAAAGCCAGTTCACAAGCCAACAGCTCTAGCCTTTGCCCAGAATCCTCCATTCCCCTCTTCCTGCACCTGAAACCCAGCCCCAGTTTCCAATACTGGACTTCTGCCAGGCACAGATGACAACCACGCGGTCACTTATGCCACCACCACACCCGGCCCCTCCCACATCTATTTCCTCTCCTTATTTCAGTCCCTGCTTTCATACTGCCAGCGGTGCTATGGGTAGTATTTAGGAAGAAAAACGAGAAGAAAAATAAGAGTGCAACCACAATTGCTTCTGACCTCAGCAGGCATGGGTGAGGCTGTACTTTACAAGGGATATTGTCAATCACCTCAGACTTAAAAAATGTAAAAGACTGTAATCCCAGTCCTTTGGGAGGCTGAGGCAGGTGGATCACATGGTCAGGAGATGGAGACCATCCTGACCAACACGGTGAAACCCCAGCTCTACTAAAATACAAAAAATTAGCCAGGCGTGGTGGCATGTGCCTGGGATCCCATCTACTTGGGAGGCTGAGGCAGGGGAATTGCTTGAACCCGAAAGGCAGAGGTTGTAGTGGGTGGAGATTGCGCCACTGCACTCCAGCCTGGCAACAGAGCGAGCCTCTGGGGAAAAAAAAGAGTAAAAAAAAAAAACAACTTCTTTTGAGACATGCTTCAAAAGTGCTCAAATTTGTATTTCCTTTTGCTTATTTCAATTTCTTAATAGGAAAATGTCAAACACAAGAGAGAAGAGTATAAGGAAATTCTGACATCCACCACCTAGCTATGACAATTATTAACATTTGGACAGTTTTATTCTACCTCGTTTTAAAGCTTTCAGTGGAATGATTCTCTGCGCTGTTACCGCTGAACTGTTGTTTTCCACAACTGCGAAACGAAGAAATACAAGATCTTCAAAGTGAATGCGGAACAGAAACTGCTCGTTCCACATGGGGTTCAGGGTGTTTCGATGGATGGGCTTCGTGCGGAAATGGCAGCTGTCCAGAGGCATGCCCAGGACGTCGACTTCAATGCACGGGCTTCCTGTGCTGTTACTGGGGCACACATTCTGACCAGAGACAATCTGTGGTGAGGGAAGACACAAGCGACCAAAGTCACCAAGGATGAAAAGCAAAGACAATCTCTATACCTCACTGCTTCCCTCTGCAAAGGAAGTCCAAGAACACTGGAATGGACAAAGTGAATGATTAACAAAACTGTTAAAAAGTAAGTGATTGTGACCGGGTAATCGCATGACTAGAATCACGTAAAAAGCCTATTTGGTCAACAGCATTCACTTAACTGTAACCTTTCAACTATCAGAACGTTCAAGTATCTTCAAAAACCAAACAAGATGAAGTTAAATTTCTCACCAAAGCCTAGGAGAAAAACAACTTTATGCAAGATAATCATAAATTTGTTACTAATATTCTGTTCAAAATACCATAGGAATATGTTTTATAACTTCAAAGTCTTTTTCTTGAATAGTTTCATTTTGGGGGCAAGTTGCAGACATGTTAGGAATTAATTCACAGCTTTCTGTAAACAGATAAAACTACCCTCACCTCTAGCTAAAATAAACAAACAGGAAAGGGGCTACTTCCCTACTGTCTTAGGGAAAGAGAAAAAGCAGTTTGAGTGGTAGGAAAGTCTATGAATGGGGTTATCCCAGGGACTTGGGGCGGGGGGGTTGTACTTGGAGGGCTGCTTGGCATTCTTCCTATGGAGGGAGACAAGATCTAAAGGTGGAAAGAGAAGACCAGGTCTCTGCTGTTTTTTGTTGTTGTTGTTTTGTTTTGTTTTGTTTTTTTTTTTGAGACAGGGTCTCGCTCTGTCAGCCAGGCTGGAGTACAGTGGTGCAATCTTGGCTTAGTGCAACCTCCGCTTTCTGGACTCAAGTGATTCTCCAGCCTCAGACTCCCAAATAGCCCAACTATAAATAACAACTTTTTTGTTACTTTTTGTAGAAACAGAGTTTTGCCATGTTGCCCAGGCTGGCCTTGAACTCTTGAGTTCAAAGCAATCTGCTTGCCTTGGCCTCCAAAGTGCTGGGATTACAGGCGTGAGCCACCAGACCTGGCCAGGTCTCTGTTTTTAAGAGGAGTCTGTGGAGTTTTGACAATAAGTTAATTAGGTGAAAAGGAATAAGGAAAGGCACAGGAATGATAAAGGTTTAACTACAAGGAGGACATATATTTAATTGTATTCATATGTTGATGCAAATTTATCTGATCTTAGAGCTTTTGGAGCTTAACATGAGCTGACCTAATACACAGCTCACCAACTTTCATGGGATATACTCGTAGTTATGATTCTGTGCGCCCTGGAAGACAGAGTTAGCATCATCAGTACATCAGGTGAAGCAGGGACCTCGTGACCCCACCTGCTGGGCTCTGGCAAACACAGTGTCTGGCGACAACTTGCCTGGCCATAGCTACTGCTTCCTGGGAAATAAAGAAGTGATTCTGAACTAAATCTGTATGACCAAAATTGTGACATGACAGCTTTGCAAGGCCTTGAATGTAAAACCAGTTCATTTTCAGGCAGGCTTAAACTCAACATTATGTTCTTTCAATAGGGATGCGCTTACGGTTAAAGAATAGACTGCAGGGTCCATGTTATCCAGATCTCTTTCCAGTGGAGAAAACTTCTGATACATGGGACAGTTCTTGTCCCACAGAACTGGAGGCTTCAAAACATAACCACAACCACCATTTGCCTCAAACATTGCAGCATTTAAATGTAAAGGGAGATCTGTAAAACAAACAACAAAGCCAATATAGCTTGTTACTTTGTTATTTAAGTATCATCTTATCAATTTTAAATTCAAGGCCCAGGCACAGTGGCTCATGCTTGTAGTCCCAGCACTTTAGGAGGCCAAGGTGGGCAGATCACGAGGTCAGGAGATCGAGACCATCCTGGCCAACATGGTGAAACCTTGTCTGTACTAAAATACAAAAAATTAGCCAGGCGTGGTAGCATGTGCCTGTAGTCCCAGCTACTTGGGAGACTGAGACAGGGGAATCGCTTGAACTTGGGAGGCAGAGGCTGTAGTGAGCCAGGATTGCACCACTGCACTCCAGCCTCGTGACAAAGTGAGACGCCGTCCCTAAGCTCCGGCATGAAAAAGAGATAATCACCCATTCATCCCACAGATTGATAGATGCCTACTATGTGCCAGGTTGTGTTAGGGATCAGATACAGCAGGTAATAAGAGAAAAATTCCTGTCCCTATGGGGCTTACAGTCTAGCTATGCCCCGTGTTACCACACCAAACCAGGTTCTACCACTTGAAAACTCCTTTGCAAATAAAAATTTGCTACATCTGTGTGAAAAATCTTGTGAAAATACAGTTGACCATGGGGGATTGGTTCCAGGACTATGAGAAGTTACCAAAATCCACAGATGCTCAGGTCCATGATATAAATGGTGTAGAATTTGCATTATAACCTATACCATCATTCTGTATACTTTTTCTTTTTCCCCTGGAGCATAGATTAAAGTTGCCCTGAATATGTGTTTCCTTTCTGTATACTTAAAATCATCTCTAGATTACTTAATAATGCTATGTAAATGGTTGATATACCGTATTGTTAGGGAAAAATAACAAGGAAACAGGCTGTATATGTTCAGTGCACATGCCACCATCCATTTTTTTCATGAATATTTTCAACCCACAGCTGGTTGAATCCACACATGTGGAACCCAAGGATATGGAGGGCCAACTGTACCTCATTTTATACTAAATTTTGGAAAGGAATAATGGCTTATCTCTAAACCATGCAGATAATGGTATGGACAATTCTTGCTATTTCAAATGTAAGATAAAATCTTAATTGTAAAAGAAAGGAGAATAGCCAGAAAAAACATGCTTTTCCTTAAAATATCAATTTCAACCCATAAATTACATCTACTTCTTTAAAAAAAATTGTAAACATGAAAAAAAAAAAAAAGAACCCTATCACATCTGATTCACATCATGTCCACAATCTCCTCAATCATAAACATCGGGAATCCTCACAAAGGCTTTGAGGTTTTTGTTGCCAAATTTTATTTGGCACAGTTCTTTGATGAATTATTGGATTCCTGCACTCTTTCTGGGCTCTTACACACTGAAATGCTCATCTGATGGTGCAAGTCTGAATAGAAGTTGCCCAACTGAGTTGATGAGACACACCTGATGAATATTCCCTCAAATAGATTCCTTCCATGTGCAAGAATAAACTTTGTACATGGATCAAGGCAAAGTGCAGTAAGTGCCTTGGAATAAGGAGAAGTTAGCCTTTACTTGTCTTGTCTGTAAAATTTTTCCATGTCTGTGGGGTTGGCCAGTAGTGTGTGCAGGATTTCTGATGTAAGATGTCTTAGACATATGAAAGCTACTTATCTGTAAAATGAGTATAGTATAGAGGACCTCATCTCTCAGGTCCCTGCCAGTCCTGAAGTGACTGGTTCATTGTGGCCGTGCTGCCTTACCTGCTTTGGGAGAAAATTCTCTTCTCAGGCCACTCTGTCACAGAGGAACACAGACATGGTGAAAGTGGTGAAGAGTGTGAAGCCAACTAGCTCATATGGAGTTGGTAAAGGTGAAATGGACATATAGTACTAACAACAGCAATGACAGCTCACACTCTGCACTCTAAGGACCAGATACCATTCTGAGCACTTTAGGTGCACCTCCCAATAACCTATGAAGCAACTCCTTTTAGTATCTACATTTTTATGGATGAGGAAACTGAAGCACAAAGAATTGAAAACACCCAAGGAACATAACTGGTAAGTGGTGGATGCTATAATTTGAGCCCAGATTGCCTGACCTGTTGTTCCCAATCTTAACTACTGAGCCATATAATGTGCATCTTACAGGGGTGTGGATACGGTAAATGAGATTTGGCACATAGAAGGTACTCAATAAACAGTAACTTTTTTTGTCCTCATGACATCAACCTCAAGTGACTTCAGTAGCACCGTGTCTATCCTAATAATTTCCCAAAACATTAAAGCTGTAAAGCCAAAACTCTAAAGCTATTACAACTTTGAAGCTTTTTAACAATTATTTTTTTTAAGTTCCACGGTACATATGCAGGATGTGCAGGTTTGTTACATAGGAAAACATATGCCATGGTGGTTTGCTGTACCTATCAACCCATCCTCTAGGTATTAAGCCCAGCATGTATCAGCTCTTTCCCCTGATGCTCAGTATTCTAACTGAAATCTTATTTGCTGGCCTAACATGTAAAAGAGATCCATGTGGAGCTGTACAGTTTGGAATAAAGGTGGGACCTCAAATATAGCCCTCTTGCTGTCCCCTGGACGTGGTCCCAGAACTTCATCTGGGGCTATAAAATCTTCATTTTAAAAATCTTCATTCCAATGAAGTGAAAGAGTGTGCACACATCTGTGTAACCCTGCTACACCTCTGAATCAACGCACATGATAGATCAAGCATACCACTGCCTTGATGGTCTTCTACTCCTTAAAATACTCTGCATTATGTAGACACCATTCTCATATTTATCCCTATATTTGAGGATTGGGAAAGCCTATTATTCAAAAGAGCATAATTTTTTTTTTAAAAAAGAGGTTTTTCTTTTTACTAAGCATTTGCTGAGCATCCACTGTGTGCAAAGTATTAATATTAAACCAGGCTCTACCCCTAGTTTGCAGAAATGAAGACCATTTTTACAGATGTACACACTGATACTGCATGTAGCTTGTACTTTGTCCAACATGGGAGGTGTTTAATCAGCACATTGAATGGAGAGACGTTATATGATAGCACTTTTTCCCAGTTTGGAAGATTATGCAGAGAAACTTGTCATTTGAGTGGGATGGCTTAAAGATGTACTCCCAATCCCAACTTGATTTGAAAGAGAGGCAAAGTCAGTAGGGGTGTGTGGAGGACAGGCAGCCTTAGTCTGTACTTCTGGACTGCAGGGTGGCCCATGGAGTGGCAGCTCCCTGTGTCTCCTTCACCTGTGGCTTCCTTTTGCCATCAGTGGAGCCAGTATGTCTGTACCAGTCCTGGCACTTCTGGAGAAAGGGCACATCAAAAACCAAATGCAGTTCCATTTTCTTGTGAAAATTCTTTGATAGTCACTTCAGTTTACTTAAAATATGCTGGTATAATAGCCAATGGCACCAGTGGATACAGGACTACCGACAGGGCTAGAGATGTGAACCCACAAGCCACTCAGGAAAGAGTGAACGGAAATAAAAAATAACTTTTTTACAACTTTGAGAGTATTTCATGATTATTTCCATTTGTGAGCCCAAATCATACTGTTTTCATAACTTATCAAACACACTCAATGATAGTTAACCTTTGAGGAATGCTTTCTATATGCCAGGCACTATGCTAATTATGGTACTTCACTGGCATTGTCTTATTTAATTTCAACTGAAAGCAGCACATACAAGGGCAGAAATGTGACCAATATCTCCTCTAATCATATGTCCCTGGGGTTATCCACCAACGGGTATTGTTGGCAGCAGTGCCAGGTAGCCAGCTGGTCCCAGAGCTAAAGCTGTGGTTTGACCTCAGCTGGAGACAAGGCCATACTGTGGTTTGTGGTTCAGCATGGTTAGATGAGACTGGATTCAGTTCACGTGAGAAGAGCGATAACAGCTGCCTGCTGCTTGACTATTCAAAAGAAAGACTATGGTTTATGAACGAGGTTTTAGGAAACATTTGTCTTCTCTTTCTTCACCTTCTGCAGCACCTCTCCTCCCCCATAACCAAGTGGAAACAAAATACTTTATCCTTTAAACTTCCAGAATCCTTGAATTTATTACAAGTCATCCTGTAACCTCGAACAAATTAACTAATTTGTACCTTGGTTTGCTCATCTGAGAAATGGGGATCATAAAGGTACCCAACTTTAGGGCTGTTGTAAAGATAAGATAATAGTGGGTCAAAAATTAAGCATACTGCCTAATGCACAGTGAGCATGCAATAAATGACAGCTTTTACGCTGGAGATGTAGGCCTCATATCAGAGTCTAGTGGAGAAACATGATCACTACTTACTCTGTTCAGGTACTTCACATACTTGTTTTCCTTTTGCTAGCTACTCTGAGGGCACTGACCATTATTCTCCATCTCAATTCCAAAAGGATAAGAAGGTAAAATGGTTGTAATTTGCAAAGTGGCTGAAGCAACACTCCTTTTTGACTGCAAGAATAACTGCAGAGTGAGACAGGCTAACTACGCGGTGTTAGGAAATCCCTGCTCCAAAGAGCTTTAAACATAAATTGGGCACAGCTCTGTCAAGAGCAGCCTGGTATTTGAAAATTGCATTAAAAAGGGGCAGGATCAGGAGACCTTACAGGCACGTTCGAGGTTGTTTTCTGTTACCTTAATCTGAAACATGAGAGGCACAATTCAGTATCAAATTCACTTCTGTTTTCTGTCATCATATTTTCACTCTCACATACAGTGTGCCCCAGTCTGGAATCTTGCCCCTTTGAAAAACTGTCAAACTGCACTTACTGAAATGTAAGATGCAAAGGAGAGAGGTGAGCATGCAGGTCCCTTACCATCGGTCTGGTAGTTGAGTGCCACGAGCTGTATCCCATGGAGCCAGAACATGAGGGGGTTCGGGTTGGAAGAGTCGATGCGGGTGGCAGCAGGATAAGTTCTTAGCAGCTGACAGGCGGTGTGCTGGATCAGTTTCTGAGAATACCTGCGACATAGACGTTTGGCAGCATTTTCATTCAGCGACGAGATATGATAACATTTGGGAGTTCTAATGATCGCGCTGAGGGAGGTGGTTGGGTTGAGAGGGGAAGAAGATTCCTCCCAGGTCTGTCGAATTCCTTCACAGGAACCTAAACCACCCAAGAGATTAGCCGCAGATTAGTGTAGAAAACTTTAAATATTTTAGAAAGATAAACCTGAACAACATCCCAGTAAACAGTCACAGCATGTAAACCACATCAGAATACCTGTTGGATTTTACTTGTGAGTTAGTTCGCAACCTTAAAACAACATGGTGGCTACTTAGTTTTAAAATGAGTGTGGTGGCTGGGTGTGCTGGTTCACACCTGTAATCCCAGCACTTTGGGAGGTCATGGTGGGAGGATTGCTTGAGCCCAGAAGTTCAAGACCAGCCTGGGCAATATGGTGAGAACAAAAAATAAAATCAAACAATACCCCACAAGAAACAAAACAAAATGAGTATGGCAACATCAATTTAAATTAAAAGCCTGGAAGTTCTTTGCCTCTGTACTTCATCTGTGTTGTGGTATATTTGTACAAATAAACAATATATGTACAAGGGTATTCACTCCAGCATTGTTTTTCATAGGAAATAACAGAACCAAGAAGCAACCCAAATGGATCAGTGAAGAATTGATTAAATAAACGACAGTATGTCCATGCAGTGGACCACCACACAGGCATTAGAATAAGGAAGCTATATGTACAGAAAATTACGTGAAAAGTTATAGCAAGTACAAAGGTTATCCAAGTGTGTTGGTTATACAGGCATACCTTGTTTTATTGTGCTTTGTTTTATTGCACTTTGCAGATACTGCATTTTTCACAAATTTAAAGTTTGGGGCAACCCTGCCTCCGGCAAGTTTGTTGGTGCAATTTTTCCAACAGCATGCACTCACTGTATATCTCTGTGTTACATTTTAGTAATTCTTGCAAAATTTCAAATTTTTATTATTATTATATCTGTTGTGATCTGTGATGAGTGATCTTTGATGTTTTATTGTAATTGTCTCAAGTTTACATAAGATGGTAAACTTAATTGATAAATGTGTGTGCTCTGACTGCTCTACTCACCAGCTGTTCACCCATCTCTGTCCCTCTCCTCAGGCCTCATTATTCCATGAGACACAATGATATTGACATAAGGCTAATTAATAACCCTAGAGTAGCCTCTAAATGTTCAAGTGAAAGGGAGAGTCACACATTTCTCACTTGAAATCAAAAGTTAGAAATAAGCTTAGTGATGCAGGCATGTCAAAAGCCAAGATAGGTCAAAAGCTAGGTGTCTTGTGATAAACAGTTAGCTAAAATATGAATGCAAAGGAAAAGTTCTTGAATGAAATTCAAAGTGCTACTCCAGTGAACACACGAATGATAGGAAAGCAAAACAGCCTTATTGCTGATATGGAGAAAGTTTTAGTGGTTTGGATAGAATATTAAACCAGCTGCAATATACTTTAAGCCAAAGCCTAATCGAGAGCAAAGCCCTGAACTCTCTTCCGTTTTATGAAGGTTGAGAGAAGTGAGGAAGCTGCAGAAGAAAAGCTGGAAACTAGCAGAGGTTGGTTCATGAGGTTTAAGGAAAAGCCGTCATCATAACAAAATCAGCAGTACTGATGGAGAAGCTACAGCAAGTTATTTGCAAGATGTAGCTAAGATCATTGATGACGGTAGCTACATTAAACAACAGATTTTTAATGTAAATGAAACAGCCTTCTATTGGAAAAAGATGTCATCTAGGACTTTCATAGCTAAAAAGAAGAGATGTCAATGCCTGGCTTTAAAGAAAAGGCTGTCTCTTGTTAGAGGCTAATACAACAGGTGACTTTAAGTTGAAGCCAGTGCTCATGGACCATTCTGAAAATCCTAGGGCCCTTCAGAATCATGCTAAATCTACTCTGCCAGTGTTGTATAAATGGAACAACGAAGGCTAGATGACAGCATGCCTGTTTACAGCATGATTTTTCATGTCTGCTAACACAGTATCCCATCTGCAGCCTGGACAAAGAGTAATTTGGACTTTTAAGTCTTAGTTAAGAAGTAAATGTCAGAAGGCTAAAGCTGCCATAGATTGTGATTCCTCTGATGGATCTGGTGAAAATAAAATGAAAATCTCCTAAGAAGAATTCACCATTCTAGATGCTCTTAAGAGCATTCATGATTCATGGGAGGAGGTCAAAAGAGCAACATTAAGAGAAGTTTGGGAGAAGTTAATTCCAAACTTCATGGATGACTTGGAGGGGTTTAAAACCTCAGTAGAGAGAGTAACTGTAGATATGAGTAACAGCAAAGAAGTGTAGCCTGCAAATGTGACTGAATTGCTGGAATCTCATGATAAAACTTGAATGAATGAGGAGTTTCTTCTTAACAGATGAACAAAGAAAGTGGTTTCTTGAGATGGAATCTACTCTTGGTGAAAAACCCGTGAACGTTGAAATGACAACAAAAGATTTAGAATATTTCATACCTTTAGTTGATAAAGCAGCAACGGGGTTTGAGAGGACTGACTCCAGTTTTGAAAGTTCTACGGTGCGTAAAGTGCTCTCAAACAGCATCGCATGATACAGAGAAATCGTTTGTAAAAGGAAGAGTTGGTTGATGTGGCAAACTTCACTACTGTCTTGTAAGAAATTGCCAGACACCGCAGCCTTTAGCAACCACCCACCTGATGAATCAGTGGCCATCAACATCGAGGCAACACCCTCCACCAGCAAAAAGATTACAACTTGCTAAAGGCTCAGATGATTGTTAGCATTTTGTATCAATAAAGTATTTTCTATTGAAGGTATATGCACTGTTTTTAGACATAATGCTATTGCACACTTAACCGAGTATGATATAGTGTAGACATAATTTTTATAGGTATTGGGAAACAACAACCAAAAAATGTGGCTCACTTTATTGTAGCAGTCTGGAACCAAACCTGCAATATCTCCAAAGTATGCCTGTATCCCATTTGGATTATCTTTAAAAGGATCTTATTTTTTCTTTAACAAAACACAAACTTAACAGTGGTTACCTCTGGGGAATAGCACCAGGACATTGAGTGGAAAGGAATTTTAATAATACTCTGTATTGTTTGAGTTTTTAACTATGAGAATTTATTACTTTCATAAAAAAAGTAACTAGAAATAGATATGTCTTCTGGAGTTATAATGGTGAAGCGAACAGTTCCAAGAAACCACTTGAGTATTCCAAGATGCCTCTAATTTTTACTTTGAGGCAAACACTGAACATCTTCAGTGAAATGTTATTTTTATTTATTTGTTTATTTATTTTCGAGATGGAATCCTGCTGTGTTGCCCAGGCTGGGGTGCAGTGGCATGATCTTAGCTCACTGCAACCTCTACCTCCTGGGCAGGCGATTCTCTTGCCTCAAACTCTCCAGTAGCTGGGATTACAGGCGTGAGCCACCACACCCGACTAATTTTTGTATTTTTAGTAGAGAAGGGGTTTCACCATGTTGTCCAGGCTGGTCTAGAACTGCTGACTTCAAGTGATCCACCTGCCTCAGCCTCCAAAAGTGCTAGGATTACAGGTATAAGCCACTGCACCTGGCCTGAAATGCTATTTTTAGTAAGTATAAATTAGCAATTACAAATATTTATACTAAGACAATATTAACGTTCATAGAAATAAAAAATAAAAAATCCAGAGGAAGTGGAATATCTAAATCATCCAGCATGCAGAATCAAGCAAAGATATTGTAAGAAAGTAACTTTACTTTTTCCAGATGTTTTGTTAAATGATGCTGTCTCCCCTGGGCTCATTCTGCCCGGATTGTTGCCAAAAATGGACTTCCTGCTTTTCCTTTCTTTTCCTCTGCTAGAGCCAGATGCATTTAGAGTTGACAGGCCTGTTCCCATAAAATGAAAATAAATAAGCCAAAACCTACAAGCAAGGCAACTCAACATTTTCCATCCCCGTCAATGTTTATTTTGAAGTCCTACTACTCCCTTGGAACCTAGTACGGAAGCCCTGCTAGCAGTTTTTGTTCTGTTCATACTAACATTGTAGGCAATTAAAGCAAAGTTTAAAAAAATCTCTGTAGGCAATTGCAACAAGAACTGTGTGCCTATTGTAGAATGGCCACAAAATCACACACACACTTAGCTTATTGTGCATCAAAGCTTTTGAAAAACTGGATAAAAAGAAGGTGCTGTAGCCGGAAATGATCGGGGCTAATTATTCAATTTGGAGAGATGAAGAAATGGCTACGGGCTTAAGTTTTAGTGTCATATTGTCTAGGTTCAATTCCTACTGGTGTTAGCTTTGACTTAATACCAGCTTCTCAGTTTCCTTATCTACACAATGTGTGTAATGACAGGAACTCGCTCCTAGGGTTAGTCTGAAGATTAAATGGGAAATATGGTGAAAATTATGTTTCATGGCTTCTCTTTCTCACTCCCGGTCTAACCACTCCCTGGATCCTTCATGTCTGGTACAGTGCCTGGTGCAGAGCAGGAACTGAATACTTATTTGCTGAATGAGGAAATGAATACATACCACACAGACCTGACTCCAATGTAAAAAGAGTGAGCTGAAGGCACCAGTGAAGCCAGAATTGCCTCCAAATTGTTCCCACTGTCATAATTGTACCTTTAGAGAGTAATTCCCTAAGCTGAAGCAGCATTCAGGAGGTCCTCTTTCAGATGAAAATATACCTTCCAAGAACATCATCAGAGGAGACAGGCTAGAGTAGTGTTTAAGAGCATAGACTCTGGAGTGAGACACAGCTGGGTTTAAAATCTGTTCCTAGAAGGGCAATCTCACACAAGTTACTTAACCTCTCTAGATCATACTCTCCTCATCTATAAATGAGCTGTGGTTAGGAATAAACAAGAAAATATACATATACAGGTTGAATATCCCTTCTCTGAAATGCTTGGGATGCAAAGTGTTTCAGATTTCAGATTTTTTTTCCTGGATTTTGGAATATTTGTGTCATACTTAGCTGGTTGAGCATTCCCAGTCTGAAAATCCAAAATCCAAAATGCTCCCATGTGTATTTCCTTTGAGTGTCATGTCAGCATTCAAACAGTTTTGGATTTTAGAGCATTTCGGATTAGGGATGCGCCACTTGTCCATACTTAGTTGCATGTCTTGATAGCTTAATGTGGGGCTTTTAAGGTGTTATTTTTCCCCTCCAAACTATTCATAACAGCAAACATGCACAAACTTAGACTATTGAGTTCTTATGCCTTGATCTTAATATTTGTGTACATTTTGCTCTTGACACAATTATTTAATAATGGATTTTCTCCCAAGTAAAACTGATGAGGGGCCAGGGGCAAGGGCTCTGTTCATTCTAGGGTTTTGCATGTATCCTGCCACATGTCAGTATCTTCCACCATTATGTGGATACCTCAGTGAAGAGCCTGATTACTTTTTTGGGATGGGGAGGGGAAGAATGTAAACAAGGGCTGAGTGATCAAAAAAGTAAGGATTTTGGATTGTGAGAAGAGGTTCAGAAAAAATAATGAAGAAGCAACAAAGAATCTTCATCTACCCTGTTGGCTCACTTACCAATAACGACATTTCCAGAAAGCTATGTTCCAGACAATGTGCTAATCACGCTAGATACTTTCTTGCTATTTTTTACAGCAACTCTTTAAGTTAGGACTGTTACAGCCCTTTCATAGATAGGGAATCCCAGATGTAGAGCACCTTTAATACATAACTGTTCAAGTCAAGGTCACGGAGAGACAGAGCTGGGATTTTTTTTTTTTTTTTCTGAAAATGCTCTACTGGGCACATGGAACAGAGCTGGGATTTAAACCCACATGGTTAGCTTGATGGCTGCCTCTCTTCCTCAGTTGAGTCTCTAGTTAATTTCAGGGTCTTCCTCTCATCTGTTTTTCCTTGTGGTTGCGAATGAGAATGCTTATTTTAAATATAGGTGTTGGAACATCTGATGGTGACTAAAGCTTCAGGATAGAAGTTTGAGCAGAAGCAGTCTAGGTATTTAGGAATAAACCAACTCTGGAGGCAGATGCAGTGGTACACAGCAATAGTCCCAGTGATTTGGGAGGCTGAGGCAGGAGAATCACTTGAGCCCAGGTGTTTGAGTCCAGCCTGGGCAACTTAGCAAGACTCTGTCTCCAAAAAGAAAAAAAAATTACTTTTAAAAAAGCATAAATTGACTCCAGTGCATATGATGGCATCTTCCTTCAGAAATCCTAATTTGGCTGGAAGCTTTGAAATCGACTCCGTAGTGATGTACAGTCATTAGCCGCATAACAATGTTTAGGTCAACAGACCACATATATGACAGTGGTCCCATGTAAGACTATACCGGAGCTGAAAAATTCCTGTCACCTTCTGCTGTCCTAACATGATAGCATAACACATTACTCATGTGTTTGTGATTAGACTGGTGTAAACAAATCTAATGCGCTGCCAGTCACATAAAAGTCTAGTACTACAATTATGTATAGAACGTACTTGATAACAAATAACTATGTTACTGGTTTATGTATTTACTATACTTTTTATCATTGTTTTAGAGTGTACTCCTTCTATGTTACATATATATTTATGTATGTATGTATGTATGTATGTATGTATGTATGTATGTATATAAACTATAAAACGGCCTCTGGCAGCCTTAGGCAATTCCTTCAGGAACTATTGCAGAAGAAAGCATTGTTATCATGGGAGACGACAGCTCCATGCTTGTTATTGTCTCTGAAGACTTTCAGGAGGACAAGATGTGGAAATGGAAGACAGTGATACTGGTGATCTTGACTCTGTGTAGACCTAGGCTAATGTGGGTGCTTATATCCTAGCTTTTAATTTAAAAAGTTTAAAAGGTAAAAAAAAAAAAAAAATGAAGTAAAAACGTTAAAAATAGAGAAAAGCTTATAGAATAAATAAAGAGTCACAGAATGGAAAATTCTTTTTTTTTTTTTTTTTTTTCCATTCTGTGACTCTAGCCAAGGCAGGAGGATCACTTGAGTCCAGCAGATCAGCCGGGCAACATAGTGAGACCCTTGTCTCTACCAAAAAAAAAAAAAAAATTAATCAGGTGTTGGTGGTACATGCCTGTAGTCCTAACTACTCAGAAGGCTAGGGTAAAAGGATCACTTGAGTCCAGGAGTTCAAGGTTACAGTGAGCAATGATTGCACCACTGTACTCCAGCCTGGGTGACAGAGCAAGGCCAGGTCTCTAATTAAAAAATAAAAAGAAAAAAAATATTTTTATACAGCTGTACAATTTGTTTGTGTTTTAAGCTGTTATTACAAAAGAGTCAGAAAGTTAAAAAAAATTGTAAAAGTCACAGTAAGCTAAGGTTATTTTTGAAGAAAGAAAAATTTTTATTTATAAATTTAGTGTAGCCTTAGTGTCCATGTTTATAAAGTCTATAGTTGTGTACAGTACTGTCCCAGGTCCTCACATTCACTCGCCACTCACTCACTGACCCACTTAGAACAACTTCTAGTCCTGCAAGCTCCACTCGTAAGTGTCCTATACAGATGTACCATTTTTAACCTTCTATATTTTTACAGTACCTTTTCTGTTTATCTATGTTTAAATGCACAAATACTTATCATTGTGTTACACTTACCTACAGTATTCAGTATAGTAACATGCCGTACAGGCTTGTAGCCTAGGAGCAATAGGCTACACTGTAGCTTTGTCTAAGTACACTCTATGATGTTTCGTGCAATGATAAAATAATCTAATGAAGCATTTCTCAGAATATCTCCCCGTCCTTAAGTGAGGCATTACTGTAAATATAATCAGTGCTAGGCTTTCTTCTGGATTCTCTCCCAGAGACATCAGAGGATTCAACATATTGGCACTGCTAAAATCAGGAGAAAAGCTAAGTCTGGGGATGGTCTGAGAGCCACTCAGGGTCACACACTTCTCCTTCCTGAGTGCGTTGCCTGCCATGCACTGCAGGGCACAGCTGGGCCTCATCTTACCTGGTCCCTAGGCCTGAAAAGCTGTCTTCACTGGTTTGGCAAGCTACTGGGAGGCACTGAGAGTAACTGAGTTTTGGTGAACAGGGCTACCTCTCAATGGCGTGTTGGTTGACATTCTCCTGAGAGTTCTGTTCCTAACCCTCTCATGTCCTGAAATGCATCCCTTTGCCCTCCAAGATGTTCCAACCTGCAGCACCACTGTGGGTCTGAGTAACCCAGAATGGCTATGGGAAATGCCAAGGCTCTCTGTGGGGGATGGCAACACTCAGTGCCAGGAATCCACACCCAGCTAGCCCAAAGCTGTCCTAGGCGCAGGGTTCTACTTTTGTCATTCAAATGGCTTGTGAGTAAACCACTGTTTGATGAACAAAGCTTGTCTCTCAGTGCTGAGAAAACCAGTATGTGTGTCCAGGGAATGGACTGACATTTGCAAGGTTCTCCTCATGTGGATCCTTCAGTGTAGGAATAAAAATGAACACTGGAAGTCACAGAATCTTCTGAATGAGCCTCACCATGGAAGAATCCCTGTGCACCTGCTCTGTGGGCTGTGTGGTGGATCCAAAGGAGAATGAGGCAAAATTCCCCTCAGAATCAGATTTCCAGATCATCTGGCGCTGCCTGCTCCTGAATCGCCTGCCTTAGAAACCCAGGGACCAGGGCCTTGCAGTGCCTTCCAAATGTAAATCCCTGGAAGAGAGGCCAGAGACTGGGTATGTTAATCAAGTGGCCTGGGTGATTCTGGAGATTTCAGCAAGTGTGGTAAACAAACAAGGATTCTAGTCAAATCCACTTTTGAATGAGAAAGGCTCAGAGAGATTTGCCTTGGCCAAATGACAGTGCATGGTAGCCAAGAGCCCAGGTCTCTGACCCATGCTCTTATCTGATGATCTGGTCACCACTGAATAGTATTTTTCTTAGAAGATTGTACTCTTTTAAGCTATGGGTATGCCAAAGCATACAGAGCAGTAAAATGGACATTGGAGACTCAGAATAGGGAGCGGGAGAGAGGTGAGGGATGAAAAACTACCTATAAGGTACAATGTACACGACTTGGGTGACAGCTACACTAAATTCCAGACTTCATCACTATACAATTCATCCATGTAACCAGAAACTACTTGTACCACTAAAGCTGTCAAAATTTTAAAACTCAAAAGAACAAGGTTGTACTCTAACCATGGAACAGTTGGGTATCTAGGAGGTACCCAAACATATGTCTATAAATGAAGGAGCTCCAGAAAGGAGATGTCACAGTGAGTTGAAGAGTCTCAGATACTTTACAAGGACCCGGTCAAGGGGTCAAGGGGTCAAGGGGAGCAGGAAGGCCAGGCAAGGCTGAGAACACTCTCTGAGCAAAGGCCTAGCACTGGAAAGACAGCAGTGTGTGTAGGTGCCTGAGGAGACTGGAGGATGCAGGGGAGCTTGTGGGAAGATACTGGAAACTACGTTGGTAGGGTCATAAAACAAAAATACTATACCTTTCTTTTTCTTTTCTATTAGAAGGAGAAAAAAACCCAGGTCAATAGAAGTACTAAATACAACCCAGAGACAAACCCTAAGGGAAAGCAGGTAGAAAAAACTTGACTACTTCCATATTGTGCTGCAAAAGAGCCCACCCCTGGAGTTGACAGGAGTTCTGGCTCTTACCCTGCCACTGAACTAGCTTCTGATGGTGAGGAAGTTCCTTCCCTTCTGTGGCTTCATACCACATGATTGTTGGGTGCCTTATACTGCAATGAAGGGTTTTTTTTTTTTTAATGGCTTGTAAGAAGGGACTTGGGATGATGAAAGGTGACATACACTGAAATTGATAATGCGGCAAAATTAAAACAAATAGCATAGCAAAATGAACAGTTTATGGCATTTTCCTCGTGTATCAAACACATGATAACAATAAATATTTAGAAGGTATTGTAACAATAATTTTTGGCAATCCAATTTAGCTATTTTGAGAAAGGAAATAAAATTGGGGAAAAAATGTAAGAAACTTCATTTTTCTAAAAAAATTAAAATACACTATACCTATAAAAAATGTGTGCTACATGAACACTTTTAAAAAACAACATACTTGGAATTTTAAAAATAAGTCAACCAACCACATGCTTAGAAGCTCTACCAAATGACCTCTTGATCCTTCCATGATTTTCTACCGGTACAGAGACTTTATCTTTCACACTGACTTCAAATCTCTTTGGGAATTTGTGCTCCTTATATACCAAGTGCTTGAGAAGAAAAGACAGTCAGTGGGATGGTCCAAGTGTAGCATCAGCTGCATTTATAAAGAATAAGAAATGCAGTGGGTGTGATTCTTAAACAGAGACTCCTGTTCTCATCCTTGTTCCTGCAGTGAAGGACATGCCAGCCTCCATGCTCTTTGACAGGTAAAGAATTTTATGCCCTCATAAAAAGAGTCTTGCCAGTTGCAAATAATGCTCATATTGTACTTATATGCTGTGAGGTCATGGTCTGTGAAATTAAACTTAAATGGCTAGGTTCCTGCATTTCTTTGAAATCTCTGCTGGTTACTTATTGATTCATATCCTCCTCCATAGGATTTGCTAGCAGACCAGCAGTAGCAGCTGCCAAAAGTTTAAAAACAGTTTATAGGAGAAAACTTACAATTAAAAATGATTTTAATCTCATTAAATATATGATTTTTATATCATTAAATAATATTTTTTTTACTCTGGTGTGTAAAAGGGTCACTATTACCTAATTGTGATTTGAAGAATTTAATTATTATTATTTTTTAGAGGTGAGGTCTTGCTATATATGTTGCCTAGGCTAGACTTGAACTCCTAGACTCAAGCATTTCTCCTGCTCAGCCTCTTTGGTAGCTGGGACCACAGGTACGCACCACCACACCCAGTTTGCCTAACTTTTAAACAGCCCAATGCTTCTGGCCCATTTACCAGGCACAATGTGAGACTGGGTGCTTAAGATATGCTCTAAGAGCCAGGACCTGAGTTCAGCCCATCTTGAAAAGATGAAGACATTTTAGTGCCTCTCTCCAGGCCAAGTCAGTATACCCTGTTTACTAACACTTAGACTGATGCTCCTATCTCAGCCACTTTCCCATTCTCAGAAATTTTATTCAAGAGAATCCTTTTTCTTAGTATGAAAAGATGAATTTTTCTGAGTTCCATGTACTTATGGAGTTTGTTGTTTGTCCTCCACCCCAGGTACCCCATTTGCAGGACACATAATTGAGTAAGCTCATTGAAAACAGCTTGAAATGAAAGAGGCCAGGCAGTATAAGGGGTAAGGGCAGGACTCTGGAAACAGGCCATAGGTCTACCATTCATTAGTTGAAAAGGACACTGTTTTGGGGAAGTAGTTTATCAGCCTAAGTCCACTGTACTTCTAGAAACAGTCAGTTGGGGAAATCTCCCCTCCCACTTCAACCCCATCCGTGGTTCTTGTGATTTGGGTGGGGCCTTGCTACCTAGCTCAAGGGTGGAACATGTGACATGGGCTCCAAACCATCAGAGCACTGCATTCCTCTGGCCACAGTAAGTGGTTAAGGTTTGGGTAAAGGACCCAATGAGAAACAATGACACTTGGGTAAAGGACCAGTGAGAAACAATGACACTTCTGTGGGAAGTTCTGGACGATCCTCCTCCCCTGAAGCTGAAACTGGAAGCATGTAGTGCCAGCCTGCTGAAGCCATCTTGTAAACACAAAGAAAATAAAGGAAAGAAAGCCAGTGTGATGGTGGCAGAATGAGAAATGAGGAGAGAGAAAGCATGTGCCTTGGTTCAGCTACACCTGAAACTTGTGTGTCTTCATTTTTAAGTACATGAGTCAATAGATTTCCCTTTGCTTAGGTCAATTTCTGCCACTTTCAGACAAAAGAATCTTAACTGATATACTCTGAAACTTGGAGCAAATTAATTCATCTCTCTCAGACTTGGTTTTATTTTAAGATAGAGGAAATATCACCTACCTTGTATAATTATGCACAGTAAAGGAGATGTATGTAAAATAGCACGGATCCTAGTACTTAAGTACTTAATACATTTTAGCAATGAGAAATTATGATTATTATTTTCATAATAATTATTAACTACGATAAAAAGACATTGTGTGATCTGGAAAATGAATTATGGTATTTTACCTCATGAGCATCAAAGCAAATTATAACAATAAAGATATTTAGGAGGTATTATAACAATGATTTCAGCAACACAATTTAGTTATTTTGAGAGTGTTCACAATGCCCAATTAAATAAATGACACAGTTTTAACCTTTGGTATCTTTAAATGTTATAGATGATACTGCCTAATCTTACCTGGAAATTTTACTGCTTGGCAATAGATTACAAGGTCAGAAAGCTCTGGTGCAATCTGTCTGCTTTCCTTTTTATTCTGAGCAAGATAAAATTCTTCTCCTAGTTCCATATCATAAACCTAGTAAGGGAAAATGATACCATTTTACATGGAAGGTATATGCCACTCCTCTCTGAATTCCCAAAGCTCTTTATCTGTTCTCTTCTGATGTTATGACTGTATTTCCCCTTGCACGATAATTATCCATATACATATCCCAACAGCTTTCCTAGAATAAAAGCTTTCTGAGGGCAGGAGATGAGTCTAATTCATTCTTCATCTTCCCTCACTGCATGGTCCACTGTCTTACATGTGGAATGGTCAATTAATCTTTGTTAAATAAATAGAAGATTGGCTATGTCTCTTCTGTGGCTCAAATTTTTGACATATTTTATAATTCCATTATCCAACAATGTCACTGCAACTACATGTAAAGATTTGCTCAGAGTCTATAAATCATGAGGCACTTGAGGGTAGGGTCTGGGTATCTCATTTGTCTTTCTGTTCTCAGTGTCATTCCTCTGCTGTCTGGTCCCTGTTTATCTTCTTGGTAATCCCAAATGCCTTTAAAACTTCTTACAATTCCCTGGACATACCAGGCTGTCCTCTTGACCTGAATGTCTTGTTTTTGTCTGCTTGGCCAAATCTTCCTTCTCAAACATCATCTTTCCTTAGAGCCTGTCCTTAATTCTCTGGCAACACAGTGTAATCACTATTCTATGCACTTATCTTCAGCAGAGTTGACATGTCTATCTCCATTACTAAACCACCTCCTGTGCCACTTCAGTACCTGCCACACATGGACCATCAGTAGGTATTGGTTGGGTGAATCAATGACTAACTTTCCACAAATGGAGGGTGGGTATCTCATAATATCACCAAGTGAACTTTGACATCTAAAGGAAAGTGAGGGGGAAGGTGAAAGGGAGGGATTGGGAGGAAGTGGAATCCCAGCTGAAATTGACAAGAGTACCGCATGGTCCAAGTGTCATTTAACAGAAAGCATTCACCCACCTTTCCTTTGTTGCAAGCTGAGTTATCTGCTTTCTTTATCCTCTTCGGGATTTCTTCATTATACTCGAACTGAAGCTTGTCATTACATGATTTATTTTCAGGTCTGTCTTCTAGAATGTTGTCTGAAAATAAGTTAGCAGGCTTCAGTGAAAAAGAACCCAATGCTTCACTTAAGAGCTACCGATATATATCACTATGAGGACATCCAGATACTTAAATGAGGCTCTACCTATAGTATGTTAACAAAATGATAGCTTGAAGCATACTTGTAAAAATTGGGTTGATGCAGTTATTTTGAACTTAATTGATTTATTGACGAGTAGTTTTTGTCACTTATAGACATAATTTAAATGATTCCAAATAATCTGGCATACAGACATAATCTAAATAAGGATGCCCATTTTCATACAGATAATTGGAACTGTGCAAATATTATGGAAGAATCCTATGTCAAGAAGCTGACAGCACATGTTTGGGAAGGATTTAGTGACTGAAGCACTTCTAGATGGTACATATATGATTTAAACACTCTCCCTTTGAAATGAAGCTATTTACTTCTTTTGCCTTGAGAAATGCCAAAACCTAGGGGGAAAGACTTATTATTGGATACAATGCAAAGTTTTCACAATTATAATAAGTTTTCATGACTGTTATTACTATGATAATCATAAGAACAGAAAATAAAATGTATCTAATAAGTATGAGATATAATCATATTTTGCTGTTTTTTTGCCCTTCTATTCTGAACTACTCTAAAGGTATTAGAGGTGATGGTATCGTGATGATGGCCTTTTAAAACGAAAAACAAGAAAGTTAATTTCTCACTCAAGATTTAGCATCTCATCAGAGCACAAATGCTTAGACCAAAATGACCGTATATCAAATCAGGGCCATGCAGGCTAAGAAGTAAATGAGATAAATCATTTCATTACATGTGTATTCACAGAAGTATCACAACATCATGCTAACCAGGCCCAAGAAACTGGAAACAGAATGCTGATGTCCATGCAGTTAGAATGCCCAGTTCAAATGGCATTTACCTTCCTGACTGTTAGGAGCAGGGGAGGCAGTAAGGACATCTGCTATAGAAAAACAGAATCAGAAAGGGGTAAAGAAAGGAGAAAATTGAGACAAACACCAGATAAATTAAACAAAGGCATGAAGCAAAGCATAAATAACAGCAGCTTAGATTATCAGATAAATGAAACAAGAAATGCTGTATAATATTCTGACTGTTGAGTGACGCAAAGACTAGCAGTAAAAGAAAAGTGAACATTATTAATGTGAATCATGCCAAGGTTGACACATCGATGTTACATATTTTGAGTTACTATTGTAATACTCCCAATATAACTTCATTTCAAATAGAAACAGTAATTTGTTGGAATCATGCTGTCATTGTCATGGAATATGTCCATGTTAATTGTAAATTCAGATTTATCTGCAGTGTATGTTCAAAACTAGTCACAAGGTACACAACAAGGTTGGAAGAAAAATATTCATTAAGCATTTATTACCCAAAAGGCAGAGTTGCAATTTCTAAAGTACATAACTATCATTTGCAACTTCCTTAGGGTTTTCTTGCAATAATTCTGTGGCTAGGCATTATCTCATTTTTTTTTGCAACAATTATTTTTTTATTGTACTTTAGGTTCTGGGGTACATGTGCAGATCATGCAGGATTGTTGCATAGGTACATACATGGCAAGGTGGTTTGCAGTCTCCATCCCTCTGTCACCTATATCTGGCATTTCTCCCCATGTGATCCCTCCCCACCCCTGCTGTTCCTCCCCTGGCCCCCCACCAACAGACTCCCGTGTGTGATGCTCCCCTCCCTGTGTCCTTGTGTTCTCATTGTTCAGTGACCGCCTATGAGTGAGAACATGCGGTGTTTGGTTTTTTGTTCTTGTGTCTGTTTACTGAGAATGATGGTTTCCAGATTCATCCATGTCCCTACAAAGGACACAAACTCATTTTTTATGGCTGCGTAGTACTCTGTGGTGTATATGTGCCACATTTTCTTTGTCCAGTCTATCATTGATGGGCATTTGGCTTGTTTCCAGGTCTTTGCTATTGTAAACAGTGCTGCAATGAACACACATGTACATGTGTCTTTGTAATAGAACGATTTATAATCCTTTGGGTATATATCCAGTAATAGGATTGCTAGGTCAAATTTTCATAGCCCAAAGGAATTTAATTAAATAATTATTTAAATAAAGGAATTAATCTAACACGTTGGCACGAATCTAACATCCTTGGGTATGAAAACAAAGGACGAGAGATGCCACAGAGATAAACTGGGCACCCTGACTTCAGAGATAGGTTCTTAATCTAGGATGCCAATGAGGGTCTTGGGAAACATGAAACTCTTGTAGTTGTGCAGAATTTTGAGAGCACATTTTATTTTTCAGAGGTGACAGCTTTCATCTGATTCTCAAAAGGACCTGTTATTACAAGAAACTAGGAAACCTTTTAGGCCCCCTAAGAGGCTGGTCATGGTGCTTCCCACAGCAGGTAGATTTCTGTTTTCTGTCCCTGCTGGAGAAAGTGGAGATGGTCACAACAATAATTAAAGGCGTATAGTTAGCAAGGCATTTAATAGTCACATACAGAAGCCTTAACTGGACAAGCTTTAACAAGTCACAGCATAACTATAAGGCTTGTTGGAGAATCATCCAGTCAGAGGGATCTTTCAATGAAAGAGGAAATACTCATTAGTGGTAGTGGGCTTAAGTGGTCATACATCATAGACGTTAGTCCTGGAAGTAAAGGAAGAATATCACCAAACACTTCACAAAACCTTCTCATTACATATCTGAGGCCTGTAAGGCCTAAAGTGAAAGGACATTGCCCCAGGTCTCCTAGTCTATTGGAACAGAGCCTTGTGGGGTCCCCATTTCCACTGATACCCCATCTCTGCTTATGTGGATTTTTAAAAATGCATGCAACTATCTTATAAATTCATGGTATAGAATTAAATTTTACTGTCCCAAATGAAAATAAATCAGAAAGATCCTTCTCCCACTTTTTCATTTTGTTATTTGCAAATCAAAACCATCTATAACAATTATTTTTTATTTCTCTATGTGAAATCTACAGTATAATAATAATTTCTAAAAACTTTCTCCTTTTCTGTTCTCAGAAATAAAGAAAAAGTACAGGAGTAATTTAGGAGAAAGCAAATTTGTTTTCTAGTGGACTAACTACTTATAGGGGCATATGACATCTGGATTAATTTCTTAACTGTGTTTTTTATTTCATATCTGAATCAATTTGTTCTTCTATGGGGCATTACTGAAACTGTAATGGGGAAGAAATCCATGAGGAAGAAGACTATAAAAAATTCACATTCCCATGACTTTTCAGGAATAGGCTGTAGAGAAATTGTCGTGATTCCTTTTAATTTTTTCCCTCTTACTATCTGATATGTCCCTCATATTAGCTCATGGGGTTTCAGGTGTAGCGAATTAGCTTTTAATTGATGGTAGGAAGCAGGAAGCAATCAGCTATTACTAAGGACAACTATTAAGTGACATAGTTTAGTATTATATTTGGGGGCAGACAGAGACTGCAGTGTAACAAGTGATGGAGGTTCACAACCCAAATTTCTGCTGAGCAGCAGATATTTGGATGAGGCGGCTCAGTTGTCTTAATGCCTGACACAACTTAATGGTAAGTTGTTTCTGGTCTGGGCATATCTGCATATTTAGCAAAACAATTATTCTACATAGAAACAATATATTCTACTGTATAATGTTTATAGAAATAGGAACCTTGGCATTTTCTTATTATATTGTTGTCTTTCAGACGTCACCAAAATGAAACAGTCTTCTATCAGTAAGGGAACCTGAGTAAACATTCTGCGATCTCTAACAAGTGTTTAATGCAAATGAAACACACTGAAAACCTAATTCTTAAGTGAGAAGAATCCTTCGCTAGTAATCTGTAGTTAATACCATTCATGTGACTTATTTGTATTGCAACATTAGCAATTGCCCATGTTTTTTCTCTTTGGTAGGGCCAGAAGGAAAGATCTTGTTGGCTTAGTGGTTTGAGAGTGAAACAGAGAGCACAGAATCGTGATGCTGCCCTCTGCCGGTGGTGCAGGAAAAAGGACGCAGCCTCAGACTACAATTCCTGCCAAGAGCATCAGCCACAATAGAAACTAAAGGGTGAAAACAAGATTTCTTTGCTGCAATTTCATCTCTTCTTCTAAAACTTGTCATAGCAATGACTCCCTGTAACTTCCCACACCTGCCTCTTCTTTCCTTAAGTGGTGGCTAACAGAATCCCTTTCCTTCCTCAGTCCTTGCTAAGTGACTGAATTCAGAAACTCCTGGACAATATTACAACAATCTGTATTATTGGTCTCTGGAGCTCCAGGTTTATTTTAGAAAGAAAAATGTGGAAAATCATCCAAACATTTTCCTGTGTACAGCATAGGGATCTGTTTCTCTTACCATCAGAAAGGGATTCATAGTCATAATCATATTCGTCCTCCTCATCTTCCTCTTCCTCATTATTGGCAGGTAGGGGGTTGGCATTCCCACCATTATAAGCCTGTGCTTGCATAGATGCTAACTGATGAGCCTGTAAAATAGCAATAATTGTAAACTGCAGATGCCAAGCTACCGAATTCATTTATAACCTTCAAAACTACCCCTGATGTTTAACACAATCGCTAAAAGTAGCTTAACCTATTTTGATACATTTGGGAGACAAGAAAAAAATCTAGATTCACTTGAAATGCAATGTCAACACTCAGGTGAATGTTAGCATTCCTACAGGAAGAATCCTGGAGCTTTTATACACGGTCTCCAGAAGACTGAAGTGCCCAGCTAGCCAGGTTCCCAGGGCAACCCCTCCAAGAGAAAGCTTTGGTGCTTTGGAGAACCAGCATCAATCCCAAATGACTGAGGAAGTGAATCACCCATCAATTTTTGAAAGTATGTCTTTGTTAATACACAATTTTTTCCCCTTCTTAAAATAGTATCTACAGGCCCCTGACCTTGAGAACAATGTTAGAATCCTTATGGACAAAGAGGCCTAAAGAATTATTGTTGGTTTAAATAAAGTTTTTTCAGAAGACTATCTGAACCATAAATCAGATTAACAAAACAGGCCTGGAAGCTTTAGGAAGTTGATGTGTGCAGCCAGGAAGGTCACATACTCCATGTTTACTGGAATTACTGTGAAGTGACAAGCATCAGGACAGGTCTGGGAAACTGCCTAGCTTAAGAAAATCATCTGAAACATAGGAAAAGTTACTTGCATGAACTAAAAGCAAGAAACAACCTAAAAGTCCAACAATAGAGGAATGGGGTCAGTAAGCAGTGGTTGTCTGCTTGAGAGAATGAGACATGAAAAAATAATTGATACATGTTTATTGAACAAAGGAATTGAACAAATTCTTTTGTTCAATACATTTTTTCATTCAATATTTATAAATTGAATATCATAATATATAGATTACTTATGCACATATACATAGACAATTCTGCATGTGTATGTGTGCATAGGTATGTGTGTGTGCTAATATATACTATATATAAAATGTATGTGTGGGCACACAGATATCTATACACTATGTAAATATACATATAATTCTGTATTCTTTGTTTTATATATTGAACGTGCAATTATATAAAGTGACAGTCAGAAAAGTGCTAGATAGTAAATGTTAATACAGCCGGGGTTCTTCACTTGCTTTGCATCATAGACTTCCCTGGTTGTCTGGTGAGGTTGTAAATGCATAAAATGAAATGATTAAAAGGAAATACTGTTGAATACACTTATCACATGTTATAGGAACAAATTTGTGCTATTAGAATATATGTGTTTCTTTATTAACACAGTAGAAAACACAGTAGTAGGTCAAGTAACATTTTTGAAAATATAAATTGAGCATAAATAATTCTTGGAGATATTAGTGACAACTGTGAAGTATAATGAAAAAGTTGCCATTTCTATTGGTGACGATAGGTACTGCCTACAGTACTGTAGTTTATTCCCTACATTTATAATCAGAGGAAATGCTAAATTTCAGCTAGAAATTAATGAAAATAAAGATGTAATTTTTTTTCCATTTATACCTACAGACTCCCTAAATTCTATTTGTGGATATTACCAAGGTTAAGAACTCATGTAATACAGGTGTGTTTGACCCTGGAATTATGTATGTTTTAAAATAATTCTCTATTCCCCAATTTTTTGAAATGTGGTTATATTACCTTTATAATAAAAATGTATACATAAGGAAGATACAATTTAGGCTGTGTCCATATCCAGATGAAACCTATTCCAGATAACTGGACATTGTCTAAGCTGAGATTTCTCAAAGTGGGTTTTATGGAGCTCTGTAGGTGTTAATAAGTGTTATGGAAAAACTGACAATCACAGGAACCACAAAACACATTGAATGCCTGGAAACAGCAGCTTAACCAAACCTGCACACATTCCTACTGCAGGGTTTCACATAGCCTTCATTTAATATGCTAAAGGGCATTGCGAGTCTTCAAAGATCTCCAGTGCAACATGTCTCATGCTTATTTAACCAGGGAGGATTTTCTTCCCCATCTTTCTCTTCTCAGAGTCTCTCATAGCATTCGTGTTCTTCCAAACTTTGGGAAATCTGTTGTAGCCAAAAGCAGGTCTGTTTATGGCTGATAGGAGAAGGGCCTTGACGCAGCGAGCACTCAAGGTAACGCCAAGTGCTGGGAATGATGAGGCCAAGGGCTGGACAGACCCACTGGCAGGAAAGCATGAGAACTGTATGGGAGAAGGACACCACTCAAAGAACCACGGACAGCAGTGTCTGAAAGTGGAGTGGCAAGACCCCTGAGATGCTCAAGCAGAAGCATGGGAGAGGTAGCCCAATGAACAGTCAGCAGCTGGGACCCTTCTATGCAATATCGTACTTATTCTAGGGTAGAAAAATGGGACCTCAGCCCTTGAATAAAAGTAACTCGGATATAGATCAGGGTTGGAGGTATGGGTCAGATGAGGAGATTGGTCCTGATAGGGCTAGGCAGGAGCAACGTTTTACCCTTCTCTGTTTCCCCAGTAACTCGCCACAGTGCCTGTTATCTAGGGCGAAATGTTGGAGTTTTTTGGGTTCAAGTTCAGGAGAGGAATGTCAGAATCTTGGAGAATCTGGGTGGGATATAGTTAGGAGACCTCAGGATGCATCTCAGCACAAGCCAGAGGCAGGTGGAGGGCTTCATAAATCATGCTCTGAATCAGTCCATCCTTGCTGAGGGTGAGTTCTTTGTATGGAAATGATGTAGGCTTTCTATGTTAAGGGATAGATCTGAGCCCACTGGAGCCCTGGGCATTCACCCACCTTATTTGAGGTCAGATCACTAGGTCTAGACCCATGATCTACCAGAAAACGGAAAGGCCTTACAGATAGGACAATGCAATCATTGCTGATACTCCCTGGGAAGTCATCATGAAAGGCTGCAAGCAGTCTTAGAAAACTGGAAATCGGGATTATATTGTCCCATTTTTCCAAAATGAGGAACAAGTAAGCTGTGGAAATTATACTGTGGGCAATGTCAAGGTGATAACTGACAAAATTTCATGATGGGGTATTAATCACTTGGTTTGTGAGAAGTTGGAAAATAAAGAGATGGCTTGCAAGAGTTGGAAAGGGTCTCCTAAGAACAAGCTTACTGCCCAGTAACCTCCTTAGCTTTTTTGGATAAGGTAATTTACTTTGGGGAAAAATCCAGCAGATAAATAGTGTTTCTCAAACTTCCAGGATTATATGAATTATTATTGTTATTTATTTTTTTCTGCAGACACCATGGTAACTTAAGGAACTATTTTTATATCAACAGATGACCAGGCCTTTCTTGTGGAAATTCTGACTTTAGATTCATGACCTTAGAATCTGTTTTTCAAAGTGCTCCAGTGATTATTCTTATTAATAATTCTGACTTCTGTATCACCTTTGAAAAGGGCTTCTATAAAGACCCACATCTGAGACTAAGCTCTGCTGCTATGAGCTGGGTGGCCTTGAGGAAGTCACACAAGTGGCCAGGCTTCAGTTTTCTATTTTATAAATAAATCAATAAAGAGGTTGAAGCACACTATGGGAAATGCAGGCTGCAAGAGAGGAGAGCACCAGACAGGAGCAGTAATCATCTAAATGTCGGGGGTTCTTTTAGAAGGACACAGACCTCTTCTCCATGGCTGGCTGACTCAAAGGCAACTTGGGATGAAGATGCAGTTTGAGAAACTGCTAATAAATGGGCCAGATGACAGAAACCAAATTCACAAAGAATCTTGTAGACTGTATTAATGTACCAAAACCAAGAAGAGCAAAAATAGAGGTAAATATGAGGCTCCCATATATAAAAGGTTAGAATTTATTGTTAGTCTGGAAAAATGGGAAGACTAGGCATGTCTATCTGAAAATAATTGAATGCTTTTTATTTTCTACGAGCTTAACACGAGCCCAATGTGTGCTAGAGAATTTTTTTTTTTGAGGTCAGGGTCTCACTCTATAGCTTAGACTGATGTGCAGTGGCACGATCATGGCTCACTGCAGCCTTGGCCTCCCAGGCTCAGGTGATCCTCCTGCCTCAGCCTCTCCAGTAGCTGGGAATACAGGCACGTGCCACCATGTCCAGCTAATTTTTATATTTTTTGTAGAGATGGGGATTTGATATGTTGCCCAGGCTGGTCTTGAACTCCAAGACTTAAGCAATCCACCTGCCTCAGCCTCTCAAAGTGCTGGGATTACAGGTGTGAGCCACAGCAGCTGGCCAAGAATTTTTAAAAAGAAAACAGTCTGAGGCTGCATTAACAAAAGTTTAAAGTTCAAATTAGGGGAGGTGATGGTTTCACTGTTCTTGGGCTGTCAGATCCTATCTAGAATACTGACTTAGTTCTGGAAATCACATTTTAAGATTGATAAATTCAGGAATATCCAGTATTCTTAATGGTAAATGAAAAGTCTTAGCAACCATATCCTGTCAGGAATAGTTGGCACAACAAGAATTTTTAGCTTGGAGAAGAAAAGCTGGTGGGGAAACACATGATAGCTTTCTAAATATAAAATTAGTCTGTACAGCTGCAGAGGGTAGAGGGAGAAGGAGGAACAGGAAGGAAGGTTTGGGCTCAACAAGAAAGACTTGTTCATCAGTGGAATGAAAGCCTTATAAGTAATTGCAAATGACTGTGCCAGAATGGGAAAGGCAAGGACAGTCACATATATCTTGAAGACCTTAGCAGTATGTGTGGTTAACAGCTTTATCTTTTTGGCAGTGAGGATGGGGCAGGAATCGTTGGATAGAGAAAACAGCATAGACGAACAAGGCTCTAGAAGAGAAAGCACCACTGCTGAGTGGTCAGTCACTGAGGTGGCATTTGAGAAAGGCCAGGTAGAGTACACATGCTAACATTTCAGTTAAATAACGTCATAACAAGGCCCATCAGCAGAGGTGACATGGCCTCTGGAACCCCAGCAAAGGTCAGGTCACCTGGAGATGCTTTGAGAGTATAGATCCAGATCAAGGTAGATCTAGTGGAGGTTTCCAACTGGTGGCCCTTGGGGCAGACTTCACCTCCAGACCTGACTTGTTTGGCTGGTGCAGTGTGTTAAAAATAATTGAATTCGAGCTACTCGTTGATGAGGCGTGCACACCCCACTCCTGTCCTCACCACTTCCAGCTGTCCTGTATCCAGCTGGCTCCTCACACTGATGTTTCCTGCTTAGCCCCTGAAGGTGACTGATTGTGCAACTTTTGGCTCAGAGTCGTGAGTGATCTTCAAATTGGGTAATGTGTACCTCCGGAGTACACAACGATTCCAAGGGAATATGCAGGTTTCGATGTTCGTCAAGAAACTGGTTTCTGAAGCTTTAGCATCTATGTACTTGTTCCCTTTGAAAGACAGGTCAGCCTGAGAGCAAGTCCGTAGCTGGCTAGTTTCCAAAGTGATGTTTTAGGAGCAACAGTGCCCTCCTGAGTAGGACAAGTAGTTTTACCAGCTGTCATCCTGTGGGATAAGTAGGTGCAGCCTGGCAAATAGACTCTGTGTTCTGGACCTGAACTTTCTTCACAGACCTTTGGGCTGAAGGTCTTCTACACAGGTGAGTTTGTCGTTCTTGGGCACAGATCTCTGGATGAGAGAGCCCCGCTAAGGGGGCTCTCCCTAAAGGGGACTAAGCAGCCATTGTGGGATGGACAACCCTGAAGCTCACTTTCAGACACAAGTCACTCATCATCCCACTCAGAATACATTAAATAACAGGTTTATTCGATGTGGGAACAATTCCACAAATTAAATTCTAGGTCAGTGAGATGAGAGAATTTAGGTCTATGAAATTTGGGTCTATGAAAGGCCCAAAATCAAATTTATCATTTAAGGAAATTCAATCTTGAAAAACTAGTAAACCAGCAGGTCATCTGAAAGGTTAGAATGACTTTTTTTTGTTGTTGTTCTAAGCACACTGCCTTTTCATAACCGGTTTCACAACAGGGGAGTACCTTTTGCTTTAAGATGTCCACTGGTGTCTGATGGGCTTTTAGCTTCTTGTTTTTAAGAAGCACTTTCCTTCTGAGTTGGTCAGGTGAAGGAAGCATTGGATCATCTGAGAAATCAGTCTCAAACAAGAATTTAGCCACCAGCTTTTCTCCAAACACAGTCTAAAAAGAATTTTAAAAAGCATACAATCAATACCTTTTATCTATAATTGATAAATACATGTATACTTCATAAATATAGTAGATATTTTAGATTGGTTGAAGTATTTAAAAAGTCTTAAGAAGAGGAACTAGGAAAGAAGTTGTCCCCTGCTCTGCCCCCTTCACAGTTTCTTACTGAAAGGAAGGGAGGTGATTAGAAGGACAGGAGGAGAGATTAAAGCCACTTTGCAGCTGGGGTCAGTTCTAACTATTTAGGAAAATATTCTGAGGTCTGAGGTATTAAATAAGAAAACAGAGAACCAGTTAGAGGCTGTACAATAAGGTTAGTTTTGGGTGAAGTCAAATCAAAAGGGTAGAAACTTTGGAGGGGACAGGGTGTAGGGACAAAGATGAGACTTAGGTAGAATTTGCCCCCACATAGTGTGAAGAACCACAGACACAATTCTCACAGATTTTAGCATCAATCTCCAAAGCAGAGTGTGTGTCTCTCCAGGAGGTGGGTGAAGAGAAGGCAGACACAGGGTAATCTATTGGGGGAAGGGTAGAAAATGTGGCAATTTCTATTTCTATTTTTTTTATTTGGAGACAGGGTCTCACTTTGTCACCCAGGCTGGAGTGCAGTGCCATGATCTTGCCTCGCTGCAGCCTCCAGCTCCTGAGCTCAAGCGATCCTCCTGTCTCAGCCCCTCAAGTAGCGGGGAGTACAGGCTCGTGCCACCTCACTTGGGTAATTTTTGTATTTTTCGTAGAGATGAGGCTTTGCCATGTTGCCCAGGCTGGTCTCAAACTCCTGAGCTCAAGCAATCCACCCTCCCCAGCCTCCCAAAGTGCTAGGATTACAGGTGTGAGCCACTGGGCCTGGCCTTAAGTTATTTTTTTAATTGAAAAAAAAAAAATCAAAGCTTAGGCCAAGACAATAGAGTTAATTCGTTTTATTGGCATTAATATTTGGGGACATTTTCTTTTGCTAGTGTCCCTCTTCCCACTGACAGCCACATTTCCACAAATGCCTCTACCATTAGAGGAAGCGGGAAGCACAATGGAATATCTGCTCCTAAATTTGGGTGCATTATTCCCTTACATAAGGAAGGGCTGACTGTTAACACAGCAACTGTGCCGGCCAGTCTAAGCTCTTTGCTAACTTGGATCCTTGTACTGTGGTATAAGATCTTCTCCTACAAGAAGATTTGACTTATTTGCCCTGAGATATTTTCAGCTTTTCCACATACAACTGACAGATGACACCCTGGCATCCCTGACTTGTGGTACCAGAAATGTTGGAGAGTTGGTCTATCGTTTCCTTCTAAGGCTTTCTGGAAAGGGTCAGGAGAACCAGAGAGCAATGCGTATATTATTCCAGCTGAAAAGAGGGACCATCCCAGAGAGGGCCCAGGCTGAGAACAGCCCAATTTCTCAGATCTGTCGGACCCTAACTGTATATGCTTCACGGCCAAGGTCCAACTGTGGTGTGGTCCACAAAGGCCTCGTTTAATACCCAATGACAGCCGGGTGTGTGGCTAATGCCTACAATCCCAGCACTTCGGGAGGCCAAGGCAGGCAGATCGCTTGAAGCCAGGCATTCCAGAGCAGCCTTCCCAACATGGTGAAACCCTGTCTCTCCTAAATATACAAAAATTAGCCAGGCATGGGGGTACACATCAGTAATCCCAGCTACTTGGGAGGCTGAGGCAGGAGAATCACTTGAACCTCAGAGGCAGAGGTTGTGGTGAGCTGAGACTGCACCACTGCACTCTAACCCGGGTGAGAGAGTGAGACTCCGTCTCAAAAAAAGCAAAAAACAAAAAACAATCCAATGACAATTGCAAGACAAGGGCCAACACACCATTCTGCTAACACACCTTCCTGCCTTTTTCTTGAGAGCTCACCTTGAAAATTTCTGCCATTTTTCGTTGCTGAGGCAATGAACAGTGGTTCTCAATCGATATGATGATTGGCAGGTCAGAGTTGATGAAGGCACTGCGATCAATGGCTTCAACCACTTCCTATGAGAGCCAAAACAGCTCATTAGAGTCCAGATACTTGTCCAAGGTGGTCAGAAGGCAGGGTGTTTATAGCCACAGAAAGCATACAGCACACTCTGGTCAAAGGTGGTTTTTATATTTTCAAATGAATCATGAGGATAAGGCTATTTTGTAGAAAGACATTAAACTGTTTATAATGAGTATTGTTCACATACTATAAAGAACAACTATCATATTGAATTTAACAAATCTATCTATATACATATACTCTCTCTCTACATATGGAGTATATTGCAGGTAAAAGATTCTCTCTTATTTATAGCAGCAAACATAAGCACAAAATACTTTCCTGCTTATAAAGAGTTTATAACTTATTTGAGGCAGTATGACATATATCACATATATTTATGTGTCTATGTAAACAGTTATTAACTCATCCCCTGACCAATATAGCACATAGGAGTTTTAGGAGTGCTAAATAGGAAACCAAGTTAAGGAGAAAATGCATTTTAGCCACTATTTCTATATAGGAAATAAAAATAATATTCCTTCACAGCCTGGCCACAGTTCAGAGAAAAATTATGTTTACACAGCCTAAGACCTTCTGAATGAACACAGTAATTTCATAACTGAATAAGCTACCCAGAATTTCAAACACAAATCCAATGAGATCAGTCTTCCTGGGTGACCAGTCTTCTCAGGTGGAACTGATGCTCATCATAGTATAATACTAACTATTTAACCATCTCCTAACTCTTGGCATTGGCCTTTGTCAGCATTATACCAGGACAAATGACCGTTAATTTCTATAGCAGAATATACTCTACCTTTTATATCATCATATTATGTAAAAATTGCAATAATATTATTACATGCTAACTAATATAAAGTAATGGCTACTAACTGTGGTTGAATGGGGAATCTAATGAGAGTTCTAGATTAACTCCAGAAACATGAACATGTATTCTACATGATACAGCAAACACTTTTGGGAAGCCTTCATTTAGACCCAGCATAAAGACCTTTGACCTAAGGTGTAATTTGGTCGAGTCACTGATTTAAATGATGAATGAAGGCCAGGTGTGGTGGCTCATGCCTGTAATCCTAGCAGTTTGGGAGGCTGAGGTGGGCGGATCACTTGAGGTCAGGGGTTTGAGACCAGCCTGACCAACATGGTGAAACCCTGTCTCTACTAGAAATACAAAAATTGGTTGGGCTTGATGACATGCGCCTGTAATCCCAGTTACTTGGGAGGCTGAGGCAGGAGAATCGCTTTAACCAGGGAGGTGGAGGTTGCAGTGAGCCAAAATGGCCACTGCACTCCAGCCTGGATAACTGAGAGAGATCCCATCTCAAAAAAAAAAAAAAAAAAAAAAAAGACAAATGGAGATAATGTCTCTTTGTGATTTGATTTAAAGAAAGTTATGAAGCATTACCTTGAAGGGGATCTTGGTTGTCAGTGTATGTCCATGATAAATGATGGGCATCCCATCATCTCCATCCCAGCAGTCCAATTCTACACTTCTACAGCCTTGCAAGAGGACCTGTGTGATCAATGAGAATCCACCCCAGGTGAGCACCTGGAGATAAAGCCTCAAACTAAACCCAGCATATAGTTATACCTATCAGTCAGTGTTCACACTCAGGACTAGAGCAGAAGGGCATATGGTCTAAAACAAACAATACATTTTTGCCAATGGCCACAATTAATCTGGAGTGGGGAAGGAAGGGAACAGACTAAGGAAGGAAGAGTGTTTACCAGAGCTGAATGCTAAAGGAAAGTAAAATTTGATAGCAAAACCATATGGCCATTTTCTTAGCAACTTTGACCCCTGAAATGGCACGTCTTGAAATTAGAGAACCAGGCAAATGTTCTATCTGGGCAGACATCCATGGAGGTGAAAATGCTGATGCTACAGCCCAGGGAAAGTAAGGCCACTGAATCCTTAATGAACTGGCTAAACATTTATAGGAAGTCAATCAGGATAAAATCGCCTCCTTTAAGACCCAAATTAAGCTATGATTAAACATATTTGCTGTGAATGTGTAGCATGTAAGAAGAGTAGAAGCAAAGAGTTATCAAAAATTTGCCTGGCTGTCTAATTCCAGATCAGCAACTAGAGCAAAGATGGCAAATAATCCATAAACGATTCCTTTCTCTCATACGCACAGCAGACATCAATAATCAAGGTAGGCACACTTGCTCTCTAAGCTTTAAAATATGTTAGCTTACAACCTCTTTATCAAAGTGCTCCAGAAAACACGACCAAAGAATCAGATGAGTTGATACCTATTTGGTATCCTGGATCTCAAGTGGGAAGCAGAGCTCAATACAAGTGCTTGGGTTGCAACTTTGCACAGTTTGCTGGAAGCAGCCTCTTCCTCCATAGATCTATCTGTACATCATCTTAAAAAACTACCACATACTGGAATGGTGACCCAAGCCAAGAGGTTTGGGTCTACCTACTGATTTTAGAATGCACATAACTATTTCTATGTGACAGCAATCCATTATTACTGGGGCTTAGTAGCCACTAGAGTTTCTGAAACTAAGCTCAGATAGTGGAATGATTCTCATTTTAACACAGTATGAGATATGCGCTATATTTTTCCTATTTGACAGCATAGTTGGTGGCCTAGAATCCCAAGGCTAGCTAACTGCTTCTTTCAGCAGCTGGAGTATCTAAAGGTGCAGTGCCTTGGGCTGGAAACTGCTATGTAAAATGGCGGCTGCAACACCAACCTGCTTATCTCTGTGGTGCCCCTGCCAGACTGGGAATAATGTTCAGCAAGTGGCGACAGATGAGATGGCTTTTCAGCATGAAAAAACTAAAGGTCTTCACTAAAGTCTACATGACCTTAGACCTCCACATATGGCTAGAAGAGGAAAACCTGGGCTGGAAATTCTAGATGAGAAGAGCAGGGCTTATTCTCACTTCCCATCTGCCCCACGGAGAAATGTTAAGAGGTAATTAGGAAGGGCCAAGGAAGCGTGGAGAGGGTTAGAAATGAAGTGAGAGGGATCTAAATCTGTCTGCACAGTAGGTTTAATCACATCTGTGAGTCTGTTTGAGGGGTTCTTGTGCCTTATTCAAAAGCTGTAATAATTTCTCTTTAGGGTGTGATGTTAAGAGGTTTAAAAACTCTTCAAAGTCAAACAGAGAAATGAAGTAGGAATTAAAGCCAGGACACTGGTCCTTGTTTATTTTCCCGGGAGAAATAGGCATACGCACAAGTACATATACATAGATAGGTATACATGCACTAACATATATATGTACAAACATATATATGTATATACCTATGTATGTGTGTATATGAAATATATATCTGTATTTATATGTGTATTTCATTTCTTTCCTAAAGAATAATGGATTTCAAACTTAAACTTTGGCATCCTGTGTGCAAATGGAGAGACAATATGTAAAGTGTGTGTAAGAGTAGTACATTAGCTGAAGCAGGGGAGCATATGGCACCTGTCCTACTCTCTTGCTTCCTCATTTCAGTGTCGGGGGCTGAGGCCCCGTGACAGAACTTCTGTTTTGAAAATCACTACTCTAAGGACACATCTTCTTTCATAATAAAAGTCCCTTAGAGAATACAGTTTAAAATGTATATTCCGTGCTAAACAAGCTTTGGGACAAAACACTGCCCCATGCTTTGAGGAATATCTGGACTAATCTGGGAGAACAAAGGAAACTCATTGTTGCTGGGGTTGTGTAAACCATCCAACTGTGATTTCCAAACTTGGACCCACATATGCACACAATGACACACTTATATTCCCTGGACCCAGCCTAGCTCCAATCAATTGATCCTTCTTGAAAGAGTTCAGAAAACAGGCAGAATAGACGAGGAAGCTGCCCACAGTATAGCAGACAGGCAATGGACATGCAGATCATTGCACGTTGGATGTTTAGGTTAAAAGGATGTACTTTTTCTAGTTTAAAGAGCCTGCTGAGTTTCAAAGAACATTCTCATGAATGTGTAGAGACAGGGCCCACACGTGCAGATTTTTTTCTTGTTTTTGGTTACCATATGGATAGATTAATTATTTAACAAACTGAAAAGCAAAACAAACAATATTTTGGGAATAACTACATAGAAAGTTGCATTTTCTACTATGCTTTCCCACTACAATATATTGATTTATTTAGCATCTAGAGAAACGATTAGATAATTTTCCCATGGGAAAATCTAATTTTAGTGGGAGTAGGTCAGACTAACTAGGATCTAAAAGCTATGATTCTCAAACAAACATTTTTATTTTGGCCTAGAATAAAGGTTAAGTATAGATGGGGGAAAACAAAACAAAAAGCAGAAGGAAAACAACTGCTGTATGTATAGCCTGTTTCCCACACATCATGGTTCCTCACTTTTGACATGCAATAGTTTATAAGATCTTCAAAGGAGTCTGGGGTCAGGTTTTTGTGACTTTGGGGGTTACGTAAATAATTAGGTTTAATAAAAACCACATTCCAAGTGGCATTCCCTGTACCTGGCTATAGAGTTCCACCGAGGATTCTCCTTTGAGCTGATGGCCTGTGAGGTAGGTATTGTGTGAAGATTCAATGTAATAGTATGAGAGGGGTAGCTGCAGTTCTTTGACGTTCTCCTGTGACTCTTCATTTTTTGAGGCAAAATTTTCTTTATCCATCAGAAACCTAGATGAAACAAATTTTCTTAAGACCACATGGGAAAAATGTATACTACTTTTAAAAGACGGGCAAAAGATATTTTAAAAGTTACCTTGCAAACCCTTCAAATGACATTAGTCCCTGATGACACATACTGATGCTAGGCTCAAACTTCTGCAAGGAATTAAAAAAAAAAGTTTTACTTAGGTTAAGGAAACTAAGCGGGGAAAGAAACCACCACATCATTTTTTAAAGCTGTTCTGTTTTCATCAGGAAACATCTAAACCAAATATTTGAACTAATTTAGCAATGTAGTGGTAAGAAGTAGTTTTTAGTCCAAAAGAAAATATTTATTAGATGTGAGTTTATTATACTAAGAATATTTATTTAATAGAAAAAAGGGAAGAATGAGAAAAGAACAAGGCAGATTTATATGGAAACAAAGTGTATCAGTTTATCCAGGTGAAAACGAGGATAATAGCTACCATAAAGCTGGTGAGAGGCGAACTGAGATGATTCACATAGAGCACTTGGTGCCATGCCTGCATTTAGTTATGTTATAATGAGCACTCAACAGCATGACAGTCATCTCAGGATTTTAGCATTTTCAGTGATGAAATCCAACTGCTGCACAATGAATACACAGATACCCAGTCAGGTGATAAGGGAGGTTGAAACCTAATTTGTTGCACGCATCCACAATGAACACTGTCCCCACTCCTCTCTGCTGCCACCTTGTAGTCTAAACCTTCACCAGCTATTGCTGGTTACTGTGATAGCTTCCTCAGTAGTTTCTCTGTATCTATTCCTTCACCAGCACAGTTTGAAATGGGACCAGAGTAACCACTTAAAAAAGTTTTTAAGAGACAGGGTCCTTAAAAAAAAAAAAAGGACTATACTGTCCAGGCTGTCCTCGAACTCCTGGGCTCAGGCCATCCTCCTGCCTGAGCTTCCTGACTACAGGTTTGTGTCACCATGTCTGGCTCAGAGTAACCTCTTAAAAAATAAATCAAATCACATTACTCCTCTGCTCAGAAGAGTCCAGTGGTATCCCATTTCACCTATTTTACATGGCCTAAAGCCAACCTCCTTCTCATGCTCTACAAGGCCCGGATGATTGGGCCCTTGCACGTCTGTCTGACACTGTGCCTGCCACTCTGCCTGGCTTGTGCAGCTCACAGTCCGTCAGCTTTCTGTGGTTCCTCATAAACCCCCAGCTTTCTGCTGCCGTGGTCTTTGAGCCTGGGGCTCCCTGTGGGGAGTGCTCTTTCCTGAGACCTTCAAGTTGGTTATTCACTTAGGGCTCAGTCCAAAATGCCGCCTCTTCTAAGTGGCCTTTGCTTACTCTCAGCCCTCCTGTATCATTCCTTTCCCTTATTTGACTTAGTTTTTCCCCCACCCCATTAGTACCTGAAATTACATCATATCTTTGTTTGTTGTCTGCCTCACCCTTTAGAATATAAGCTGCATCGAGGGCCAGAACTTTTATCTTATTCTCTGCTATATTTCCACCTCCTAAAACGGAACCAGCAGAGTAGGAACTAGTACATATTCATTAAATGACTAGTGAGGTTGAAAACCTAGACTAAATCTATTGCATGTTCTAGAACAAGTAAAAATTATGTACCAACTCCTTGTAATAGCTACTAAGTTAGAGAAGGCTGGGGCCTACGTTAATTATATTTTAGAGGAGAACACTTACATACTTGTTTTTGTTTGTGTTTTGCTCTGTTGCCCAGACTGGTGTGCGGTGGTGCAATCTCAGCTCACTGCAACCTCTGCCTTCTGGGTTCAAGCAATTCTCATGTCTCAGCCTCTCAAATAGCTGGAATTACAGGTCTATGCCACCATGCCCGGCTGATTTTTTTTTTTTTTTTTTTTGAGATAGGGTCTCGATCTGTTGCCCAGGCTGGAGTGCAGTGGCACAATCTAGGCTCACTGCAGCCTCCACCTCCTGGGTTCCAGCGATTCTCCTGCCTCACCCTCCTGGGCAGCTGGGATTACAGGTATGCGCCACCACACCTGGATAATTTTTGTGTTTTTAGTAGAGACAGGGTTTCACCATTTTGGCCAGGCTGATCTTGAACTCCTGACCTCAGGTGATCCACCTGCCTCAGCCTCTCAAACTGTTAGGATTACAGGTGTTAGCCACCATGCCCAGCCCCGGCTGACTTTGTATTTTTAGTAGAGCCGGGGTTTCATCATGTTGGCCAGGCTGGTCTCAAACTTCTGGCCTCAAGTGATCCGCCAGCCTCAGCCTCCCAAAGTAATGGGATTATAGGCATGAACCACCACACCCAGCCTTACTTGGCATTTTGTTAAAAACAAAACCAAACTAAACTATTTCTGCCCCAGATTTAAAAGCTTTGGAAAGAAGTATAGAAAGAGTAAATATTTAGCAGCAAAGTATTAGAATAGCCAGAGGCATCACACATACACGCACACACAGAACAGGCACAAACCTGGATGATGCTGAGGATTTCATCATAAGTGCAGTGCTCTCCTTGGCAATTCACGAGGAAATCGTTGAGCTGAAGTATGCCCACCCCGAAAATGCCCAGAGATGTGCTCTCGATCCCAGTGCCATTTGTCACGATGCTTGCAGCAGCAATGGCATCAGATATCTGCCTCTGGTTGTCCGACAGCTGCTGTTTACTCTTAATGAACAACCCCAAATCCGAAACATTTCTGGTCAACAGATCTGAAACAGAACCACCGCAGTACATGGACAAGATAGCTAGCATCTTTCACTAAGTTTGTTTTGGAGATAATGGTGTGGAGTTATTAAAATGAAGAAGCCCTTTACTAATGTATCTAAACAAGCCATCAAATCAATGTTTATTCCTGGCTTCACACAGTGATAGGAATAAAAAACAAATCCATGAATAAACAAAGGAAACTAAGGGCTGGGCATGGTGGCTCACGCCTGTAATCCCAGCACTTTGGGAGGCAGAGGCAGGTGGATCACCTGAGGTCTGGAGCTCAGGACTAGCCTGGCCAACATGGTGAATCCCCATTTCTACTAGAAATAAAAAAATTAGCCAGGCATGGTGGTGTGCACCTGTTGTCCCAGCTAGCTGGGAGGCTGAGGCAATGAGAATTGCTTGAACCTGGGAGGCAGAGGTTGCAGTGAGCTGAGAATGTGCCACTGCACTCTAGACTGGGCAATAGAGTGAGACTCTGTCTCAAGAAAAAAAAAAGGAAATGAAGACAGAGCTAGGTTAATGATCTTGATATCCCACGTGGCTTTGGCATTACATGGCAACTAAACATAGATTCAACTGGGAGCATCAGGCCAAATTCACGCTTTGGTTTTGGGAGTAACTACTTCTACATTTCTATGTTCGTAGAAACTGAAGATGTACCCTTAAAATCACAGTTTTACTGTAATTTAGAAGTGTAACTATAAACATTTGTGTGCAGATTTCTGTGTGAACATAAATTTTCAACTTGTTTGGGTAAATACCAAGTAGTGCAATTGCTGGTCACATGGATAGAATATGTTTAGCTTAGTAAGAACTGCCACACTGTCTTCCAAAGTGGTTGTACCATTTTACATTCCCACCTGCAGTGTACCAATTGCTTCACATTCACACCAACTTTTGTATGGCCATTTTAATTTGAGCCACTTTGGAAGACAGTCTTGCAGTTTCTTATGGAGCTAAATATAGGCTTACCATATGATCTAGCAATTGCACTCTTCAATATTTACCCAAATGATGGAAAAACTTATGCCTACCCAGAAACCTGCATACAAATGTTCATAGCAGCTTTATTCATAATTGCTAAAACTTGGAGGCAACCAAGATATACCTCAGTAGGTGAATGGGTAAACAAACTGTAGTACCTCCACAAAATGGAATATTATCCAAGGTAAAAAGAAATGGGCTATCAAGCTGCAAAAACCCACGGAGGAAGGAAACTTAAATGCATATTGTTAAGTGAAAGGCGCCAGTCTGAAAACTCTATATACTACACGACTCCAACTATATGTTATTCTGGAAAAGGCAAACTATGGAGATAAAAAGAGCAGTGGTTGCCAGGGATTTGGCAGGAGGAAGTGGGGGATGGAAAAGTGGAGCACAAGGAACTTTCAGGGCAGTGAAACTATTCTGTATGATACTGTAATGGTGAACACGTCATTACACATTTGTCAAAACCTGTAGAGTGCACAACACAAAGAGTGAATCCTAATGTAAACTGTGGACTTCCATTCATCATAATGGATCAATGTTAACTCATTTGTATCAAATGTACCACACTAATGCCAGCTATTACTAACAGAAGGAAGTGTGTGGGAGAGTGGAAGATGGTATATGGGAACTCTGTACTTTCCACTCATTTTCCCATAAACTTAAAATTGCTCCAGAAATAAAGTCTAGGTCAGGCACAGAGGCTCATGCCTAAAATCCCTACACTATGGGAAGTTGAGGCAGGAGGACTGCTTGAGGCCAGGACTTTGAGAGCAGCCTGATCAACAGAGCAAGACCCCGTCTCTACAAAAAAATTACATAAACAAAAAGTCTAATAATTTTTGAAAAATGCAACTATTTGACTAATCCATAGTTATGCAGATTTTATGACTAAAGTTGAACAATAGTTAATAGTCTTAGCTCAAGGACGACATAAGCTTATAGATAATTATGAAGCAACTACATAAAAGAGGAAAGTTTTTTTGTTTTTGCTGTTTCTGTTTATAGTTTCCAGCAAGAACAGAGGAGGAAAATTACAGGCTTAAAATACATGAGGAGACTACTGCCCTGTGATTGAGCACCCACCCGTCTGTAGGTAGGGAAGAGACTGTGGGTTCTCCACTGTGACACATACCACATACCTAGCAGGCATTTGGAAATGGTCAGTGATATGGTTTGGCTGTGTTCCCACCGAAATCTCATCTTGAATTGCAGCTCCCACAATTCCCACGTGTTGTGGGAGGGACCTGGTGGGAGGTAATTGAATTATGGGGGCAGGTCTTTCTCATGCAAAAATGTTCTCATGATAGTGAATAAGTCTCATGAGAGCAGATGGTTTTATAAAGGGGAGCATGCCCTGCACAACCTCTCTTCTCTTGTCTACTGCCACGTGAGGCATGCCTTTCACCTTCTGCCATGATTGTGAGGCCTCCCCAGCCATGTGGAACGGTGGGCCCATTAAACTTCTTTTTCCTTATAAATTACCCAGTCTTGTCTATGTCTTTATCAGCAGCATGAAAATGGACTAACACAGTTGAGAAAGGATTTTTGGTTGTCAGAATGACTGGAGAGCTTTATTGGTTAAATATCCTGGAATACATGGGCAGAACCACACAGTGATGAATTTCTTTGCTCAAAATGTCAGTGGCATCTGGTCCCATGACACCAGATGACACCTTGAAACAATTACCTAAGTGTTTCCCTACATGGCAGTAATAGCGCATGTGGGACAGGCTCAGAGTTTGTGTGATTGGACCTCTGACCTTAAGTTTTAGACAGAAAGGTCCCAAAGGGAATTCCTAAAATGTTCAACAAACCTAGGTCAGGCTGAAGATCGCTGGTGTTTTCATCAATTGTGAGGTTGGTGTAGAGTGGGGCTGACTCAGAGCCGGATCGGTTGCAGGGCACCGCATAGACATCAAACAGATCCTTCAGGTCCTTGCGGCTCCGGACACTGAATGAGGAATAAAGACAACTCACATTGAGTATCTTTATAGAAACGGGGGGCCTAAGAAAGAATAAGAAGGAAACGTACACTGTACCTGAATGATTTGAACAGCTCAACAAATTCAACAAAACTCATGTTGCTGTCTGAAACCATGAAGCTCTGAAATCCCTTCATGCCGCCTTTGATCCGCCCATGCCAGCTACTACTGCTCCAAGCACTGCAACAAAGACAAGGCCTTCATGGGCACAATGGCAGGCCACCGCTGTGATTCTGTCCAACCAAGCTTCTCCAATTAGCAATACGAGCCAAACGGTGAGTGCAAGTTATTTAAGGTTGAAGCTATTTTCCAGTACTCTTTTTACTTCTCCTAATCTATATCGTATTGCAGGAAATAAAATATGTTGTATAAGAAAAAGAAGAGATGTTTCTAGTCTATTTAATAAGGTCCCAGGGCTGAGGTTAATATTTCTCTATTAATCAAAATAGTCCTTTGAAATTGCAGATCAATGGGCAAAATAACTCAGTGTTTCCGAAGATGTCTTTTTTAAAAGAGCCCCAAATGACCACTCTTAATCTGTGGAGAATAATGCATGTTCTTTTCTGCATGCTAAGTTATAGAAACACATTTAAGAAGAAAGTTTTGAGTGTATCTATGTCTCGTCTGATTCCTTTCCTAATCAGTTCTTAGATGAAAACAGAGAAGAGCTTTTAAAGATTAATAGAAAATGTGAGTCAGAAAATGTTAAGAATAGAAAGGACTGGGTGTGGTGGCTCATGCCTGTAATCTCTGAACTCTGAAGGCTGAGGTGGGAAGATTGCTTGAGCCCAGGAGTGCAAGACCAGCCTGGCTAACATAGTGAGGCACTGTCTCCAATTTTAAAAAATTAAGAAAAAAAAAAAGGAAAAAAGCGAGCTTTGCCTAGGATATTTGCACCTGCCAAGGCTGCATCTATTCAATGTAGAAATATCAGTCAAGTCAGTTAGAATTCAGTCTTACTGTTTCACAACAGTTTTTATTATCTATACTGATTTCCTGACACAATGGTATGAGAGATGTTTTGATTATGGTTTGTAGTCAAATTAGTGAACAGGATCTAGTTTTTTTGTCTTGAATTTCAAAAGGTTTTTTGAAATATTTCAAATATATAAGCATAGAGAACATAATAAAATCTATTTTATATATATTAAATATATAATCTACAAGCTATATACTTAAGACCATAAATATAAAATATGTAGTCTATTAAAGTTACTCTCAACCCTGCTAACAAGGTTCACTCATGGAAAATTAATTTGTGCTGACATCTGAAGGTCACCTTCAGCAATGGAAGAGTACTATGAATTGAGAGCTTTATAGCATTTTCTAGGCATCGTAGGTTGTTGATCCCAGTGTGGTGCAGGAAACATAGGGTAGAGGTTCAGGGAGAAGAAAAAGGTGACCCTGTCATTTGCAGCAAAAGTAAATTTCCTGTCTTGCTTCTTTCTGGTTGCAGGCCCAGCTACCGTCTGTAGGAACCCACCTCCCTTCGACTCTCGGAAACTATTTGTCCCCTCTTTCCAGACTTAGGACTCAGTCTAGATTCCTCCCTTAACAGCATTCAAGCTGGTTTTTCCTCTCCTGCCTTGCATTTTCTTTCTGTTGTAAAATACTTGAGAGGCTACTGACCCCTGTCCTCCTGGGGTTGGCCTTCTGATCTTGCATGTTAGTTTCTCTTTTAAAATATTTTTCTCCCTTACTCTGTCCTTTCTTTTCCTGCTCATGAATAACTGAAATAAAGAGGAAATGCCATTTAATCCAGGTTCCTTACTGTTTACCCAGGATACTTCACCGTATAATAAACAGGATTCTGATTTTTCTAACTTTTAGTTTTGTTATAAATCTAAATTTACAGAAGAGTTGCAAGAGTGGTACAAAGAATTCCCATATAACCCTGACCCATGCTCACCCATTGTAGAATCTGAATGTATTATAAGTTCATCGTTCACATTGTGAAATAATTATTTTATTTAAAAGATAATTTGCTGTTGGGTTCTTTTTTCCCTTTTTCTTTTTGAAACAAGCTCTCACTCTGTTGCTTAGGCTGGAGTGCAATGGCATGATCATGGCTCGTTGCAGCTGCAACCTTCCAGGCTCAAGTGATACTCTCACCTCAGCCTCCTGAGTAGCTGGGACCACAGGTGAGAACCACCACACCCAGTTAATTGTTTTGTTTTTTGTAGAGATGGGGTCTCTGTTGCTCAAGACCCAAGGCTGGTCTTGAACTCCTGGGCTCAAATGATCCTCCTGCTCTGCCCTCCTAAAGTGCTGGGAATACACATGAGAGCCACCATGCCTAGCCAGGATTCTTATCAGAGAGAGGGAGAAAAGGAGAAAGGGAGAAAGGGAGAGAGGGAGGGAAGGAAGGATGGAGGGAGGGAGAGGGGGGGAGAGAGAGAGAGAGAGAGAGAGAGAGAGAGAGAGAGAGAGAGAGAGAGGGAGGGAGGGAGGGAGGGAGGGAGGGAGGGAGAGAAGGAGAGGGAGAGAGGGAAGGAGAGGGAGAAGGGAGGGAAGGAGGGAGAAGGGGGAGGGAGAAAAGTAGGGGAGAGAGGGAGAGAGAGAGGGAGAGAGAGTGTGAGAGAGAGAGTGAATGTGTGTGTGTGTGTGTGTGTGTGTGTGTGTGTGTGTGTGTATGATAAACACATTTCTTAAACTTTAACATGGGATACAGGGAGATGGAGTGGCATTCTGTCCCTTTGGAAGTCTGCCATTTTAATATCATTTCTTCTTCTGAGAGGGTATTGTTTCAAATACGTCATTTGCATAGACCTTATACAATAATTATAATACCAGCTTCAGAATTATATTTAAACATATCCAACTTGCTGTGATACTTGAATTTGTTCCTCTAGACATGTGTAACTTACATATGAGAAAAGTATTAAATACATTTCATCAATTAGCAAAGGGGATAAATAGTTAACATTAAAATAATCTATTCTCTCTTCTTCATTTAGAGCAATGCTATCCAGTGTAACTTTCTGCAATGATAAAAGGAAATGTTCTCTATACTCTTTGGGACAGTAACCGTCAGTTACCTGTGGCTGATGGTTACTGTCCCAAAGAGTATAGATAGAGAGCACAGGAAATGTCATTGCTGTGACTGAGGAATTGAATTTAAATTTTCTTTAATTAATTTAAATTTGAATTTAAATACCCACATCTAGTTAGTGGCTAGTATACTGGATAGTATAGATTTGGAGAATCATGGGTTGGGTTTTGTTACTGCTACTGATCTTTGAAGTAATATGAGAAGGTAGGAGTACAAAATTGGGAAAATTAGGATCATTTAACATTTGAGAATTTTTCAGTTTTCAGTTCAACTATATGTCACAATGTGAGACAGTCTTTCCATAGACAACTGTAAAGATATACCCTTCCACACAACTGGAATCATGTGAAGGGTCCTTCTGTTTTATCATGTTAAGGCCCCACCTGGATGGGCTCTTGTTTGAAGAAGGCAGCACAGGGGAGGACACTGGCCTGATGGGAGATGACGTCGTCCCAGCAGCCAAGTTGGGAGACCCAGTTGTGGTCAAAGAGTGGGCTCTTCTGGAAGGGAGGGAGTTTGGAGGGATAGTGATGGCATTCACCTCTGTGAGGGTGGAAGATAGAAAAGAGACAGTGACTCAAATTATATTCTCCTTCAGAACCAAATACAAACCAGAGAGCCTTCTGGATGCCTGAAAAAAAATCAACCTATGCAGCTGTTTTCTGTACAAGCACCACCAAAATATTTTTATTAATGGGCTAATCTCATTGTGTCTCTACTGGCTACAGGTTAGACCCACCCGGGAAGCTTCAAACATAAATAGACGTCCAGGTCCCAGCCAGAGAATATCTGAATCAGTTATTCTTGGATGTGGCCAGAGGAACCAGATATTCTCAAAAGCTCTAACATGTAGCAAAAGTTGAGAATCACTGGTCTAATCCATCAAATTGTACAATGTATATCTAGTATTCCCCAGCAGTAATGGCAAGTTAATTAACGAGAATTTTATTCCAAGTACACCGTGCTTGGAGAAGCACCTTTTAGGTTTCATTGTCTGGTTTGGACAAAGAGTTTTGTTAGAAATGTTTGCAATACTAAAATCACAATTTAAAACCAAATGTATGCTGTTTTCCCATAAAAATGAAACAACAAAAATCTCAGATGCAGACATGCTGCTTTACCTGATTCTTCTTGTTCATTAACGTCTTGAGGATCAGAACCACTTCGGCTTCGACACTCTTTGTGCATCTTGGCCTTTCGGGTTGCCATCTCGTCGTCAGTCGCCTCTCCACTCTCACCCTGGAAACACAAAGCTCAAGATAGTTCCAAGCCTATATTTCTCTCCCATCACAGCTTTAGTTCAGGTAGGTCTCTATTTTCCGACCTACCCACCTTCGATACTGCCTTTCCCTGGTAAAACCGGTAAAGACCTACTTTAAGGCTGCCTGAGCATTTCTCATGCCTTATTATCTCATTTGTTTCTGACTATACAGCAGCACTCCTCAGGGGAGGGAGGCAGAAAGAGGAGGCACACAACCTCTGACACCTCTGTGTAGAGAAAAAAACCATGAAGCAGATAAAGATTGACATGAGCACCAAAGCCTCCATAAGCAAAGAATGGCACTTTTTCTAGACAGACAGTACGGTTTGGATGTGTGTCCCCTCCAAATCTCATGTTGAAATATAATTCCCAATGTTAGAGGTGGGGCCTGATGGGAGGTGTTTGGATCACGGGGGTGAATCCCTCAAGAATGGTTGAGCACCATTTTCTTGGTGATGAGCGAGTTTTGGTTGAGTTCACACAAGATCTAGTTATTTGAAAGTGTGTAGGCTGGGTATGGTGGCTCATGTCTGTAATCCCAGCACTTCGGGAGGCTGAGGCAGGAGGATTGCTTAAGGCCAGGAGTTCAAGACCAGCCTGGGCAACATAGTGATACCCCGTCTCTACAAAAAATAAAAAAAATTAGCCAGGCATGGGGATGCACACCTGTGGCTCCAGATAGTTGGGAGGCTGAGGCAGGAGAATAGCATGAGCCCAGGAATTCAAAGCTGCAGTGAGCCATGATCACACCACTGCATTCCAGCCTGAGTGACAGAGCAAAACCCTGTTTCTCAAAGAAAAAAAGTGTGTGGCACCTCTCCCCTTCTCCCTTGCTCCTCCTCTCTCCATGTCATGTGGTGGCTCCCACTTCACCTTCTGCCATGACTGTAAGCTTCCTGAGGTTCTTACCAGAAGAAGATGCTGGCATCATGCTTCCTGTACACCTGCAGAACTGTGAGCTAATTAAACTTCTTTCTTTTATAAATTACCCAGCCTCAGGTATTTCTTTATAGCAACACAAACAGACTAACAAATAGCCATGAAGCAAATATATTACCACTTCATAGTGACATTTCATATTGTATAATGTAATTTATAATACATAGTGCTAATATGCTTTACATTGTGTTCTACACGCAGTATCTGGGGCCGCTGTGATATCTGTTCTCTTCTGCCCTTCCTTGCCCACGGTGTGCTCATGCCCTAGCCACCCATAACAGCTTGTGCTTCCTTGAACAAGCCATCTTTTATGTCTTTATGCTGTTTTCTCTGCTGGGGATACTTTCTCCTATGTTGTTTGGCTGGTAAAATCCTATACATTCTTCAAGACCTGCATGTCAGATGCTCAGTGGAGCCTTCCATGCCTGCCCTTCAGGTCTCTATTTTCCATCTCTCTGCTCCCACAGCATTTTGTGGATGACTCGATGATGTCCCTTTTTAGCGTGGACTGTGTTTTTTACATGTCTCTGTCCTTCTATGGACCTTGCTTTTCCCTGGTGTCCTTGGCACTAGCCTGGCCCCCAGGAGGTGTGTGGTAAGCCCTTGCATCTTCTGTTTTATTCTGACTTTGTCCTCAAGCCAAGCAACCTAAAGAGGCTTATGGTGATGTTCACCATACAACAGTCCTGGAAGACGAGTTTGATGCTTAATAAACAAATAACACTCTATACCCTCATGAGGATTTTCTTCTTTTTCTTGGTAGTGCTTATGCCCAGCGTGTTGTTTCTCTGCATATTGGGCTTCTCAGCATTCTTTGCTGATGTCCCAGGGCTGGGATTTCGTGTACTCCATCGTCTGCCACCAAACAACTCCACAGCATGAGCCAAAGTTGGGCCTTCATACCGTCCATCCTCCTGTGAAAGAACCACATGGTGAACATGATAGGAAGCACCAAGCAATGGTGAAGTAAATATATTAATGGCTCCCAGAAAATTCCAAGAGGTGGAAGAGCACAGACGGCCACAGAAGAATAATGATCTGGCCACCCAAGTGGCTCTGTTTATTAACTCACAAGACTGTCAGGAATTTCATCATGTCCCCTGTTGTCCCAGTCACATCCCTGCTGAGTTCCAGTGACATGCTTTAATATGTCCACTGGGGAACAGAACCTTCCCGTCCCATTTACAGAGGTTAAATTCCATAACTACCACTGTTGGAAAATTCATTAAGACTTACTTTGCAAATTAAGGCCTTGGAGGTCTTAGAAGGTAAGGCAAGTTATGAATCTAAGTAAAATCAAGTTGTATTTGTCCATTACTGCTAGGTAGGTTTTCACCTAGTTTGATGCTTGGGACAGTCTGCCTTGAAATAAAGGGTGTGTGGCATGCATGAAATTCCTTTTGCAGGACCCTGGGGAGCTCCTAAGATAGTTGGGCTGCCATCCCCTTAAGCGGCTGAAATCCAAAGATAGACAGCCCATGGTACCCGGAACACCATGTATATTAGGATGCTGTGAGCAGCAACGACACGTTCAGGGGGCAGGCAATGATTCACAGTCGCCACTGTTTCTAAGGCAGCACTGTGTAACATCCTGTAAGTAACAGCAGGGATCTATTAATTAAACAATTGTCAATGATTCTCCCCATAAGTCAGGGAAATTAGTTAATAAAACCACAAAAAGTTGCATATGAGCTAAAGATGATATTGCTATTTCACATATTGTATAGGAGGGCTCTTTAAAAATTAATTTCCATGTACTGTCTTTACTCTTCAAAAACATTTAAGGCTGGTTGTCCTGTGCAGTTCCAAAGAAATGCTTATAAATAGATTTCGCTTTGTTGCAGATCATATGCAAAGAACCAAGAGGCTTTGAGTTTGTGTGTGCGCTTGCTCCTTCAGCCTAATTAACGCTTAATAACTACCTGATTTTATGACTTGTGCATTCCCACTTCCTGTATCCTGTTGTGGATCCCAGGATGCTGAATAACTTGGGTATTTGACAAAGAAACCTTTTGGTGACCTCTAACAGTGGGACATTGTGACATGACTGCCCATGATCTATTTCTCCCTTCTCTAACCATACCCCAATTTTACTTTAACTGTCTCTTCTTCGCTGGATGATCAAGCTGAAATATCCTCCTTTGACCAATGATTGATACATAAGCTCAATAAGCCACTCAGAATCCCCTTCCTGGAGCAGGGTTTTGAATGCAGTGATAAAGAGAATGAAAATGGCTAGAAATCAGTTCATCTGCTGAAGAGACTTCTTGCTAACAAGTCACTGGGAGTGACTCCAAATTGGAATAAACATTTCTTGAATGAAACTTAATGAATAGGTTTTAACTGCCTTTTTGAATAACATACTCTGAATCGGAAAGAAGAGTAAAACTTTTCTTTATGGATTTTAAGCAACATAACTTTAAAAGCTTAATAGACCCATTACGGTTTACATGTAAAAGAACTGGCACCGTTAACCTCTACTGCTTTGATTTTTCTAATTTCAGAACATCCCAACACGGGCCAAACTTTACCACTAACAGAAATATGTTTAGGTAAGGAAAGGAAGGATGCCTTTGTTTAGTCTTTTCTTTAAAGGAAGCGTTCTGGGAAGTAAAATGTAGTTTACAACTTTCTTTTGTTTTACACAAAATAATACACTTGTTTGGGATGGATGAAGGATATGCTTTTTTTTTTTCTTAGAGACAGTCTCCCTCTGTTGTCCAGGCAGGACTGCAGTGGCATGATCTTGGCTCACTGCAACCTTCACCTCCCAGGTTCAAGCAATTCTCCTGCCTCAGCTTGCAAGTATCTGGAATCACAGGTGCATACCGCTACACCCAGCTAATTTTTGCATTTTTAGTAGAGATGGGGTTTCACCATGTTGGCCAGGCTGGTCTCGAACCCCTGGCCTCAAGTGATCCACCTGCCTTGGCCTCCCAAAGTGCTTGAATTACAGCCATGAGCCACTGCACTCAGCCTACCTTCTTTTTTTAATGTGAGAGATGGACTACCAGGAGTGAAGGCACATTTTCAGTTTTAGAAAACTGTTTATGTGAAAATTGAAGAATAGAAAATAGATTCCTTAAAAAGTATCCATGCACTGTTACCTCTTGGCATATCTTCGAATGTGACATTTTGAAGACCATTAAACTGATCTATATCCTTTGAAGAAATCTCTTTTTTCCCCTGAAGATAGCCAGAATCTGTTTGTTTGCTTATAACCAAAGATAGTTACCAATTCATCCCATATTTAGCCTTCTTAGCCTCCCAGAGCTCTTTCCTAATACCCAGGATTATGGGCCATCAGTTCTGTCCATGATAACCTTAAGCCAAAGCTCAAGATACTGGTCTTTCCTCCATACCCCACATCAACATCTCTGCACAGTTTACTTTCTTGGATTTTCCTGATGGAAGTAGTAACAAGAGTTAACACAAAAGACAAGAAGTAATAACATTTGTAGTGAAGCCTAGGAAAAATACAGAAAAATCCAAGAAAGTAAACTGTGCAGAGATGTTGACTCACAAGGTGAATGATCTCTGCATTTCCAACTGAGGTACCAGGTTCATCTCACTGGGACTGGTTAGACAGTGGGTACAGCCCAAGGAGGGCAAGCCGAAGCAGTGTGGGGTGTCACCTCAACCAGGAAGTGCAAAAGGCCAGAGAACTCCCTCTCCTAGCCAAGGGAAGCCATTAGGGACTTATCCTGACACTCCAGCACTCTGGATCAGACACTATGCTTTTCCCACGGTCTTCACAACCTGCAGACCAGGAGATTCCCTTCGGTACCTACAACACCAATGCCCCAGGTTTCCAGCACAAACCTGGTAGGCCGTTTTAGCCACAGCATTTTTCTTCTCTCATACCCCACTGGTGCCTAGAACAACAGTGAGACAGAACCGCTCATTCCCCTGAAAAAGGGGGCTGAAGCCAGGGAGCCAAGTGATCTGGCTTGGCAGTTCCTACCCCCATGAAGACCAGAAAGCTAAGATCCACTGGCTTGAAATTCTTGCAGCCAGCACAGCAGTCTGACCTCGACCTGGGAGGTTTGAGCTTGGTAGGGGGAGGGGTGTCTCCCATTGCTGAGGCTTGGGTAGGCGGTTTTAACCTTGCCTGTGTAAGCAAAGTCACTGGGAAGTTTACACAGCAACTGGGTGGAGGCCATGGCAGCTCAGCAAGGCCTCTGCTGGCAGACTGTCACTAGACTTTCTTCTTGCTAAGCAGGGCATCTCTTTTAAAAGGCAGCAGTCTGTCAGGGACTTATAAATAAGTCCAGGACCAGACAGGTTCACAACCAAATTCTACCAGAGGTACAAAGAGCACTGACACCATTCCTTCCGAAACTATCCCAAACAATAGAAAAAGAGGGAATCCTCCCCAACTCATTTTATGAGACCAACATCATCCTGATACCGAAACCTGGCAGAGACACAACCAAAAAAGAAAATTTCAGGCCAGTATCCATGCATGATGAACACTGATGTGAAAATCCTCAATAAAATACTGGCAAACTGAATCCAACAGCACATCAAAAAGTTTATCCATCACGATCAAGTTGGCTTCATTTCTGGTTGATGAAGCAAGGCTGGTTCAACATATGCAAATCTATAAATGTAATCCATCACATAAACAAACTAAGACAAAACCACATGATTATCTCAATAGATGCAGAGAAGGCCTTCAACAAAACTCAACAGCCCTTTATGCTAAAAACTCTCAATAAACTTAGTATTGATGGAATGTACCTCAAAATAAGAGCTATTTATGACAAACACACAGCCAATATCATACTGAATGGTCAAAACTAGAAGCATTCACTCTGAAAACAGGCACAAGACAAGGATGCCCTCTCTCAACACTCCTATTCAACATAGTATTAGAAGTTCTGGCTGGGGCAACCAGGCAAAAATAAATAAATAAAGGGTATTCAGTTAGGAAAAGTGGAAGTCAAATTGTCTCTATTTGCAGATGACATGATTGTATATTTAGAAGACCCCATCATCTCAGCCCAAAATCTCCTTAAGCTGATAAGCAACCTCAGCAAAGTCTCAGGAAATAAAATCATGTGCAAAAATCGCAAGCATTTCTATATACCAATAACAGACAAACAGCCAAATCATGAGTGAACTCCCATTCACAATTGCTACAAAAAGAATGAAATACCTAGGAATACAACTAACAAGGGATGTGAAGGACCTCTTCAAGGAGAATTACAAACCACTGCTCAAGGAAATAAGAGAGGACACAACAGATGGAGAAACATTCCATGCTCATGGTTAGGAAGAATCAACACTGTGAAAATGGCCATACTGCCCAAAGTAATTTATAGATTCAATGCCATCCCCATCAAACTACCACTGACTTTCTTTACAGAATTGAAAAAAACCACCTTAAACTTCACATGGAACCAAAAAAGAGCCCACATAGCCAAGACAATCCTAAGCAAAAACAAAACAAAACAAACAAAAAGCTGGAGGCATCACACTACCTGATTTCAAACTAGATTACAAGCCTACAGTAATCAAAAGAGCATGGTACCAGTACCAAAACAGATATGGACCAATGGAACAGAACAGAGGCCTCAGAAATAACACCACATATTTACAACCATCTGATCTTTGACAAATCTGACAAAAACAAGCAATGGGGAAAGGATTCCCTATTTAATAAATGGGGGTGGGAAAACTGACTAGCTATATGTAGAAAGCTGAAACTGGATCCCTTCCTTACACCTTATACAAAAATTAACTCCAGATGGATTAAAGATTTAAACATAAGACCTAACATCATAAAAACCCTAGAAGAAAACCTAGGCAATACCATTCAGGACACAGAGATGGGCAAGGACTTCATGACTAAAACACTAAATGCAACAGCAATGAAAGACAAAGAAGACAAATGGGTCTACTTAAAGAACTTCTGTATAGCAAAAGAAACTATCATTAGAGTGAACCAGCAACCAAGAGAATGGGAAAAACTTTTTGCAATCTACTCATCTGACAAAGAGCTAATATCCAGAATCTACAAAGAACTTAAACAAATTTACAAGAAAAAAAGAACAACCCCATCAAAAAGTGGGTGAAGGATATGAACAGACACTTCTCAAAAGACGACATTTATGCAGCCCACAAACATGAAGAAAAGATCATTATCACTGGTAATTAGAGAAATGCAAACCACATGAGATACCATCTCATGCCAGTTAGAACAGCAATCATTAAAAAATCAGGAGACAACAGATGCTGGAGAGGATGTGGAGAAATAGGAATGCTTTTACACTATTGGTGGGAGTACAAATTAGTTCAACCATTATGAAAGACAGAGTGGTGATTCCTGAAGGATCTGGAAATAGAAATACCATTTGATCCGGTGATCCCAATACTGGGTATATATCCAAAGGATTATAAATCATTCTATTACAAAGACACATGCACACATGTTTATTGTGGCACTGTTCACAATAGCAAAGACGTGTAACCAACCCAAATGTCCATCAACGATAGGTTGGATAAAGAAAATGTGGCACATATACACCATGGAATACTATGCAGCCATAAAAAATGATGAGTTCACATCCTTTGCGGGGACATGGATAAAGCTTGTGTCAGTTTGCCAAGTATGAAACCATCATTCTCAGCAAACTGTCACAAGAACTGAAAACCAAAGACTGCATGTTCTGACTCATAAGTGGGTGTTGAACAGTGAGAACACATAGACATAGGGAGGGGAACCTCACACACCAGGGCCTGTCAGCGGGTGCGGGGATAGAGGAGGGATAACATTAGGAGAAATACCTAATGTAGATGATGTGATGATGGATGCAGCAAACCACCATGGCATGTATAAACCTATGTCCAACAAATCTGCACATATACCCCAGAACTTAAAGTATAATAAAAAAAAAGTAACTTCACTTACATTTACTACATAAAAATTTCTAATGTCGGAAACATTATTTTCTAAATAAGCACTTCCCAAACTACGGATCTAAAATTGCTCTTATAGAGCTGTTAATAGGAGTTTGGAAAAACCCAAATAGTTTTTCACAAATTTCTTTAGCTTATAGATAAATTTAAATCATATTTTTTTAAACTTTAGGGCATCTGAGAAAATTTAATTTTCTAACAGGTATTATAAATCACCAAGAGAGACATTTAACATTAACCAAAGATTTGACCTTTTGTTCTCTGAGTACTAAGTTAGCATCTTTTTGGTAATCCCCGAGTCAATTTGGGAACTGGGTTATATTATGAGAAAAGGATTGGTCCATTGCTCTTTCCCAGTTTTTTCTCTTGAAAGAAATCTTGAGTGTCTGTTTCTAAGGCACATTGCCTGACTTCATAAATGTCTCATGTAGAGAGAGCAATGTCGAGAAAGAATGTCACCTATATTTCAGAAGTGGTTGAGGAATATGAGCCGTTTTGCCTTTACACTGCAATATCTTGGTTCTGTGCAGCAGTGGCGAGGGAGGGTGGAGCTGTGTTTGCAGCTGGGCAGTACTGAGTCTTCTCTAGCTCCCTTCAGTCTCTGTTTCAGCAGCAACTCTTATCTCTTCATCTGCTGTTCATGGTCTCAGCTGGTGCCTCCTTCAATAAAAGCTGAAGAGCGCCAGGGTAAATGGGAAACCAAGTACCTCCTATGTATTAATTCAGTTACCTATGCTATAAGCTTGAGAAGGAGACACGTGGAACAACTAAACCACACAGATTTTGTGACAGGGATTGTAACTGAGCTCAAACACTGGTGTATGTCCATGTGTGGATTTTCCTGATTCTAGAAGGCTGAGGAATAATCATAATTAAAAATTGACATTCACAATAGCTCCTGAAGACCTTTTTTTTTTTTTTTTTTTTTTTTTTACCAGCTGAGTACACTGAAAACTCCCTGTGGAGTACAAAGGAAGCAGGTCTTTCCCTCCCTCCCTCTCTCTCTCTCCCTTCTTTCTTCCTTCAAGACAGAGTCTCGCTCTGTCACCTAGGCTACAGTGCAGTGGCATGATCTTGGCTCAATGCAACCTCCACCTCCTAGGCTCAAGCAATTCTCCTGCCTTAGCCTCCCGAGTAGTTGGAGTACAGGAGCCTGCCTAATTTTTCTGTATTTTTAGTAGAGGTGGGGGTTTGCCATGTTGGCCAGGCTGGTCTCTAACTCCTGACCTCAGGTGATCCACCCACCTCAGCCTCCCAAAGTGCTGGATTACAGGTGTGAGCCAGTGCAAAGTATTTTGTTTTCCATTTTAGAAAAGTTAAAACTGTCTTTGTGCTGTGTGACATTAGGATAATTGTGTACACAGGCCTATCTGCTTATTAATCAATGAGGTTAGTCACTCAGGATATAGTCTTTACTTATAATCATGTCATGGGTGTGGGGAAAGAATAAACAAGGGGCATTACATGTGCCTTGTCTAACTTCCCAGGGTGACAAATGTTTTTAATTGTCAGAAACATATTAGAACTGTGAAAAGTACATGAAATCAGCCATTTGAGTAGTTCAAGTAGTAGTTCTATTTGTTCTGTGACAATAATACAAAAGATATTTCTTTTTGCCAGGAAGCTAGAAAAGCATAGCAAAGAACTGAATACTTTGATACAACTCATTTGGCAATGACACTTCAAGTGTCACCTGGTTGCAGAATTTAAGACTCAATTTCCAAGCAATCTGTACCCTCTTTTCCCGAAAGGATGCTACTCTGGTTATGCCTGTGTCTCTTCTATCTCATTCAGCCCAACCCTGCTGCCACCCTAAAACTATCGTGTTAGAGTACTTGATAACATAGGGTTAATGAAAGACGAACTCACTCAATGTAAGCAGCTGAGCATGGAAAAGCTGCCCAGTAAGGGCTGCTGTCACTACAAACCTAATAAGGAAGAACTCCACATAAGAATCATCCCACATTTGGGAAAGCTTTTTTCAGCCTTAAAGAAATTAACCCCTAACCTCTACAATTAGTCAGGAATATGCAGTAAATTAAAGAACTCTCCAAAAGTCACATAACATGTTAAGAAATGAACCAGAATTTCAGTTTCAATAGGGATGGTTTTCTAAATAGCAGCTAGTCACTAATCATAAAAATATTCAGATAACAATGCTTTCCACTGAACCTTGAGTAAGTGAAAATGCATATATTAACTGGTTTCGTTACAGATGTGAGAACTACCATGACATTAGTCACTATTTTTATGTAATATATAAAAATAATACAAAATACAAATTGTGACGAGGGTCACTGTAGTTCTCACATCTGCAAGGACATCAGTTAACATAAGCATTTTCACTTACTATAAAAACTAAGTAAAATGTATTTCATACAAAATACAAATAGGATCTCCTATGAGTATAGACACTATTCTTTATACATATGAATTATACTGTGGCTTTACACATATTAACTCAATTTTTTTTTTCCTGCAACAGAGTCTCACTCTGTTGCCCAGGGTGGAATGCAGTGGTGCAACCTTGGCTCACTGCAACCTCTGCCTCCCGGGTTCCAGCAATTCTGCCTGAATCTACCGAGTAGCTGGAATTATAGGCATGTACCATCATGCCCAGCACATTTTTGTAATTTTAGTAGAGATGGGGTTTCACCATGTTGGCCAGGCTGGTCTTAAACTCCTGGCCTCAGGTGATCCGCCCATCTCGGCCTCCCAGAATACTGTGATTATAGACGTGAGTCACTGCCTCGATTAATTCTCACAGCCACCTCTGAAGCAGGTACTGTTATTTCCATTTTATAGAAAAGGGGATTGGGGTACCAAGAGGTTGAGTAAAAGCTGCCCAAGGTCACCACAGGTAGTAACTGGCAGTGCTAGGAGCACAGACCTGGGGGTCTGGTTGCCAAGTGTGTGTTCTGGAGTATTATGCTACTCAGGGAAGACGGACGGCTACGCCCCTTACCTGATAGAGGCTGACGTACTGTTTCCGCAGCCACTGCTGTCTTTGGTCAGGGAATTTCCTCATCTTTCTCACAGCTCTAGTGAGTTCCAACAATCCGCTGAAGAGCATTTTAGCTGTGTGCTTTGGTGCCACGAAGTGCAATAATCTATTGTCTGTGGTCTGAAGCCCATAGAGCAGTGTCACGCCAGTCTCTGACAGAAACATGCTACCCAGTTTGTTCTGAACACACACAGTGTGTATATCAATGCCAGGGTGGCCCATGTATACAGCCTTCACTGCAAAAAGATCCAAGACCCCTTCTGTCAGGCCACTTAATCCAGCATTGCCCAGGAGTGGGAATTTTCCAGGCTCAGCTGTGTTATTAAGTACACCAAGTTTTGCTTTAGTGCTGGCTAGGGAGGCAGTTGTGGGCTTTACCCAGGTCAAGGTGCTGTTGTCGGGCTGAAGCTGGAGGAAGCAGCGGGCAGAGAGGTGTGTGTCCTGGTCGTAGTGGATGACCGTGGCCCCCTGCAGCAGGAACTGGTGCACGTCGGCTTGGATGGACAGCACGTACCATGGGATGAGCTCCGTCCCATGATCGAAGGCCTTCTGTGAGTCCTCTGAACCATGAGAGTCATATTCTTTGGATTGCTCAAAGATGTCACTGTCTGAATCCAACAAATCTCCAATTATAAACCTGAAGAAAAGAGACACCAATTTGGTTTGTCTTATAATCAAAAGTGAGAACAACCCAAAGCCGTTTTCACTGACACTGGACTTTATTTTTCATCTCACTATGAATTCAAATTAGCATAGGAATTACAAAATACTAAATAGCACACAGTAACTTTTAATAACTGAGGCTGGGTGTGCTGGCTCATGCCTGTAATCCCAGCAATTTGGGTGGCCAAGGAGGGTGGAATACTTGAGGCCAGTAGTTCAAGACCAGCCTGGCCAACAGAGTGAAACCCCATCTCTACTAAAAATACAAAAATCAGCTAGGCATGGTGGCACACGCCTATAGTCCCAGCTGCTTGAGAGGCTGAGGCAGGAGAATTGCTTGAACCTGGGAGGTGGAGGTTGCAGTGAGCTGAGATTGTGCCATTGCACTCCAGTCTGGGCTACAGAGTGAGAAGCCGTCTCAGGAAAGGAAAATTTGAGTAACTTTTTATAACTGTATTCGAATATTCTTTATAACTGTATCATCTTTAGCAAGGTATCTGACCATAAGCATAAGAAAGCAACTACTAGATGACCTATTGTGTTTTTATTCTTAACAATAATAATCTTCATTATGTATTAGTTTTCCTGCTCGTGTCAGGAACTGTGTTTCAATACTTTATGCACATTTTTGTACTAAATCCAGTCTATGTGCAAGGTAAGTTTTATTATTCTTTTTCTTATAAGGAAACTGAGATTCAGAAAGGGAAAGTAATTTGCTCAAGATAACTCATCTCAGAAGAGGCCAAGCCTAGGTGAGATTTTGGTCTAACTTTATAGCCTGGGATCTTCATTGTTAGGCTTGTTTGCCTTCAATTAAATCATAAACAAAAGGCATGATCTGAATATACTGGGGCTAAAATAGGAAACAACAAGACTTGGCTGGCTTGAGAAGTATCTCTGTTAAAAATCAAGTACAATTAGTTCAAAGATACTCCTTGGAAAGTAGGCTGATTTCTTGAGCCCAGAAGTTTGAGTCCAGACTGGGCAACATGGTGAGACCCCATCTCTACAAAAAATACAAATGTCAGCTGAGTATAGTCCCAGCTACTCAAGAAGCTCAGGTGAGAGGATTGTCAGAGCCCAGGAGGTGGAGTCTACAGTGAGCAAAGATGGCACCATTGCACTCCAGCCTGGGCAATAGAACAAGACCTTGTCCTAAAAAATAAAAAATAAAATTTTAAATGGACATTCCTTGGGAAATATGGTAATGGTGGCCAGATAAGCAAGACAGTTTTCCTGGACTCAGCCTTAGAATTTTTACTCTCTGTGCGTGTGTGTAGGTGTACACAGAAAAGGCTAGTCTGCATAGAAAATTTAGCATGTTCCCTCCACTGAGTCAGGAACCTGGATTATTTGAGCCAGGAGGATCATGGAGCAGTGAAGGCAAGGGATTGCTTCTTCCATGGCCACCTTGGCAGGAACCTGCCCAAGAGTCTCATTCTTTACAAAGCATAGGAAATTGTTTGTAAGATAAAGGTTTCTGCTGTTTGGTCCATGGACATTACTAGCAAAGCGGGTAAAATTGTGAAGGAGCTGGTGTATAGGCTGTTCCATGTGTCTCTGAAAAAGAAGACTCTCATGCTCAGGAGACACTTGGGCCACCTACTGCCTCTTGATGAGGCAATGACAGTAGCATGGAGCTTGGTGATGCTCCTCAGTGTAGACTGTGGCCCCTGAATAAGATTACCATTCTTGCTTTCAAACAGCAGGTCCTACCTCCTTGCCCCACACAGTGGATATTCTTTCTTAAAAAATGAAATATCAGATTTTAGTGTCTCACAAATCTGATGGTCAGAAAATCCATTTCAGTGCCCATATCAGAAACAACCAAAAGTCCAGCAACAATAAAGTTGATTTTGTATCTAAATACATAGAATTTGGTGTATTTGTGCAATGTAATTCTGTACAGCAATGAAACTGAGTAAGCAACAACTACATAGAACACCATAAAGTTTAAGCAAGACACACAAGAATGCATATGGCATGTATTTGTGACACAGAAATATAGACATTTAAGTAAATATCAGTTTCAAAACCAGGCAAAACTATACTGTACTATTTAAAAATGCATATTGGTAGAAAAACTACAAAGAAAACAAAATGTTGTAAAACTTGTAATAGTTTTTTCTAGGGGAAAGCTGGTAACATAATTGGGAAGGGAAATAAGAAGTTTAGAGATGGTGGCAATGTTCTAACCCTGGGTGCTAGTTATAGTCATTCACTTGATGATTCTTCACATATATTTTCTGATAAATGGGTTACTTTGGAATAGTTTTAGATTTATAGAAAATTGCAAAGACAGTATACCTTACACAAAGTTTTCCCTATTAATATCTTACATTAGTCTCGTATATGTGTCATAATTCATGAACAAATCCTAACACATTATTTCTAAGAGTCATACTTTATTCAGATTTTCTTAGTTTTTCCTAGTGTCCTTCTTCTCTTCCAGGATCTCTCATTACATTTACTTGTGAGGTCTCTTTAGGCTCCTCTTGACTATGACAGTTTCTTCATGTTTTAGGTGTTCTCGACAGTTTGGAGTACTGCTCACGTATTTTGTGGAAGGTGTCTCAATTAGGACTTGCCTGATACTTTTCCCATAAGTAGATGCAGGTTTTGGATTTGGGGAAGGAAGACCATAGAGGTAAAGTATAATTCTTATCACATCATATTGAGGGAACCCAATACCAACATCTCCCTGCTGGTATTGACATTGATCACCTGGCTGAGGCCCTGTCTGTCATGTGCCACTGTATAGTTATTATTATCACTTTTAACTCCTTTTCATACTCTACTCTTTGGAAAAAAAATCACCACGCCCAGGTCACTCTTAAGGAGTGAGAAGTTATGTTGCACCTCCTTGAGGATGAAGAATCTACCTATTTGAAATTCTTTTGCACAGATGTATCTCTTCTCCCGCATTTGTTAATTTATTGTTTACCCATATCATTAACTTTTGTCAGTATGAGCTCATGAATATTAATACTTTGGGTGATTTATAACATGATACCATGTTTACTTCTATCTTTAAAATTTTTTTTTAATTGTTTTGTTGCTGTGACCATTGGGAGCTCTTCCTGTTGGCTCTTGTATTCCTTTCACATATTCCCATCACCCTGCGTGTTTTCTTTTAACACTTCCTTACTACAACAAGATGCTCCAGGCTCATCTTGTCTATTTTCTGTCCCAGTCCTAGATTCAGCCATTCTAGGAGAAACCTTGCCTCCCTTTATTAGAAACCAAGATCTAGCTGGGCGCAGTGGCTTACACCTGTAATCCCAGCACTTTGGGAAGCCAAGACAGGTGGATCTCTTGAGACCAGAAGTTCAAGACTAGCCTGCCAACGTGGTAAAACCCCATCTTTATCAAAAATACAATTAGCTGGCATGGTGGCAGGCGCCTGTAGTCCCAGCTACTTGGGAGGCTGAGGCACAAGAATTGTTAGAACCCGGGATGCTGAGGTTGCAGTGAGCTGGCATTGTGCCGCTGTATTCAGGCCTGGGCAACAGAACAAGACTTTGTCTCAAAAAAAAAAAAAAATCAAGATATGGAATTACATATTTTATGCTCTTTTCCCAATGTTATTTCACAATAAAAAGTGAAAAAAGAAAAAATTCGTTTGTGTGGTATTTAGCTCCATCCCTCTGAAACTGCTCTTGGTAACACTGGAAAACCGAAACTTGCGTCCTCTTACACAACAGCTTCATATATGCCTGCTGCAGTCACCCTGGGTTTAATCTTAAATGTTACCTGCTTGCTGTGTGACCTCGTCAAAATACTCAACCTCTCTGAGTCTCACTATTAAATGGCAAGAAGACAGTGCTCATCTCACAGAAGGATGATGAAGATCAAATAAGGTAACAATTGGAAAGCACTCAGCACAGCGCCTGGCTAGGTAAAGTACACTCATTAAATATAGGAAGACCAAAAAAAAATAATAAAATAAATAAATAAAGGAAGACCAAGTTTTCCTTCCTCACACTTTTCCTTTCCCGCTTCCTCTTCTCTAGGCTACCTCAGCCCAGCTGTTCCGCTAGAGGGGCTTTCTTTTGGGACCATTTCCACATTCTTCATGTCCTACTACTTGTTGTTTTAAGAGCAAAAGGGATTCAATTGTTGAGTATTAGTACCCAGTAAAATACAACATATATATTTGGACATAGAACTTCTGATTTTAATTTAGCAAGATAAATGGTGTTTTCCATATTCCTTTTAAGTTCTGAGTTAAGTCAAGCATGTTCCAGCGAAAAACCACAAGCATTAAAAAAATAGTGTCTGGAAAGAAAAATTGTAAGGCTCTTCTGGAGCCTGTTTCTGCTGCTCAGAGATGATGTAAGCTGGGAGAGAGGGGATGCCATCTTTCTTGGCACCAGTTTTTATTTTAGAATGCAAAAAGAACTAATGCCAGCTGGTAATAATTCCATCAAAAAGCAATCTTCCAGAGAGGAATGCTCAGAATAAAACTGACAATTGCTTGTAATGAAATAAGTTCATTTCGAGCAGGAAGCTAGTAGCTTTTGTCTATTAGATGACAGAGTGAATGTTATGCAATTTTGTGCCTGATTCTCTTAGAAGATAATTTCCTGTGAGTTTACAAGAAGGGATAAGGTGGAATGTTAAGAGTCATTTAGGAACTAAATAATGTTAACCAAAGACACAGATGTGGTTTACCAGCAAAAAAACTACCTTGTCAAACTTAGGTTGTATGTCTTAAGGAGAGGACCAAGGAGTAAAAATAGAAAAGGTTTTTACCCCACTCCTAAAGAGCTTCCACGGTATCCTTCAGTTAGAAACTATAAGTAGACAGACTTGTCTAATGTTCCCTGATGAAAATTTTATATTGGATGATCAACAGGTATTTGTTAACCTGGTTAAATATTTTCTTTGTAAGGGTTCCTTTGCCTCCTGCAAATTTAACAGAATCTCTTGAACCTGGTAAACAAGCCTAATTTAAAATTTTTAAAGATAGAAGTAAATCTACATCCTTTCCAAAGGACTTGCTACAGCTGTTCTCTCTAATAAAATCTTGTGTTTTTAATGCTCCCTTCTGGAAAATTCTTGCTTTTAATTAACCTAGCACCTTCCTTGACTATAAGCATTCTCTGATATCTGAGCAGTTTGTTGGTTTTGGAACCAGCCTGCCCGAATATAAATCCTGGCCCTGCTGGCTGTGAGAGTAAAATGGAACTGTTAAGGTTAAAGCATTTAATATATGGAAAGACTTTAGGACAGTGTTTGCTTAAACATAGGCTCTCAATACATATTACCATCTTAAATATCGCTAATAATATTGTTGTCTGGCTTGCATTTACTAAGTTAGTATCGTAGAACAAAGCCACCAATACAAATGGAGCTTCTCTGTAAAAAGGATATCCAAGTTTCAAGTTGGGATTTAAGTGAGAAACAAGCCTAGGGTGAATGCTGTGCAGGCAGTGGGAAAATGGCCTTCTTTGTCATAAATCACAGAAGCAAGATGGGTCTGAGGTGTTGGCCAAAGAAGCAGAAAGAGAGAAATACAGGATCCCAGGTATTCCCAGCAAAGCCGGGGAGTGAGACTGGGAAGGTCTGGGCTGGGCTGGGCTGGGCTGGGCTGGGCTGGGCTGAGGCAGCTGGAGCAGATACAGGGTGTTGTGAGTTGGGAGTCGGAAAGGCTGAGGCCTGTCTGCATCTTTTCCAGTGAAGAATAACTGATTTCCTATCCTTTTATGATTTGGGGCATCCACATGCGTACTTGCGTACGTGCCGTTAATCCTGGTAACGATGATCTTTTCTCAGGTATTTTACTTTCTTATGCTTAGCTTTTTTTCTTTCCTATCCCTGTGGGGTTGGATTATCTTCCAGGCATGTCTTTAATGAGGCTACTGGGGTTGAAGGACACAGAAAACAGCTCTTTGCAGTAAGGGAGAGGAGGATGACTGAGGGGTGCTTCTGAAATGGTGACTGCTGCCAAGAGTGTCCACACCTAAGTGCTGGAGCCGCCTGTATTAGTCTGTTTTCACACTCTTATGAAGAACTGCCTGAGACTGGGTAACTTATAAAGGAAAGGGGTTTAATTAACTCACCGTTCAGCATAGCCGGGGAGGCCTTAGGAAACTCACAATCATGGTGGATGGCGAAGGGGAAGCAAAGCACCTTCTTCACAAGGTGGCAGGAAGGAGAATGAACACAGGAGGAACTACTACCCACTTATAAAACCCTCAGATCTCATGAGAACTCATTATCATGAGCCCAGCATGGGAGAAACCGCCCCTATGATTCAATTACCTCCACCTGGTCTCTCCCTGGACACCTGGGGATTATAATTCAAGATGAGATTTTGGTTGGAGGCACAGCCAAACCATATCACATTCAGAGGCTCAGCTTGGCATTTTAAGGGTGTGAGGCACACATTAATCACAATAGCCACCATTTATATTGGCACTTAGAAAGTGCTGTGCGTTCTTCTTAATTTATATATATCTCTCACGTAATCCTCACAAAAACCTTATCAAGTAGTATTGTCATTCCCAGTTTACAGATGACAAAACTGAGACCTAGTAAGATTCAGCTACCTACCTAGGTGACAGAAATAGTAAGTGGCGGTGTCAAAATTCAGTCCCAGGCAATGTGACTGAAAGGTCTGAGTTATTAATCAGCTCAAACAGCCTCTGTTCTAGGTTTCGGTCATCACCTACTTAGATCTCATTTCTCCAAATGTACAGATCCTTCTTAAGGTGCAGCATGCCAAAGAAGTCAACAATATTGAAAATGATGGCAATAAGAACTTGCAGCTCCTATAGGACTCTATACTCTTCTCTATACACCTTAATACTCCTAATTTCTATTTCCAACAATGGTGCCACGTGCTGCTTTTAGGTTTCCATTCCTTTGTAGGTTTTTAAACACATCCCTTTTTAAAAGCATGCACAGGCATAGCTTATTTATTCTTTATGCCAGCAAATAAAAAAGTATTAATGAGCATTGTAATTCATACGAAATGTAATTGAAATACTTTCAGAATTCAGATGTTCCTAATCTTCAGGAGTTAGACATAAAAAGAGGCTGAGGGTTAGCCCCTCTACAATCAAAAGAAATGCCTTAAACGTTGCAGGACAAAGCATCATCCCCTGTGACTGAGCACCTGGTCAGGCTCATGACCCAGTGCTACTATTGATTAGTTAGGCAAGTGGCTTCAGCTCACTGGGCACAACTTCTTCATCTGTACAGGAGTTAGACAAGCCTACTTGAAGACCCTGTTGACATTTCAAGATTTTCTCAACCCAATTCCCTTCCTGCCGACATCTTGAAGTCTTTTTGTCGTTGTTGTAGAGACAGGGTTTCACCGTGTTGCCCGGGCTGCTCCCGAACTCCTGGACTCAAGTGATCTGCCTGCCTTGGCCTCCCAAATGGCTGGGATTGCAGTCATATGCCACCGCTATCCAGCAAAAAGAAATCTTGAACTTTTTATAATCGCTTTTTGAGATTTCTATGAGTGTTTCTAGTGGTTTTCTGGCAGGAGTAGCTGTGAGGTTTGGGAAGAATTATAAGAGCACCCTGTAGGCGGGGTGAACCAAAGGACCTTGAGATTGTCCCTTCTTTCTTTGCTGTAGTTTTCACAGGGCTGGTGGTTGCCAAGTGAACAGGGGCTGGAGGTTGCTGTTTGTAGAGTCTCTGTTTCAGCCAGATCAACAAAGCATAATTCCTATGGGCCTTTCAATCTGCACATTTTTGGCACACTTAACCCTGTGCTGGACATTTTAACATGGGGCTCTGAATCAGCAATGGATTCCCACATCCTGGCAGATGGCCACAGAAGTAGTGCTTGCTGATCTGGTTCCAGTGAATTCTGTGAAACAGTCCCACCACCTATGTTGTGTGTTGAGCTTCCTTTCAGAATAGCAGTCACTTGAGGTAAGGAAGCTATCACTGGTACTTAGGTACACAAGTTTCAGTGAGGATTTCAATATGACTTCACAGGTTTTATAAAAGAAAGGTTTGCATTTTTGTGTTTTTCTTCCCTTCTAAGAGTGCTTGCAGCAGGGTTTGGAAAATGGGCAGTGGAAGAGAAATGTTCTTAGGATGTAGTTGATAAGATCATTAGGAAGAAGACAAGAGACTAAGGAGAAAATTAGAAACAAAAATATCATAACAGGTGATGAAATCATGCAAGAAATTTATCACTTGAAGGAACCTCAAGGGAAAGGAAAGGATAGTCTAGGGTCTGAGACTCAGTAAAAGTGGCAGTGCTGAAGGTATTTCAGAAAGGTTGAATAACATACACACATGCACAAACACACACACAGACCCAGATGAAGGTTATTGTAAAAAGAGCCACGTGAAATTCTTTATTTTATCTACTCCTATATGATGTACCCTAGAATTGATAGTAGGATTTAAGGAAGAAATTTCAGCCAGATCCCAGGATGAGGAAAAGGCATTCTTCTCCCAGACATCTGTTTAATCTTTCTTACAAATACTGTGAAACTTACAATGAACTGTGATTTCCTCTTTCCTTTGACTGCTAAGAATCTCAGAACAAAATTTAGTCACTGTGTAGACTACATAGTACACATATTCGTATGTTTTCTTTTCTCCTATCTTTATTTTTCTTTTCTTTAATATCCTCAGTTACTCATATTTATTCCTATAAGCATCTACAAAATCTTTTGTTGGAAGAAATAGATATATATACCTAGATACTGAGAGAGAGAGAGAGAGAGAGAGATTAAGAACTTAAATGGCTCTGAGAGGCTTCCTCTGCAGATGTGCTTATTTGTAGATGGTCTTCTCTGTCTATACAGTTTGCCACTAATGTCAGCAATCTGCTAAGTGAAAAATCTTTAAAATAATCTTTGAGCAACTGGAAGGACTTAACAATTAAAAATCTGCAGATGCCGTGTGTGTGCAGGGTAAATTTTAACACACGTCACAGAGCAGTGTTTCTCAAAGTGACACCCTTAACTCTCAACTCAGAATCACCCAGAGGTTGTGAGAGCTAAAAATACTGATTTCTATGTATCACCTAGACCTAACTAAATTAGTAGATTTGATTTAAAAATATCTTAATACCCACCCTAGTACCCCACCTAAGAATTAATAAAACCCACTGTTGGAAAACTAGGAAATAAAAGATCACAGCTCTCCTCCTGAAATTTAATGTGTTGACTTTTTAGAAATGGCAGGATAGCTCTAGGTTTTTTTTTTTTTTTAAGGGGTAATAGGTGGTAAGAAGTTAAATTATGAGCAGTAATTTTAGAGCAAAGCAGCAAAATAAGAAAGATAAATTCGAATTTGGAATTGGTAAGGTTTGATGATAAAGAAGTGTGGCTTCATGATAAAAGTGGCAGGTTTTGATGAGGTGTCATCTGAAACTATGCTGAAGTAGGAAACAACTCATCAACAGGAAAAAAGAAGACGTGGGCATTCCCCACTTCTACAGTGTAAAACTTACTGCCATCGGGTTTTGTCCTTCAGGGAACTTTTCCTGGAGCTGTTCCCTTCACCGGGGCTGTCCTCCTCCTCTGTCTCCAGACTTCGACTGCAGCTGCGGATGACCTGAAAGATGCTGTTGACAGTGGACTCCTTCTCCGAATTCTTTAAGCCATTTTGTCCCACTCGTTGTAAGAAATTATCTTGTCCACTGTAATCTGCTACGAACTACAGAAAAATATATCGAGAATTTGCTATTGCAACTTAATATGCCTGGATAACCTACTTGGCTAGGGAAACGAAATCATAAAGTAATAAATAATGGCATTTGTGCCTATTTAATGGGAAAGAAAACAAGAGCCTCCAGGAAAAACATTTTTTCATTTCACCACATGAAATATCAAAACTCACCCTCGTTTCCACTGAGACAACTTTAATCCCTCTAGGAATCGACACTCCACTTCACATTTAAAACACAAAAAACAATATTATTTCAGGGTTCCCTAAGGAGAAGATTAGCCACTTCGCAGAGGAAGGGCATGGTTATTTTATCCTTGTAGTGAGAATTGAGAAAAATCATGAGTAAAGTATGCTATTCTACGGAACCAGATAAAATGACTGGGCCCAAGCAAAACACTGAGAAGAGGTGATGTTTTGCTTTATTGTTGGTGTCCTATAACAACACAGTGGCTTCTTCCTGGTTTTTCAGCTCTTATTGTTTGTACAGTTGATCAGGAAGCTTTTTCCTTCAGAGGTGAGAGCTCTGCCTTGGATAAGAGACATGGAGTGAGGGGTGTGGCCTGGGAGGCTTCCTTTAAGCTTCTTTCTCCATTTCTTGCCGTTTTATCCCAGCTCATAACCCAGAGAGATGCCGGTGGTGTTGCCTGTACCTGTCAGGGGCTCTTAAGTCTTCCTGATATCAAGTGATGCCTTTGCTCTCAGGTGACAAGGAAAAGGCTGAAGTTTCAGGAGAGTCTTCCCACTCCCATGGAGAAGGTGTGTGCATGACTCTCTCTCTGTCTCTGTGTGTGTGTGTGTGTGTGTGTGTGTGTGTGTGTGTGTGTGTGTATGTGTGTGAAAGGTCAATAGTGGGTTCAAAAGGTCAATAGTGGGATCATCATGGCAGGAATGATCCTAGATTCGGGTTTGGTCCTAGGTAAAGAACTTCCGAAAATCTCCATAAAGCTTTTTCCATTTAGTAACTTCTTTCATTTTAAAATACCTTAGAGAAAGGTTTCCTTATCTTTTCCCTCCAGTTTGTGAATCCCCCTTCTCTCCAATGCCCGATTCCCTGGGTCAAAGCTTACACCATCTCTTCTGCTCTGGGAATCAGGAAGAGGAGGCAACAGGCCTGGGAGGAACTAGGCCCCGGGGATCAGGAACCTGGAGCTTGTCTCTAGATGAGGCTCCAGGCTCCCCAGCATCTTTCCACAAGGGATGGAAAGAAGGCAGTGTTGACTTCCCCTCTTTTTTCTTCCAATGATGTGGAAAACTTAATACGCTCATTGACTTTCTTTATTCCCTGCATCCAGACATTCCCACCCAGTAAGAAAAACCTGTCAATCTTTGAAAAAAATCTAAAACAACAACCTTTTCAACTTGTACTTACACATTAAACCTAATACATTAAAATTAACTTCACAGGCCGGGCGTGGTGGCTCGTATCTGTAATCCCAGCTCTTTGGGAGACCGAGGCAGGCGGATCACCCGAGGTCAGGAGTTCAAGACCGGCCTGACCAACATAGTGAATCCTTGTCTCTACTAAAAATACAAAATTAGCCAGGTGTGGTGGTGCACGCCTATAATCCCAGCTACTCAGGAGGCTGAGGCAGGAGAATTGCTTGAACCTGGGAGGCCGAGGTTGCAGTGAGTGTAGATTGCGCCATTGCACTCCAGCCTGGGCAACAAGAGCAAAACTGTCTCAAAACAGACAAACAAAACAAATAAATAAAAAAACTGACTTCACAACACTATGCCCCCCACAGTGCTAGCTGGCATTCTTTTCTTCAGAACATCCAAGGATCCATGTGCTACCTAGAAACAGTAACAACACTGTCAACCCTGTGTTCAATCAGTGACCATTTCTCTAGTGAGCACAGGCAGGACCTGATAAGACAGGCGGCAACAGTGGCTCCTCAGGCCATGATTCCGAAAGGCCTTACCTCTAAAGTTTCCTCTCGGGAATTGTACTGTGGGCAAAGCTTCACGAGGCCGGAGGCGCCGTCGAGCACTTCACAGAGCTCCTTCAGAAACACCCCACAGAACGGAACCACCTTACAGCCAGGGATGTGCAGCGCACGTGTCACCACCTTTCTGTACTCACAAGAGGACTCGTGCTGGGCCATAGCGTCCTTCAGGCTCCTCATGGTCTCAATATCAGACTGGTCCATAAACTGCCACATTTTTAAAACTTTTCTTGACCTATTGCAAATAAATGACATTTTTTAGTCTGAAGGAGAAATAATATAGTTACAGCAAGGAGCCTAAATTCCATACAAATTCATTCTTTTTGTTAATTTTTTTTAAGGTGGGGTCTCGCTTTGTCACTCAGGCTGGAGTACAGTGGTGTGATCTCAGCGCATTGTAACCTCTGCCTCCAAGGTTCAAGCAATTCTCCTGCCTCAGCCTCCCCAGTAGCTGGGACTACAGGTGTGCACCACCATGACAGGCTAATTTTTGTAGTTTTAGTAGAGATGGGGTTTTGCCATGTTGGCCAGGCTGGTCTCGAACTCCTGACCTCAGGTGATCTATCCGCTTCAGCCTCCCAAGGTGCTGGGATTACAGGCGTGAACCACCACACCCGGCCCCAAGTGTTCTTTACTTGTTAATATTTACGTAGAATTCCTATCCCCATCTACTTTCCCAGATAATATGAATAATACTTTCATAAATTGAAACTAAAAATTAAATAGGACAGATACAAACAAAAATAGGTATATCAGACACGTTAGTTATGGAAGCTGTGCACTGAATGTAGGTTTGAGTTTTTCTGGCAGCTGTGGCCAAAAGGAGAAAGCAGAGGGTAATGTGGTTTGTACAAATATTGACAGAGGAGGACTGCCTGGGGAACCTGGCCCATCTGGTCCTCTTGATCTTTTAAATATCACTCTTGGATTAAGCCAGTCCCTTAGTGATAAACATAAGGCCATTGTTTTCACCTCTTCTGTATAATTGATTTTTCCTGAATCAAGCTTTGATATGAAGCCACCAGCCCATTTTTGGGGACCTTGTGAAGTATTCTTTGCATACCAGGACATTAAGTGGGACTTTCCCTATTCTGAAACGCCTGGTGAGAACCACAGGTGACATTGCACCTCACCTTCTAAAGAGAGGCCGTCCCAAGGTGGTGCCTGAACTGCTCTGCCCACTGTCCTTCTGTCCATGCAGAGGAAGTGGATCTGAGCAGATAGGTTGTAAATATTTCTCCGGGAGGAATTGTGGGAGGGCTCACCTCTCTGTGAGAGGAGGAAGTGCAGGGGTGTTAAGTGAATTCCATGGGGACCTTGAACTGCGTCCTGGGCAGTTTGTGGATCACATGGACTGGTACCTGACTCTTGCCTAAAGGTTTGATGCTAGATGGAGCTGCCTGATGGCAAAGGGAGAGAGAAGATTCCAGTAGATACGTCCTGTGCTTGCAGAGTTCTGAGGGCAAAGTGCTGAGTCTTTTCTGTGAGTCAGGAGAGGACACTGTAGAAAGAGGTGGGGCTTGAGCTGTCTTGAAGGGCCTGCCTGCCCAATGAGATGACCCTAGCAGAAAGGGCCTGTGAGGACAGGACCTCTGGGGAGTGAGCACTAAGAGGCTGACCAGAGGGTACACTGCATTTCACTAGGTAATGGTGCAGTGGGGAGGTGGGGGAAATGAGTAGAGTAACTAGTAAGAAAACCTAAAAGCACCCTCCATTGGTCTCTGTGAGGGCACCAAGGCCAGATTTCAACTGCCCCATTAGGTGATACTCTGTGCTCCCTTTACCCCCATCCTTTCCCCTCTCCTCTCCTGTCTACTTTTTTTTCTGCAGAGACCCCATTGAAGAGAAGATGGAGAAAAAAGATAAACCCTATCTTCCCCATTACTGCAAGTCTCTGAGATTTGTTGGGCTGTGAAACATGGGGAAAGGGAAGAAAATATATATTGAATGAGAGATTAAAATTTTGATTTAGGGTTGGGTGTAGTGGCTTGAGCCTGTCATCCTAGCACTTTGGGAGGCTGAGGCAGGCAGATGCCTGTGGTCAGGAGTTCAAGACCAGCCTGGGCAACATGGTGAAACCCTGTCTCTACTAAAATACAAAAAATTAGCTGGGTGTGGTGGTGTGCACCTGTAGTCCCAGCTACTTGGGAGGCTGAGGCAGGAGAATCGCTTGAACCCGGGAGGCAGAGGTTGCAGTGAACTAAGATCACATCACTGTACTCCAGCCTGGGCAACATGGTGAGACTGTGTCTCCAAATTTTTTTAAATTTAGATTAAACTGGATTACAAAGTCATTGTGTAAGATATAAGGCATCCAAAAGAGAGAAAGAAGTACAACATGACAATGCCCATGTGCCAACCTCTCAGTTTAAAAAATCAAAGATCAACAATGTGGTTGAGGCCCTAGTGTATTCCTCCAAGAGCACACACTCTATTCGTCCCTCACCAGACTGGACCACCACTGGGACTTTGGGGTCCTCTTTTCCTTAATATTCTTCATACTTTTCCAATATATGCAGACATCACTAAGCAAGTTACAGAATTGTTTGTGCATTTTTTTGTTTTGTTTTGTTTTGTTTTGTTTTTTTGAGACGGAGTTTCACTCTTGTTACCCAGGCTGGAGTGCAATGGCGCGATCTTGGCTCACTGCAACCTCCGCCTCCTGGGTTCAGGCAATTCTCCTGCCTCAGCCTCCCGAGTAGTAGGGATTACAGGCACGCGCCACCATGCCCAGCTAATTTTTTGTATTTTTAGTAGAGATGGGGTTTCACCATGTTTACCAGGATGGTCTCGATCTCTCGACTTCGTGATCCACCCGTCTCGGCCTCCCGAAGTGCTGGGATTACAGGCTTGAGCCACCGCACCGGGCCTGTTTGTGCATTTTTAAACTTTATGTAAATAGTATCACATGGTAGATATTCTTAGACCGAGGTCCCTAGTCTCTGGGCCACAGACCAGTACTGGTTCATGGCCTGTCAGGAACTGGGCCCCACGGTGTGAGGTGAGCAGCAGATAAGCAAGCATTACAGCTTGAGCTATGGCAGCCATCAGATCAGCAGGTTCTCACGGGAGCACAAACTCTTCTGTGAACTGTGCATGTGAGGGATCTAGGTTACACGCTTTTTATGAGAATCTAATGCCTGATGATCTGAGGTGGAACAGTTTCATCCAAAACCATCTGCCCCCACTCCCACGTTCCCAGTCTGTGGAAAAATTGTCTCCCATGAAACTGGTCCCTTGTGCCAAAAAGGCTGGAGATCCCTGTCTTGCTTTTTCTTTTTTAACACAGCCTTAAGTTTGCAAGATTCATTCATGTTCAAGAGCGTAGGAGAATGAGATAGTTTGTTAACTGTGAAAGTGACTGGAAAAGATCTCTCAATGTAGCAGAATCTAAGGTTGCAGGAGAGAGAGCCAGTTGAAAGGTTTGAAAGGCAATCAAGTCATAAAAGTAAAAGGATTTTATAATTTCATCCCACTAAATCCAGCTTGTCCTATACCTGGATTCTTATAAGACAGTGAGAATTCTTTTTGGGGGAATGAACGGGAGGTACAAGAAATGAAGTAAAGGAATGAATGAGACATGGTTCTCATTGGTCTCTTATTGTGTGAGTAATGGAGTAGTTATGGTTCACTTGGGGACAAAGGGCAAACTCCAGCAAAGATCAATTCTTTATTGTTGAGTTGAGAACTGACACTACTTTTAAAAGTTTTATTTATCTTTATGATTATAAAGGGACTAGATACTCATTGTAGAAAATCTGGAATATATAAAAAATGTAGAAAAACCACTTATAATGCTACTGTACACAGATATTAGGTATATTTCCTTCCAGCATTCATCCTATTCTTGTCCACATGGGTATATAAATATTGCTGAGGTTATTAGGGATAGACTGTTTTGTTCCCAGATAGCTTCATGTATTATGTGTTACCTGTTTTCCAACTATATAAAAACTTTTTGGGCAGGTGCAGTGGATTTTGCCTATAATCCCAGCACTTTGGGAGGCTGAGGCAGGGGAGATCACTTGAGATCAGGAGTTCCAGACCAGCCTGGGCAACATAGAAAGATCCCATATCTAAAAAAATATTAAGAAAATAGCCATTGTGCTTTTGCACTCCTGTAGTCCTAGCTGCTTGGAAGCCGAAGTGGGAGGATTGCTTGAGCTCAGGGTAAGAGGTTACAGTGAGCTATGATCCTGCCCCTGCACTCCAGCCTGGTCAATAGAGCAAGACCTTATGTCTTAAAACTTTGTTTTTTACCTTATGTCTGTAATCCTAGCACTTTGGGAGGCTGAGGTGGTGGATCGCTTGAGGTCAGGAGTTCAAGATTAGCCTGGCCAGCATGTTGAAACCCCGTCTCTACTAAAAATACAAAAAAACTATCAGGGCATCATGGCAGGTGCCTGTAATCCCAGCTACTCAGGAGGCTGAGGCAGAAGAATCAATCAAACCTGGGAGGTGGAGGTTGCAGTGAGCTGAGATCACACCACTGCATTCCAGCCTGGACGACAGAGTAAGACTCTGTTAAAAAAAAATTGTTTTGGCCGGGCATGGTGGCTCACACCTGTAATCCCAGCACTTTGGGAGGCCGAGGTGGGTGGATCATGAGGTCAAGAGATCGAGACTATCCTGGTCAACATGGCGAAACCCCATCTCTACTAGAAATACAAAAAAATTAGCTGGGCGTCATGATGCACGTCTGTAGTCCCAGCTACTCCGGAGGCTGAGGCAGGAGAATTGCTTAAACCTGAGAGGCGGAGGTTGCAGTGAGCCGAGGTCACGCCACTGCACTCCAGCCTGGCACCTGGTGAGGGAGTGAGACTCTGTCTTAAAAAAAAAAATCGCTTTTTACAAACATCATTTTTGATGGCTATATAATATTCCATTATCTGGATGTATTACATTATTTCCTTTAGCTATTTTCCTATTGTTGTTCCTTTGGGTTATTTTAAATTGGTACCATGACTGAGTAAATATTGATTATAAATCTTTGCACTTCTTACTAGAGGCTCAATAGAGCTAAGAATTTAGTTAGAGGAAGCAAAATGTACAATATCTATTAAAAACCAAAGTCACTTAATAACAAGTGGGCTTTCTCTTCCCATTTAATTGCTTAAAGAATAATCCCTATTATGTTGATAATAGTTAATTGCTTTCAAGTCTAAAAGTGCACACATAAGCTCTGCCTCCATAATCATTGCATCATAAGAATATCTGGCCACTTATCTCCCGTGTACAGAATAGCTGTGAACAGAAGACCTATTATACCTGGTACTTTTGCCTATCTACCTGTAAAGATCAATTTAGTTTTAAGCCAAATAGGAGCATGAAACTAGGCAGCAGTGGGTCTGGGGTGTGAGACAAAATGCACTGGGATCAGTGTTGAGGTCTGTCCCGGTTTGAGATTATTCTTCATTTAGGGAGATCAGCAAGGTCTGTGGTCTTCTTGGATTTTGGATTTAAACTAAGTTGAATCTTGAAGTCCCATTCACTCTAGGGCCCCACAGGTCATTCTGAGGCCATTCTTGTAATAAGAGAATCTAGAACATGTTATGCAGCAGCCAGCCTCCAAGATGGCCTCCCGTGGTCCACACCTCCTGGTTTTGTGGCTTTGTACAATCTCCACCCACAAGGAGTCCATGCTGGTCCTATGTGATCAGTACAATACGGCAGGAGTGACTGTGTGATTCCTGAGGCTAGCCCATAAAAGGCATTGCAGACTCTGTCTCCCTCTCTTGGATCATTCACTTCGGAAGGAGCCAGCCGCTGTGCTGTGATGACAGTCATGTCATGGGGTCAGGAAGTGAGGTCCCCGGCCAACAGCCATCACCAGCTTGCCAGTCAGACACAGAATGATAAGCATCATTAAAATAAAATGACTATCGAAATACGATAATTCTTTTCTTAAAAGAAATGTAATACACATTTTCTTTTTCTTTTCTTTTTTTCTGAGATGGTGCTTTTGCTCCTGTCGCCCAGGCTGGAGTGCAGTGGTGCAATCTTGGCTCACTGCAACCTCAGCCTGCTGTGTTCAAGTGATTTCTCTGCCTCAGCCTCCGGAGATTACAGGTGACTGCCACCACATCGAGCTAATTTTTGTATTTTTAGTAGAGACACCATATTGGCCAGGCTGGTCTTGAACTCCTGATCTCAGGTGATCCACCCACCTCAGCTTCCCAAAGTGCTGGGATTACAGGTGTGAGCCACTGTGCCCAGCCTACACACTTTATAGAAAGTTGATCATGAAGAGAATAAAAATCATGTGAATAATAGCCTCCATTCTCTAACCTTGTTGTTGTTGTTTTCACTTTTTCCTTCTTTTGAGTCACGTCTGATGTATTTGTATGACTATTTTAAATCTCAAGGACATGATCATTGGGGTTTACTCAGTTAAGAAAGTTGAAAAGGACAGAAAAAAAACTAGAACTCTGAGAGTTTTCATCTCCTCCCCTAACCCGGAATTCCTACATAGGGACCCGGATAATCAAAGAAAAACTTCAGTTAACATTATGAAGTAAAATTCATTTGTAGTGAGAACCCTCATGGGGATGGTGAATCTCATGAAACCATAATAACAATAGCTTCTCTTTATGGGGCTTTATTATACACCAGGCATGCGTGTGAAATACTTTATATTATTTCACTGAATTCCAACTAAAGATGTAGGTACTTTTTAGTATTACCCTCATTTTGCAGACGAAGAAACTGAGGCTCCATGAAGTCAAGTAGCTTGCCTGGATCACACAACTATTCCTTGAAGGAACTAGGATTTGATTTCCCGATATTCTGACTCAAGAACTCATTCTCTTCTTCCTCACATACAATGCTGCCTCCCACAGGAGTGAGCACAGTTACTTTACACCAGGTAACTGAGGTTGAAAGGGGATAAAGCAGGGACTTGGTGAAGAGATGGTGATTTTGTTATTAGCTTGATGGAAAAGGCATAAGAGTAGGATATCGTAGTGGTTGAGATCATGGGCTCCAAAATCAAGGGTGCCTGCATTCCCAGCCATGCCAGGTGAATAACTTAATTTCTCTTCATCTTAGCTTCCTCTTTTGTATAATGTGGAAATAATAGCAGTATCTACCTAATAAACCTGTTTTGAGAATTTAAAGATACAATGTAGGGAATGTCCACAGCCCATGCTTGACATACAGTGTTTGATAATAATGAGAGCTAACATTATTGGAGGCCTATTGTCAATGTTAGCCACTGTTATCACTAAGGGCAGTTGAGCGTACAGCCCTGGAACACTTCATAAGGCAGACCTGAAAAGAGACAGGTAACAGTGGGGTTTACAGGACAGGAAGGGGAATAGTCAGTGGTGGGGTTGATGGGGTTATGCAACCAAGGAATTTCACTCAGCTTGGCCAAGAGCACAGGGTCACGGCAGACCCAGTGAAGGAGGACTGTGGCTGGCGCACAGGGGCTGAATTCCGCAGCATCTTTGAGTGACAGGGCCTTTGGTGCTGAAAGATCAGACATTTCCCAGGATAATCATTTCCAATTATCTAGCTTCGGTATAGGTGACTCCCTGGACAATTAACTCAGTGCCATTCAGGTGGTGAGAGGAAACCATGCCAAGATAATAGCATTCCCCACTGATTATACCTGAGGCCAGCCAAGAACTCCATCACAGCATTGTAGTTGCCCATGTTCCAGCAGCATTTGGCCACATGCACCAAATATGAAAAGACTTCCCGCTTCTCCTCCATGGAGCCTGCCGTGAGGATCAGCCACGTCACCCAGGAGCTCACCTGGAAAACACACAGAGACATTCACAGGAATTATGCCCTAGAAGCTTGGCAACTTATTTTTTCAAAAGCATTCTTTTGTTTTTCTAAAAATACCAATTTGTTATTAGGAAATGAAAGACCTATAGGTCCTTAATCTCTTAATTTCTTGTAACTCTTTATCTTCCTTAAAACGAGAAGCTGAAAAGGGCAACTCATAAAATCCTTCCGATCGAAAAAATTTCTTGAGACTATATGAAAATAAGGTCTAAAAATAATTTTGATTGAAAGATAGCTCACTGATGAACATTAAAACAAAATGTACTTAACCCATCAAAGACATTTACCATTAAAATACATAATATCAAATGAAAAATAAAAACACACAAACTTTTACAAATGTCTTATCTATTGTGCTCCTCAAATGACAAAATAATATGAATGAATATTTATAGAGCACTTATTATGTGCTCTACACCTATATTCTAAGCACTTTACCTATATTACCTCCTTTATTTCTCTCAATAGTTCTAAGAGTCAGAAAATGTTATTGTCCTCAGGGACGTGTGTAAGGTCTTCAGCCAATAGGTGGCAAAGCCTGTCTGCTCCAGAGGTTGCACTATCAACCACTCACAAAATGCTGATGTATTTACACAAACTCTAATGTTCTCCAATTCTGGGCTTAAAGTTGTTCTAATGTGATTTGTTTCTCCTGCTACACAGACTGGAGGATAATATTTAAAAATAATTCACACCTACGCCCTCCCCTTATGATATGCCACCTCGAAATCATCTGCTTCTAGTCTAAGATTATTTTGCTGCCACCTTTATTTTGGTGCTTGGATACTGGTGTCCACCCAAGTTACTTTCTCCATCCTGACTAGCATCTGGATTGATAAGCTTGGTGTTGACCTCACATGGCCCTACTAGCTACGCGTGGTTCAGCATCAGTGTTGAAGCCTGGGCAGCAACACATTTCTCTGGCCTAAAACAGAGGCCCAAACAGAGAGTTCATGGTGACCCATGACAACTGCAGGAAATAAAGTGGTCAAGGTCAATGGCACACTGCCTGTGAGTGGATAAAATGGTAAGAGTTTGACTTATCATTAACTTTTTAAGGTCACAATTCTTGTTGAAGTCAAAACTAGGACTCCCAGTCCAGTGCTCTTTCATCTCATGAAAGGTGACAGTTTCTTTTTTTTCTTTTTTTGAGACTGAGTCTTGCTCTGTCGCCCAGCTGGAGTGCAGTGGCGTGATTGTGTCTCACTGCAATCTCCACCTCCCAGGTCAAGCAATTCTCCTGTCTCAGCCTCCCAAGTAACTAGGATTACAGGTGCCTGCCACCACACTTGCCTAATTTTTGTATTTTTAGTAGAGACAAGGGTTCACCATGTTGGTCAGGCTGGTCTTGAACTCCTGACCTCAAGTGAGCCTCCTGCCTCAGCCTCCCAAAGTTCTCAGATTACAGGCGTGAGTCATCGTGCCAGGCTGAAAGGTGACAGTTTCTTCAGACTTGGCTCTAGGTAGGTCCTCCTAAGCACTCAGCTTGGAGCTGCATATGTGAAGGCAGAGCAGGAATAAAAGGAGAAAATACTGAGAAAAGCCCAAAATATGCTAAAGAGATGAAAAAACAAAATGAAAGGAATGGTTGCTCATACCTGTTTCCTGTCCCTACACAGAAACGAACAGGAAAATCAGAACAACAGGGAGTATTAGTGATAAAACAGATCTATTCTCTGGTATGAGCCAGAGGCACTGGAGTAATTAATAATCTTCCTCTTCCCTTCTGAAACAGACTGAAGTAAAACATGCTGGGCTACCTGCCACACCCAAGCCCAGTCCTGAGCCTAGCGGGCTCCCAGCATGTACCTTTGCCCTCCATCTGTTCTGGACTTCACTGGGCCCTTGGGTGGCATCAGGAGAACAGATCTGGAATCAGACCCTTGGGAAAAACCCTGGTCTGCAGCATCCCAGGATCTGTCTGGGATTCCTAGTGCTGACCCCTCTCCTGCAGCTATGAACAACCGACTTGTCCTCTCACTTGGTTCCTTGGTTAAAAGTCACCTTTGTGAAACCCTGGCTCACTAGAACAAGAAATTATTTTGCTAATAGAGACTGAGTCATTGGTGCATCCGTCTAACTCTTCCTTTAGTCTGACTGGCTTTAGATGAGCCCTATCCTACAAGGGGAAACCAGCAGCAAACTCTTAGCCTCATAACCCTACTGAGACTTTGAGTTGGAAATTCAAATGCTTCCCACAAATAAAAATGAGATCCTGAAAAGTTAAAAAACAGTTTCTCAAAGTCACCAAACTCATTAGTTGTTGAGGCCTCTGGCTATATTCTTTCCATGGGTTTAGCTCCTTTCTGGTTGAAATTGATGGCAAATCAGGCTCTCTGGAAAGTCCTCGTTCTTTCAGGCTGTTCTGATACCATGCATTAACTTTCCAGTCCAGTGGCTGGAAAGGGTTAACTCAACTCCCCCTGGAGAGGTCTGCTTCACAGGGCAGGTAGAGACCACCACTTGTTTTGTGTCACAATCCTGATCACTCATCCAGATTTATTTTCTATCAGTCAAGTCATTTTCCATATACTTTCCCACAACGCTAGGAAAAAAATAGCGATACCGTATTTCACATGGAAACCTAATTTAAACCAACTGTTCCATTGCTGAGTGTGAGTCCCCAGGGCCCCTGTTGTTGAGATTACGTAAGCACTGTTATCATAAACACACACACACACATACACATCAACATCTGCTTATAAACCTCAGGGCCAATTCTTATTATGGTCTGATGTATTCATAATTTTCTAAGCATTAAGTGGTGAGAGGGTCACTGCTAATTATGAAATAATAAATGACACAAAAAGGAAATGAAGATTCAGTGACAAATGTCAAAATGTTGACCAAAGCATAAAAAGGTGGTCACATTTACGAAGTGGAAAATGGGATGCGTTGCCAATCCAGAAGGAATTTCAGGGCACTGCAATACACAGAAAAACAAGAAAATCACATAGACATAAAGTACTATGGTTTAGGCATAGAGCGTGCTACTAGAGCAGAAAGGTGTTAACGGTAGCAGACTGTTTTGCTTATTTCAATAGTAAGCACAGAATAAGGAGAGAATCTGGCCCCAGCCCGATCCTTTAAGCACCTCTCCCAGAAGGTCTGGGCTTAACCTGACATCCTAACCCCCTGGACCATGCCCACAACTCCTCCACAATTGCCCCTCCCCAAATATCTTTCTTCCTTCTTTTGCTTTTCTCAGTACTCTTAGGTCGAGCCAAACAACAGTTTGCTCTCTTTTCACATCGAATACCTTATTGGTGTCACACACACTCAGTTTGGAAGGAATGTTCTTGAATCATTCAAAATGACCTTTTCCTGGTCCACCATGTCTCTTGTGTCCTCTGTAAAGCCGAATCTTTACCTTGGCCCACCAGGTCCCTGTCCATTCTCTAACCTCACCTTACCTGTCCCCTTCTTTTAGGGAGGTAAACTAGGCTTTTTAACATCTCAGGAATCTTGAACAGGTTGTTCCTTCTGCAGGAAGTCTTCCCCATCACCACAGATTCAAATTTTTATTTTATTTTTTTGTAGAGATGGGGTATCACTATGTTGCCCAGGCTGATCTTGAACTCCTGACCTCAAGTGATCCTCCCACTTCTGCTTCCATAGCACTGGGATTGCAGACGAGCCAACACACCCGGCCTGGCATTTTATTCATTTAACCCTACGTATCCTTTAGGCTGCACTGCCCTGATACCATGCCATCAGGATCCTACCCTGGGCCCCAGGTTTCAGAAGGCTCCACACTGGCCCTCGTCCAGCTGTGCCCTCTCCATCAAGTAAAAAGTCTGTGGGGTGGAGGGGACATGCCTGTCCACAGGCTGTGTACTCACTTCTAGATCGTTTGCCCCTTGTAAACCCAGGCCTCCCAAATTCCTTGTCCAGATGGCACCAAGCCCACTGCTGGTCTGCAAGTGATATTTATCTGGCTCGATCCTCCAGAGGGTAAATTGTAACCCCTAGGCCTAAAGCCAGGCCAGAGGGCAATGGGGGATGGGTGTGGTGTGTGGACGGGGTTTGAACTTGAGGCCTGAGGTATCCACATGCTGGCACACAAGCCAGGATGGGAAGAAGAGGTGGAAGGCCAACATGATGGGGCCCCCCTTCTACTTGCACCTTGGCCCCCTTTCCTTTGGGGGTAAAGGGTGAGGCTGCCTCCAGGAGTCTCTGATAAAAACATTATTTTCTTGAGCAGAACTTCCTTGACTTCCCACCTGGAGTGTGTCCACACACCGTGTGTTCTGTGGTGCCCCACATCACCCTGACCCTAGTGCACACTTAGTGCTGCGATCCTCATGAAGGCAGATGCTGGATCTGCTGTGCTCACAGTAAGTAGCAGTGTCAGTGACCTGTCAGGATCTGCCCTCAGTAAGTTTAAACAAGAGTCAGTGAAGGAATGAACATGAGAATGAATGAATGAAACTCACCTCCTCTAGGGAGGCTTTTCTGATGGTTCACCTAGCACCTTCCATTCCATTTCTTCCTATTTCTCTTCGACTTAATGTAGGACCTTGAGTCCAAAGTTTCACTTGGATTCTCACCAGTGCATGGGTTTGCCTCTGGTTTATTTTTGTTATATTTGTGTGCCTGACTCTTTCACATGGGTCTGTTCTGTCTCCCCCAGCAGACCCTAAGACCTCCAGGACAGTGACCATCTTTCCCACATTTCCAGCATGGAGTTGCTCAGTGTCTCTGGCAGACAGGCAGGCCATCCAGAGTCCCAGGAGGCCATGGGCAGGGAGGATTCTCAGCTTCCAAACTCTCAGGGATTATATTTGGGAAAAGGCCTGAACACTTCCCAGTGCTATTCCCAGGTCCAGAAAAAGGAGACAAATGACTTTCTGCCAAAAAGTTTCTTGAATATGCGAAGTGGAAGTTTTCATAGAGATGATCCTTTGTAATGGGTATCTGGTCACTCTAACCGCAAAGGTTGAACTCAGATGGCGAAGTCTCCA